CTGGTTGGTTGCTGAGCGCCCAAAATGTGATCACATGACTGTGGGTGGGGGGGAGATGGGGAATCTGGGTGGTAAGTAGCCTGGGCAGATCCATCATAAGTCAAGGAGTACCTGTAATGTATGTTCCAGCTATCTTTAAATATTGCTTGGAAGCTGTACTTGATATAAAATATTTGCACTAGGCTGCAATTAGAAAATGTTCTTTCGTGGAATTGAAATACTTTTTAGTATCTTCCAGTTAGTTTCTAAGCACAGTTCAACACTTGTGGGAGAAATGGCTTTTGAGCACCAGGTTAAAGAGTTCTCCAAACTTAAGTTTAGTTGTTTTAACTGCTGCTTTTGTTGCTACTGTACACAGATTTGCTGTTGTCTTCCAAACAAGGGACAAAAGTGACAGTCAACATTCTCCAATGTCGTTTTGAACTCATTTTCCAGATTTATTTCTTAGAGAAGGAGGGAAGAAGACGTATTTTCAAGAGGAAGATAGTCCCTGGAAAGGGGTGCTTGACCTTCCCTCCACCTAACAATTATTTCCCCTGAATCTTTTTACATTGTCATTTTCACCATTGGTTTTGAAGAGAGGCCGACTGGAATTATGCCTGGCTGGGCTAATGTGGGGAGGGAGAGAAATGACCTCATTAAATAACTTTTCTTGCCTATTACACTCAAGGGGGGCATTTATAAGAATTTATAAGCAAGTTATAGTAGACGCTGATCCTGAAAATAGACAGTTCAAAGTGCCTTTCGTATCTGGACATCTATTCCATGGATCAATTGCCTGAATTGTTTTAAGAAGAATGTCATACATTGAATTCTGTACGTAAAGTGTAATGTGCTGCCTAGAAAGAAGAACAGAGAGACTTGTTCAGTTCTCTTTTAAAAATAGGGTTTTTTCCTAAAGACTTGCCGATTCCAAGTTTTTAACCGTTTGATCAAGATGTCAGAACAAATCCATACTTTTAATTTTTTTTAAAAAGTAACTGACAACAGTTATGGATGAACTTTCATTCAGGCGTGGACCAAATTTTAATCTACTTAGTTGTAGGAGAATGTTTGTATGAGATGCTTCCAGTGGTGTACATTAGATCATTGCTGGTCCTGTGTTGTACATTCAGCTATTCAAAGGAACTGGTATCTTTAAATGCATATGCAACTGCCACTAATTAGAATAAAAAGAATCCTATTCTATTCTATTCTATTCTATTCTATTCTATTCTATTCTATTCTATTCTATTCTATTCTATTCTATTCTATGCTATGCTATGCTATGCTATGCTATGCTATGCTATGCTATGCTATGCTATGCTACGCTACGCTACGCTACTCTACTCTACTCTACTCTACTCTATCCTTATCCTATCCTATTCTACCCAACCTACCCCACCCTACCTATCCTTATCCTAGCCTAGCCTACCCTACTTCATTCCACTTCGCTCCTCTCCATTCCAATTTCTAGCTGAAGTTTGATTGTATGCATTTACAAAAGTCCTAATTCATGCAGTAATTTAGAAATGACTTTTCTAACATGAAACCTGCCATATGAAGTTTTGACAGCAAGGTCCAATTTTGACTAATAAATCTATCCAATATTTATTTTATTTATCTAATTTATATAGCCGCCTGTCTTATCCTGGGTGAATTAATAGGACCAGCACTTAGTTTGACAGTGAGTTTATGAAATATTTGAATAAGTTTGTTGTTCAAATATTTGTTGTTGTTAGTTGCTAAGTCATGTCCGACCCATTGCGACCCCATGGACAATGTTCCTCCAGGCCTTCCTGTCCTCTACCATCCTCTGGAGTCCATTTAAGCTCACGCCTACTGCTTCAGCGACGACATCCAGCCACCTCATTCTCTGTCGTCCCATTCTTCTTTTACCCTCAGGCTCTTCTCCAGCGAGTCCTTCCTTCTCATTAGGTGGCCAAAATATTTGAGTTTCATCTTCAGGATCTGGCCTTCTAAAGAGCAGTCAGGGTTGACCTCCTCCAGGACTGACTGGTTTGATCTCCTTGAAGTCCAAGGGACTCAAGGGAGTCTCCTCCAGCACCATATTTCAAAGGACTCAATTCTTTGGCACTCAGCCTTTCTTATGGTCCAACTTTCACAGCCATACATTGCAACTGGGAAAACCATCGCCTTGACTACACACTTTTGTTGGCAGGGTGATGTCTCTGCTTTTTAGTATGCTGTCTAGATTTGCCATAACTTTCCTCCCCAGGAGCAAGCATCTTTTAATTTCTTGGCTGCAGTCCCCATCTGTGGTGATCTTGGAGCCCAGGAAAATAAAATCTGTCATTACCTCCATTTCTTCCCCATCTATTTGTCAGGAGTTCAAATATAGTCATGGTTAAAATGAGATTGTCTGACTTGTGGTTCAAAAACTTACTCAAACCCAGCTAACTGAAAAAGATGTTGGGTTAGATGCTGTGAAAACATGTATGTTATTATTCACAACTGACTCGGTAGCCTGAAATAGGAAATCATTTATATATATATATATATTCTGAATATATATATATATGGGAGAAAACCCGAATAACCAAAGACATATTATATATATATATAATTTTATTTTATTTATTTTATTTGATTTCTATACCGCCCTACTCCCGAAGGACTCAGGGCGGTGCACAGCCAAACAATAAAACACATACCTACAAAATTTAAAGGTAGAATAAAATCAAATTAAATAATTTTGGCCCCGACAAATTTAAAACACCAAACTTTTAAAACCAATTTAAAATTGAATGTATAAAATACTAAAAGATATTTAAAAATTAAAAATCTTTTATAAAAGAGGGAGAAAATTAGGCCAGGCCCGCCTGGTGAAATAGAAAGGTCTTTAAAGCACGGTGGAAGGTGCGCAGATCCGGGATCCTCCGTATCTCTGGGGGGAGCTCGTTCCAGATAATAGGTGCCCCCACAGAGAAGGCTCTCCCCCTGGGGGCCGCCAGTCGGCATTGTTTGGCTGACAGCACCCGGAGGAGCCCCTCTCTATGGGAGCGTACCAGCCATATATATATGTGTGTGTTTTTCTTTTAGCCAGGTTTCTCCTATGTAACCAAGATTTTTCTACAGCCCTAGCTCAGTGGAGTCACATCCACTCGATTCTGGGCTTCAGATCTGGATTCAGATCTGATCTGGTTTACTTCAAAGAGGATAATTTTGATTAGGTATGTCCGAATTCTTTTTGAATCAGCAGTTCTGGATTTGGCTGAATCAATGCAACCCTCTGGATATATAAGGGCCATTCCAGAGGGTTGCATTGATTCAACCAAATCCAGAACTGCTGATTCAAAAACAGTTCGGACATACCCAATCAAAATTATCCTCTTTGAAGTAAACCAGATCAGATCTGAAACCGTTGAAAATTTTTCAACGGTTTCAGTGTGATTTGGGAGATCAAGACTGTGTATCTGAAAAATTGATGTATTCCTCCTCCCACATTCTCCCACATTCTCCATGTAAGGAGAATGTCAAAGTGGTGGGATCACAGAATGTGATTTTATGCCTGAAGTTTCTGGTCAGCTATTGTGTTAATTCATTCTGACTCCTCAACACTTTCTGACGTATTTGTTTATTTCTTGGTTTTATGATATTCATATACCGCCTCCATCACTAGGATCCTGGCCAATGTCCAATAAACAAAAAAGTTTATATAATGATACAAACGTGTTTATATCAACACAGTTGATATAATGTGTCATAATTTTTAACACAATAAACACTGATTGCCCCCCAAAGATATGATTGGCCTGTTGGAATAAAGAAGCTTCAGGAGCTTTCTCAATGAAAAGAAAATCAACAGAGCTGAACTCTTGGTTTGCAATAGTACACATAGACTATTTCAAAATGCTGTTATTGAAAAGTCTGGTTACCTCATTTCAGCCCTATGGATCTCTCATTGGGGTGGGATGGCCAAGAGGCCTGTGGTGGGTTTCAAAATTTTTTACTACCGGTTCTGTGGGTGTGGCTTGGTGGGCGTGGCTTGGTGGGCGTGGCAGGGGAAGAATACTGTAAAATCTCATTCCCTCTCCAATCCAGGGGAAGGTTACTGCAAAATCCCCATTTCCTCCTGATCAGCTAGCACTTGGGAGGCAGAGAATAGATGGGGGCAGGGCCAGTCAGAATTTTTACTACCGGTTCTCCGAACTACTCAAAATTTCCACTACCGGTTCTCCAGAACTGGTCAGAACCTGCTGAAACCCACCTCTGCAAGAGGCCCATCTTAGCCCCACAATGTATAGGTAATGACCAACTCTTTGAATTGGGCCCAGGAGCCCTTTGGCAATCAGTGACCTAAGAATAGGTGTTATCCTACACTACCAAAGCTTTTAGCTAGTAGATTGCCTGCCACATTCTGGACCAACTGAAGCTTCTGTGTCATTTTGAAGAGCAATTTCATGCACACTATAGTACAATACTCCAGTTGGAGGAGGGGTGATCAGGGAGGGGAGTGAGTTTCTGTTGGTAGAGCATCCTGGCTCATGTAGGACCATATCTAGGTTTGGTTAGGTTAGTAACCAACAACAACTTTGTCTATTTAATGGAGGGTGGGGAGAGGGAGGGAGGGAGGGAGAGAGAGAGAGAGCGGGAGAGGGAGAGGGAGAGAGAGAGAGAGCTGTTAAATCTATGTAAGATTACAATTAAAATTTAAATAGAAATTTGTCACACAACCACATTTCTTGAATTGAAAGCAGGCAATCTTGTAGAATGCTAGACCCATCTGGAAATCCTGCTTGTTTCAGAATGATGACACTGTAACATGCCTTCTTCACTGTGCAACAAGTTATTTTATACTGATATTTTGAGAGATTAAAAAAAAAATCTAGAGGTGGGAAATAGCTGGGCTATATGGATGGGCAGAAGAAGTGGGATTCAATATAGGACCAAGCTCAGGATTATCCTTTTTCCACTCTGATTCTTAAAAGAGATTTTCCAGGGGATGTTGGGTACTATCCTTGTTGTTTCTGAAACTACCCAATTTCTTTTCTTAACAGAAAATTTCAGCAGAGAAGTTGGTCTTTTAGAGTTGATTGGAGATCCTCCGCCAGACCAGATAACCAAAATCTATGGCCCAGACAAAAGTCCTGCTTATGTGTTTAGTCCGGATGCCAATGCAGGACAAGTGGCACGGTACCACCTCCCAAGCCCCTTTTACAGAGACTTCTCACTCTTGTTCTACATTCAATCCACTTCGGACAATGCAGGGGTGCTTTTTGCTCTTACGGATGCCTCCCAGTCAATCATCTACGTCGGTGTGAAGCTTTCTGAGGTGAAAGATGGAAAACAGCAGATCATTTTCTACTATACAGAGCCCGGCTCTCAAAATTCCAACGTTGCAGCCACATTTACCGTCCCTTCCCTGGTCAATCTGTGGACTCGCTTTGCCCTCAGTGTGCGGGATTACAATGTGGTGCTTTATATGGACTGTGAAGAATTTAAGATGGTTCATCTAGAGAGGTCATCTGGTAAGATAGAGCTGGAAGAAGGAGCAGGACTATTTGTGGGACAAGCTGGAGGTGCAGATCCTGATAAATACCAGGTGAGCTTACTCATTTCCAGTGAGATGGTTATTATAAATTGATGTTTTCCCAAAAGTGAAAGTAGCAAAGATTAGTTATTCCCACCCCCCACCCCCATGATGTGGGAGATTTCTCTTGTTGCCCATACTCAATCTATGTCCTATCCTCCATCATATATCTGTCTAGCTATCTTTCATTATCAGGTTGTCTTCAACTGTGTACAATTTAGGAACTAGAACTAGAAGTACGGGAATGAATAAACATCTATGTTTTATGAATTACCGCAAAACATTTTGGATAACATTTGTTCCTCCTCCCCATGCCATCAATATTTTTTGGCATAAGTGTTGGTCATTCTGAAAAAAAAAATCTATTTACTTCCTTCTCTGTTTTATGTACCTGAGATCTAGGATTATGGAAGAAAAAAACTGAAAAGAGGGCTGTAACATGCTTTCCAGGCTTATATAGAAACTACATTCAATATATGGGATACATTGAGAAGCATGTCAGGTGTGCAACCAACAATTAACTCTCAGTCTAGCTTTGCATACTTGGCATCTCAACAGACCACAATCAATAATGTGACAGAATTGCTTTCCTGAGTGTTCATGTTACAGCAAATATGGGATAACCTGTATAAATAAATATGTCTGTGGTTAAAAATCTGTTTTCTTTTCTTCCCCATTCTATTTTCTCTCTGTGTGTGTTCATTCTGTCCACATATCAAAGTGCCCTTTGGATTTTATTCTCTCTCTTTCCTTTCTTTTAACGGCATTTGTGAAGGATTGGTTGAGGAATATTTGCAGGTAATGGCTACAAACCATTTTTGTGGTAGTGATATTTAGAGGCCAAAAAATAAAAAACCCGAAGTGAAAATAGTTAACATTTTTCATCTTCAAGTTCATGTTCAGACACTGGCTTAATTTGCCAGTCTAGTGATTCTTGAAGTTTATTCTGGGCTCCCCACTGAGATCAAATCCATTGCTGCATTCTTCTTTTTGCTGGATAGAGAGAAGCAGAAATCCTCTGGCGCTAATGACTCCAGACAAACATGGAGGGTCCTCTCCCTCCCCGCCCCCAACTCTTGTTAAAAATTAAGTAGGAAGGAGGATAAAAGCAAACTTTGCTGCTTTTCAGTGCAAACTTTAGAGAGGACTTTCCTACCCACTCAGAAACAGATGTAGGTAATTATCCATAGTACATGCAGCTAATGTTTTATTCAAGCTTCAAGCGTCCCAGAAATTATAGGAAGAATAAGTGTTAAACCTTAGTAGGAGGTGATTGACCCTGACATACTAAAATACTTCCAGTTGCTGGTATAAACTGGAGACTAATACAATCTCTCTTAAGAAAACAAATACCAGTGAGCATAGGTGACATCTGTAATTATGTATAGACATTAATTGGATTTAAGGAACAGAGTTGGGTGGAATTTTATTTTGCACCATCTGCAATAAGCAGTTCATTATCCTGTCCAAAGAAGCCTGCTGATAATGTTAACTCAGACTTCCTCAGATGAGGAAGCAGCAAGCACTGAAGTGATGTTGATTTACATTAAGAACAATCAGAGTCATTCTTATCCATGGCTTACCACTGGCATAATGATAAGCTCAAAGCCATCCAGCGAATTAGTCCAACACTTTAAACTATGCCGGAGCTTACATATTTAATTGATGCTTTGAGACAGAATGTCATTAGAACTTGTATTGCTGAAAGGCGTAAACAGCATCTTATAGGTTCAATTTCCCATTTGTGCAGGATGCCAAGAAGACTAAAGAGCTATTGCTTCTTCTGTTCATAGTTGGAATAAACCATGTTTTCCCTAATATGTTTCTAACACACTTACAACTCAGAGGTGAACAGAGAAGTTTTCAGTTCCTCCTTATGAGGGAAAAATGGCTGAATTATGAGTTTAGGTTTTAGGCAGCCTCATTATTCCAAAGGTAAAATTGTAGGAAAATCTGTATAAAGTTGTCCTGTACTTGTAATGATCAATTATGGTTTTGAGCTGGCCCAAAGAGACTCAGTCCTGGATATCATCATGGAAGACTATAGGATAGGTTTTTAGTTCTCTTGACATCTGCAGTAGTACTCTACTGCTTAGCATAATAGTGGTACTTCAGCTTCCAAATCTAGGGGTCGATGTTCATCTCTGTTTCTTAACAAAGGGACCCGGTGTTGTCTGAAGACATTTTTCATGGTCATATGGCCAGCATGACTATATGCCGAGGCTCACAGAACACAGTTAAAATGGCACTGCCCCCTATAGTTGGCAATGATTGGCCGAGTAAAACCCTCAGGGACTCCTTTAACTTTTTTCTTTTTTTCTTTCCAAGTAATAAAGTCCAAGTAATAAAGTCCAAGTAATTACTTTCCAAGTAATAAAGTCCAAGTAATTACTTTCCAAGTAATAAAGTCCAAAAGGCAGCTATTTTTTTAAATTCCCTGATCAGGGGTAAGTTGTACGTATTTTAGATTGGCAGGTTCTTTGGACTTTTAAGAAAAAAAGTTGTTGTATTTCAAATTTATACTGTACAGCAGCAAGACTAAACAAATTCACAGGAAGTATGGATTATCTTGAGGAACACAAGCACATAGTAGTAACATGACATGCTAATGGATGAAGCATTGTTTAGAGAACACTGTAATTAAACAACTTAATAAACACACAGTACTAAGAAATTTGAAGTGATTATCTGTCTACTTTTTGAGGTCAAGATCTTTGCATGACAAAGATCTGCACAAGAAGGCTAAATACAAAGGCCCACATGCAAACTCTGATGTTGGATGTTTAAAGTTAATTTGGAGAATTGTGTTTAGAATGTTATTGGTGTATTACAATGTATAATGGGAAATGTTTTATATCCAAAACCCATAAAATACATTAGTTTTATGCTAAAAATGTTTTGTGGGGATTCACCTACCAATAAAAATGTAAAAAGTTAAGAACAGGAAGTAATAATTTCGTTTTTATTTATTTTCATGATATCTCACAATAAAATTTGATTGGCTGTATTATATCATAAGGAAGAATTTTCAGAAACATGACTAGCCTCCCTGGGGAATTTGGTTGCATAGTCTATAGACAGAATTACATGTATTGCATAATAATATCATGGCATGACTACATAATCTTGCATTGTCTAGAATTGGTTTATGAAGAAGGCAATTATTGCTAGGGTTTTTAACAACCAAAGTTCTCGACTAAAAAAAGAAGCAATCAATAGCATGCTAAAATAAAATAAACAAGGAATATTGAAATTCCCTATTATCTTCCATAAATTCATAACTGATCATTATGTCCAGGTGTAATTACACTGTTTTCTGTTAGCAGCTTCCACATGCCTTGTTCCCATGACACAGAGATGGGATTGATTAGCAATAAGGAATCAACGGAGCAGTTAGATCATTGTTTCTCAACCTTGGCTGCTTTAAGATTGGGTGGACTTCAACCCCCATGATTTCCCAGCCAGCATGCTGGCTGGGAAACCATGGGAGTTGAAGTCCACCCACCTTAACACTGCCAAGGTTGAGAAACACTGAATTAGGACCTGAGGGACAGTGTTAGAAAATTATTGAGAATAATTTCACGGAAGACCAGCTTGTCCTTGCCTTTTCTTCCCTAAGAATATATAAACATCATGGAAGGATCTTTTTCTTGCCTTTTCTGGTCATGCAGCTACTTGCAGCCTCCGGCCTGTCACTGCCTGCTCCTATTTCCACTTATCTATCCTTGGAGATTGAGCACATACTATATGTGTGTTTACAGTGAGACAATATATCTCAGTCATACCCTTGAATATGGCAATATCCCAGATCGAGATCTCACCGCACAGAAATGTTTTCCACCTCTTGTCAGGAATCTATGCATGAATGAGAAAAGATGCTTCTGGAGGCAGAGTGGCAGGGTGTAGGATTCTGTCACAGAGATGTGAATGAGATAAAAGAACAGGGAGATCATTTTTTAAATTGAGGTGCTATCGAAAAAAAGGAGAGACTCTTTCTCTTGTTCAGGTTTCAAGCAAGACAGGAACTATGGTTGGATCATAGAGTTCAATAGAGACCTGAATGTAAGAAACAATGCAATCGTTATGTCTCCTTCTTAGTTTAGTTTAGTTTAATTTAGTTTATTAAATTTCTATACAGCCCTTCTCCCGAAGGACTCAGGACGGGGTACAGCCATATTAAAACAAACATATACCCAAAAAATTAAAAACAATTTAAAATCAATATATATATATAATTTGGCCCTTATGTTAAAAAACTACAAACACCCGATTTAAAATTCATTTGCTAAGCCAGCCCGGCCAGTCCAGATGGGACGGGACGAGGGCGTGAGTGACCGTGCGCAAGGCGTCCCGGTCCAGAAAGGGACGCAACTGGTGAATCAGGTGAACCTGATAAAACGCTCCCCTGGCCACAGCTGTCATATGGTCTTCTAAAGACAGCCGTGCATCCAGGAGAACACCCAAGTTGCGAGCCCTCTCTGAGGGGGCCAAGATCTCGCCCCCAATAGTCAGCGATGGAGCTAACTGGCTATATCGGGATGCCGGAAGCCACAGCCACTCGGTCTTGGAAGGGTTGAGTCTGAGCTTGTTTCTCCCCATCCAGATCCGCACGGCCTCCAGGCACCGGGACATCACGTCAAGGGCATCATTGGAGTGGTCCGGGGTGGAAATATACAGCTGAGTATCATCAGCGTACTGATGGAACTTCACCCCAAAACCACGGATGATCTCACCCAGCGGCTTCACATAAATGTTGAACAGAAGGGGCGAGAGGACCGACCCTTGCAGCACCCCACAAACAAGCGCCTCGAGGTCGACCTCTGTCCCCCTGCCAACACAAACTGCGTACGGTCAGAGAGGAAGGAGGAGAACCACCGCAACATGGTGCCCCCCACTCCCAACCCCTCCAATCGGCGCAGCATGATACCATGGTCGATGGTATCAAAAGCCGCTGAGAGATCTAATAGGACCAGGACAGAGGAACAACCCCTGTCCCGAGCCCTCCGGAGATCATCAACCAATTCTTTAAATCTAACCATTCATTTCTCCAATATCCTTGCCTGAGGCTACTGAGTTGAGATATAAATCTAGTTTTTCCACTTCCAAGTAGATTATATTATTGTTGAGTTATAATTTCTTGATAGTTTAGAGCTCAGTAAATTAGCAGCAGTAGCTTTTTTTGTGGCTAGGGCTGGAAGTTTCATACTAATTCTTCTTTTTCAGCAGCATAGTAATGATACTGTTATTATGGAGCTGATTGTTTTGTCTATTTGCTTCCCCCCTCCCCCAGTGTGATGTTATTTTTTTATCACCAATAGATGTGTTACGTTTGCTCAATGCACCGGTTTTCTTTTGTTCCCCACCAAAAACCTGTGAGAAACTACCCCACTCTAATTCAATTGGTTTGCTGTCAAACGTTGGGAACATAAACATGAACAATGCATGAAAGTTGAAGAGGGGGGGCGGGAGGGCCTATGGCCCATGGCTGCCCTTAGTGGGCTTTAAGGTGATCTCAAGCTACTAGTTCCCTGAGTCATCTCAATGTGATGTTTGGAGCTAGGAAAGTGATATTTCTCACTGTTTCCTGGAGAGAAAAATCTGGGCCTGCACAGATTTGTACTGAAGTATGACTTCGCCCACGGAATAGCCTCCTCTTTTGGGTTGCTTAGTTTTCATGACCCCAGAGAGAGAAAGATAGCAAGTAGATGAGTGTTGTAAAATACCTTGGAATCCCTGCTCCAGAACAGCTTTGAAAACCAGCTGCACACATAAAACTCTGGGTTAAAAAAAAAAATAACTTGCTCCTCCCTGTGATTTTTGTCTGTGACCCCATTAAACCGGCAGGCTACAGCAGGAATGTTCTCCGTGTATAATTCCAAGGGGCGTCTAGTTGCCTGACAGTCATGTTCTGCTCTCCATTTCCAAGTTGTTAACTTGAAAGGAAAGGCCTCCACAGATTCAGAGAGACATTTCCCCCCCCCTTTAATCTTGTTTAAATCTGCATGCTCATTCCGCCCACTGGCTCTGCAGTCCCGATGTGGCTGAAAAGTTCTTATCGTGAGTCTGTCTAAAATCTGATGATCATGAATCACAGAATAGTAGGAAGCATGTCACTGCTTTCATCCCTACCTAAAAAAGAATCTTGCGTATCAAGGGTCCACCTGACACACAGGAATCATTGGTAGACAGATAATCCACTTTGGCCATTGCAGAGTCCTTATAGTCTTTTCCAGATCAATGGCAGTGGATTAAGAATCAGCCCAACTAGGTGTGTGCTCCCAATCAGAGTACCTAGGCCGAGTGTCAGCAACGTGTGGCTCCGGAGCCACATGCGGCTCTTTCGTCCCCCTGCTGTGGCTCCCTGTCGGCTGGCTGGCCCCGTCCCTCACTCTCCCCTCCCAGTCACTCTTCATGTGGCCTGAGAAGATAAGGGCGATGGCGGGGTTGGAGACTCACTCCATATTCCAGAGCGGGAGGGAAGCGTCCCTGTACTTGCCTCTCATCTCGCAGGTGCTTCTTCCGGCGCTTCTTGGTGCTGCGGGCACACCTCGGTCACTTGGGGAGACCCACGACTCGATCTCTGCTCCAAGACACTGGTCCGGCCCTGATGCAACTGATGCGCTGTGTTGTAATGGGCTCCAGGAGGAGGAGGGGATGCCATCCCCCCCATTGTGAAGCACGCTAAATTTAAGTGTGCTGCGCAAGGTGCTGTGAGAGCAGCGAGCAGGCCATGGAGGCGGCGAGATTCATTTTAATTCTATCTTCTTATGGAGGTTTTAAGCATGGTGGACTCTTGCCATGTCTTTATTTTGAGGGTGGCAAGGATAGTGGTACCTTGCTGCTGGTGTTGGGAGCCATGTTGGGCCAGGCTGAAAGGACCTTGGCCTCCAAGAAGTGCCCCAGGCAAAGTTTTGAGCAACCTTTGGAAGGACAAAGCCAAGGGCAAGAGCATGCTTTCAAAATATCTGTTTCTTGTTCTCTGTAATGAAAAGAAGCCTTACCTTTTCAACCATGAAATAGACTATTCCAAGATACTGAATTGAGAGATAATAAAGGAAGGATATGCTGCCACTGGGGAAGCTGCTGCTGTGTGGCCATAACTTTGAACAGGCACTTAATTTTTTTTAAAAAAAAAATTTGAGCACAAAAGAGAATGTTGACCCCAGGAAAGGGGTCTTCCCTAAGGTCAATATTACTCCAGTTCTTGCCCCCTGCCCTATAGTTCCTTGGTGAAGCTCTGTGGTGTCCATCAGCTAAAACAGCAGCCCCCAATCTTTAGGGCACCAAGGACTGGTTCCATGGAGAGAGGACTGGTGGGGCCATGGTTTTGCATACTGCCTTCATCCCGTGGATGGGGTTTTTCTTGTTTGCATGGCCCAGTTGCTGGCATGCCACAGACTGGTGCTGGTCCCTGGACCAGGGTTTGGGACCCCTGAGCTAAGAGAAATGTCCATGGAGGCATACAGCCCTATAGCTTGGTGGGAGTGGGCAATCCTGAGCTGACCCCTGGAAATTAAGATCTTCCCTTAGAATCTTCCATCCAATAGAGCAGAGTTCCCCAATCTTTCTGGGTTGGTGGCTTGGAGGGGGGGAGGAGCAGGCACCTTTATGCGTGCATGCACACCCACAAATTGGGCCGCGAGTGTACATGCAACGCAAATGGGCCACACTCCCATACATTGCTTGCGGCAATGCTAGCACAAGTGGGGGGAGGGTGCGCGCACTCAAGCATGCACACTGGTCAGCCACTCACCATAGGTTGTGGTCACCTGCAATAGAGAATTGAAAATCATATTGCAATTTTTGATAGAAACAATTTTTTGTTGGCTCTAGCTTCAGTCTGCATTGATGGCAGGCCAGTACCCAAAATGGAGGTTCTTTTGTGATGTTTTCAACTAATGGTAAACCGGCTGTCTTGGAAGTCAAAATAAAGAGACTGAATGGATGAACCCACTTTGAAAAATATCTTGATGTGTCTTGAGATGGTTTGTTTGAGTTAGTGCTGTGCTGCTAAATTGTATCTAAAGGTATTACAAGAAAACCATAACAACCAGTGCTTGGATTTTGAGTTAGAAGCCACTATTTTTAGGAAATGTTTCCTAGAGTTACAGAATTACGCACCTTGCTGCTAGATGGCCATGCAGATTACAAAGGGTCAGCAGAAAATAGCAGCAATCTGTAAATAGTTTATAAATGTTGGAAATGCCAAATCTGCGTGCTCTCGATCCTCTAAAAACCATTGCAATCAGAATAATAATCTGGAAAAACTTAAAAGGATTAAATCTAACCTTTCCTGCCACAAAGCACAATGTTTATTTTACCACTTGTTCTCCTGCCTTACATTTCTTATTTTGTACATTGTGTATTAATACTTCAATCATAAGTTAACAATGTTTGTGTTATAAAGAATATTGACTTAAAATAAAATGGGAATGGGGGGGGCGCAGACCTGGGAATTCTATATTCCCTTAAACAGGGAGGAAGGCAGGGATTTTTTGCCTCTGTGAAGCTGAAGATTTAGTAATATTTGTTTCTGCTTTTTTAGGGCATCATTGTAGAATTAAAAATAAAAGATAATCCTTGGGCTGCTGGTTACCAGTGTGTCGAAGAAGATGATGACTGTGATACGGTGAGTGACTCTATCGCAGATGTCTTTTTCCAACATGTGAACATAGGTCTATGAAAATTCTCAAATATTCAGGACATGGTTGTTCCAAAGATGCTTTTCAAAAAGGCAACTGGACTTTCTTGGCTTTTTTTCTTCGAAGCTTCTTGGATGAGAAGTGAAACATTTTCAAAGAAAAAAACAATAACTTTTTGGAAAAAGCACCTTTGACACATGTGAACATATGGGAGCCCCTTTATGCTGAGCAGGTTATGTTGGAACCTGAATTTTAGTTTAACATTCTGAGAATGGTCTTGGCTTCCTGTCAAACCTACGTACTCCAACTTTCCCTGCAATGGAACTTCTGTTTTTGCTTAACCACAGTAGTGTTTTCCAAATCTAACTGAATTTTGATTAATCTTAACTAAACTTGAAACATATTTCATTAAGTTGTTTTCACCAATCATACTTTAAATGTCAAGTGACAAGCTAAGCTGTTATTAATTTGAAACACAAGCAGAAGTGTTTGATCTCCTTGTGTCTAAGAAATAGAACATGGAAATTTAAAGGAAGCTTAGCTTAGTGAGACCATGGAATCAGACTAGTAGTCAATTTAGGCCAACATTACCGTTCTATTGGCAGTAGCTGCTGTTCAACTCAAATTGAAGTCTTTTCCAGCCTTGATTTCTGAGAATATTTAGCTGAATATTCTGAGAACCTGGACTTTGTAGGTACAAAAAAGGTCTGCTTACATTGACTCATGATCTTCGCTATTGTCTAATGTGTCATAATGTGGCAATATTGGCAGACTGCGACTCCAGAATATTAATGCAGATGGCTATACGGCTTTGTTAATATTTTGTTAAAGCATTGTGACTGATGAGAAAAAATTAAGATAAACCCAATTAGTTATGCTGTTCCTGAACTATAGTTCCCAGTGTCCCAACTAGCATGCCAAAATAGGGTATTACATTAAGAACTGCAGCATCTATATGGCCATGTTTCCTCATTCCTGATGTAGGCCAGAGTTTGTTTTTTTCTCTCTTAGTGGAACTATATCTGCTGATTTAATGTATTGGTTACTCTTCTTTGTATTTTTTTTTAAAAATCTCTTTAGTGTGGTGGTAGTGGAAGTGGATTAGACATAAAGCAACCACCTTCTGAAAAGGAAAGCGTGAGTACAATGCCATTTTTGTAATCATGTTTTTATTTTCCAATATAGAAATCTCTTTTTTCCTCTTCCTTCTTCACCATTTCTCTTTCACCTCATCATCAGTTCTTTCCCCTCCCCTTTATCCTTCCATGTGTCCTTCTCTTTTTCCTCTAGTTGTAGCATTGGGTGGTCTGGTTTCATGGTGTTATTTAAACCCACAATGAGGAGATTTAATTTGACAAGCTGCTAGCATCTGCTTGTGGTGAGCCATTCATCACATGCTTACGGCTGCTTCAGGCCGAGGAAAAACAACAGTCATTACAAACCATTAGCTGACCATGTGCATCAGAATGTTGTTGGTCTCGGATTGTAATAAAGTTCATTACAGTGCATCAGTTTGAATTATTTCCCGTGGGGAAATGCATATGAAGTATGTATTTTAAAAGATCAGAAAATGTTTTTTCCCTCAGAAATGTTCCACCTTATTTATGAAACGTAGTTAGAAGCTATAGATGCACACTGTGTTGCATAATTACCAGTATATAACATAGTGGATAAAAACAGTGGTGTGGAAATAAATGAAGATCAAGACTGCAACCCCAGCTTTGCCTGGAAATTCACTGAAAATTTAAAGCAACGCTCTCCCTCCCTCTCAGAAATAAAATTCAATTTTCCTTAATGAAACTGGTTTTCACATTTGCAAATGGAGTATATAATTTACATTGTATAGATTGCATATACAAGTTGCACATAAAACAGTTTTCTTTTGTTTGTTTTGTTTGTAGTAGTGGCACAAATCAACTGACTCACTCTACTTAACCTGACTTTCCCTCATACATTAAGAATGCTTTCCAAATTGGAAAGCAGAGAAAATACCCCTGGAAGGAGAAGTAATTAAAAAAATTTTAGACTGTGCAGAAATGAATAGATTAACTTTGATAATTAAAGAAAGAGAAGATTCAGAATATTTTAAGATATGGGATCAATTTTACCATTGGTTAGAAAAGAGATATACATAAGCAAATTAATAATTATGTAAGAAAATGGTATAATTAGAATATTGTACTTTTGGAGGAATGTTGTAATAGATTAAGTGAAAATGAAAGACAGAAGAAACAACAAAATGATGAAGTCATGGAGAAAACACCGAGAAGTTACATGGAAGGAATGACTGATGTATTAAATGTTTGTTTGTGTATAAAATAAAATAATTCCCCCCCCCCAAAAAAAATACATTAAGAATGCAACTGTCTTTCACCACACACTGCAACACCAAGTGTATGGGGAAACATAGTCACAATAAAATTGCATAGTTCATCTCACTGAGTTTAAAGCATGACAACACTATCAGTTGCATGTGTTTTCAGTAACACAATCACAATATTGGCTAGGAATTGCAACATTTGGCAACAAATGCAGTACACAATCTGTGAAAAATCAATGTGTGATGATTTGCTCTCATAGAAAATACTTTAGAAAGAACTCTTGCTGTGCTCAGAGTTCCAGTATAATACCTTCTGCCCAGAGTGGTTAGAACATAGAATAGATAGGCAAAGAGGAGAAAGGGAGACACTGGAATTTTGGCTAATGAGAGTGAGAAAGATCATATAGAAGACAAGTTTTAAGAATAAGTTTGTATATGAACTCTCAGTTTCCTAAAATGGAGATGTGCTACTGTGGCTTTATTGGCAACATGCAGATGTTTAGCTAGGCACTCCTGACTTCCTGCTGATTATTTTCCATGTCACATAATTGCAAAATCTATGAATTCTTTTCAGGCCAATAATTTGGGTTCCTGGTTGGTCACATCTAATTATCACTACAATACTGACCATAACTAATAGGGTTATTCTCTTTGATTCCCTTCTTTTTCTATCAGTATCATTTGTAAGCATTACTCCTTTGGAATGGCATTGCATAAACCTCCTGATCTTGGCATCAGCTTCTTATTACTTAATTTTAATATAATTGATAGTGATGTATAATTTGTCTGAAACTTCTCTTCTGGGCACAGTTTTCAGTTTTCTGTTTAAGAAGGCTAAGCAATGCAATCGTGTTTTGTTTTTTTTTAACTTTCCAACTTCATGTTGATCTTCAGCAAATGTTAGAATTTATTTATTTTTCATGTTTAATATCAATAAGAAACGGAGGACATCATGCCTTCATTGGGGTGTGGACTGGGAGCTGTATTCTATTTGTATGTCTCACAAGGATGCTTCACAGTTGTGTTTGAGACCCCCCCCCATGTTAACCTTTTGGAGGATAGCTTTAGCATTGTGACATATCATCTCTTGCCACACATTGGATTTGAAAGTATCCCCTTTTGTTTCTAAGAACAGAAATTGTTTGAATTTGCTACTAGCCCTTTAGACGTGGAGAGGATATCTTGAAACCTTCAAATATTGCTGATATTTGAAGGAACGCTCAGCAAGCTATAGGTTCCCCATTTCTCCTTTATTGTCTTTCACTGAACACTGATCCAGGAATTTTACCAAAAATGAATAATAATATTGTCAACGTTATCGGTAGACCAGACAGGAAACAGGCCATAGGGGTTAAATCTGCTTTATTATAAAGCCATAATTATTATTTATTTCTTAAATTTATTTGCTGACTAAATTGCCATGGGGCTACTCTAGGTGGCTTATAATAATAAGTAGGAAGAAAAGGAAGAAAAGGAAAGGAGTGCAAACAGAACATTGTTCTAAAATAACAGAACAATAAAATAAACAATGAGAAAGGAACACATCAATATGATAACCAAAAAGATGGATGGGTGGAGAACAGAGAGCAAGGCTAGAGAGCTGGAGAACAGAAACTTTAACAGATTCTTTAATATTACCATTAATTGACTAACATTTAATAGTAACAGAATCTTGCAAGTTTGAAAATACAGTTTTCCTGGCATCATCTTTAGAGCCTGATAACTTAGGGAGGGTCCCTCCTGAGCCACTTGCCCTGCCCACTAAACAGCCATGGGCTATGCTCCCTCTTCTCTGACTGTTTCCAGCTCTTGTCAGGGTCTCCCAAGGTCATTCTCACATACCATTACATATTCAGGAAAATACAGAGCCACTCCTCAGCTTCTGCAATTCTTTCTAACAAGATTTGTTGGTGTTACTATTATGGACACAGATAAATTGATAGATGGTGGGTTTTGGCCTTTGTGATTCCCAGGTGTTTTGTATTTTTCCCAAAAGTTAATTTTCCTTTATACCTTTTCTCAAGAGAGTAATAGAAAGCTCTGTTTGGCTTTGACATAAACGTCATCCACTCTACCAGAAATAGTACAAGATCAATTTTCAAAAAACAGCCAGCACAGGGATGACCTTCCCATAGTTTATTTTTCCAAAGTACAGTTTTACACATCCCGAAGTCAGTTTTAATTTTGCTCAACATACAGAAACTAAGGCCAGTATTATTGGATTGTCAAAGCAACAGAGTCATGAATGGGTGATATACGAGGACTTCTTTTCATTTTGTTTGTAATGAAACTTTTCTTCCAATTCTTTCCAGATGTGTCTGTGTGTCATTTACTATAGCTCTTTAATCTTAATTCCAATTGCAACATAAAGCATTCATTGGATGAAAAGACAATTTATACATTAATAGAATTAAATACTTTTAAATATAACAATAGGCAGAATTCAGATATGTACTTCTTTGAGTGAAAATGGTTCTGTTGAAGGAATGTTTTCTTTCCGTGCAGTACTTTCTGTATTTACAAAACTTGCCCTAAATTTCTGAGACAGATTTGGCAGACTTTCTGTATGGGAGAAGAAAATTGAGGGAGTGGAAATCCTATTTCACAATCAGATACTCATTTGCATATTGCTGCACTCCCTCACATTTTCCTGGATGTTGTATTCTGCCTTCCCCCTTTAGAATTAATGGAACAGTAGCAATTTTTAAAACTTAAATTGTTTTTATATACTATATATTTGACACAAAAAGTTTCAATTTTGCATCTGTTCTGAACACATTTAATATGATTAAATATGAGAAGGGATGAGCAAATACGCAGCCATGATAAACAGGTATGGGTTACGCATAAAGCCACCTTCCATCACCCCCTCCAATGTCCATTTACTGAACAATTACTGAAGGGACTGTAATCTGTAAGACTGGACTGTGATTATTCGGGAGTTCTTAAAGTTTATGATCTGCTTTGTTCATCCTGTGTTTGAGCGAGTCTCTGTACTGTATGTGTTTGTGTGTGTGTGCTAGAAATATATTTGTGAGTAAACATATAGTTGTCATGTCTTTTAAAGCATTAAACAGAGATCTTGACAACTAATCAGTCTGGAAGCCTTGTGGAAATACTTCAGAACTATCTAGTAACTATAATGCAAAGCTCATAAGTAAAGCAACATCATATTGTATACAAGGCAGAGTAGAAAGTGTGAGTTTTAATTTTCTTCACATATTTATTTATTCACTTTTCCACCTCAAATACTGTATTCCTAATGCTATTGGAAACTTTTAAACTAACAGTGCAATTAATTTAAAATAATCAAAAGGAAAATAGGAAAAGGAACTGATGGCTCTTACAGTATTATAGGTACACCCTTCACTGTCTCCAAGGAGTCCCATATAGCATTCGTCTCTTCCCATTTCACTTTCATAGCAAATCTGTGAAGCTGGGCTACAAGAAAGCAACCAACTCACAGTCAGCTTCACAGCTAAATCTATCCCACTTGTGTGCCCCATTCCTACTCTGTCATGCTTAAGCATTATATCCCATTATATCTTTTTCACCAAAACAGGAAAAGAACACTAAATGTGCCGGGAAAGGTCCACTTTTGGGGAAATGATGGTAGACATACAGTATGTCTAACTCCGACACTTAAGGCTGTGAAGAAAACGTGATAAATGCGGAGCACAGGTGCCACCCAGTGGCAAGACACATGGTTGTCCTACATGATCCCCCATGGGTTTTATTCAAATGCATAAAATTTCACAAATTCAAAAGGGATTACTTAAAATATTATCCAAAAGAACCACCTGTGGAAAATTGGAAATACAGTATGTGCAATATATACTAAACATAAACTTCCCTGCCACTGTCCTTGGCAGGGAAGAAGATATCTGATGGTAAGGGTGGAAATTTATTCCCAGAGCCCAACATCTAACAACAACAGAAAGCTAATGTACAGAGACTGGTAAAGGATGAAAAGTGCTATAGTGAACTGGAGATCCACCTGGAACCAGCAGGCTTACATTCCCTTCCCTTCCCTTCTAGTGAAAGCAAAGCTAAAACATAGAAATCACAGTCAAGGGCAGAAACAACCAACCCAAAAACAAACAAGGCGAGAAAAATACAACACACCTTTCACTTGACCATCCAGAAAGATTTAAGAAGTATTTTTTTTTTCATTTACAGATTGTACTCTATGCATTCTCTTTGACTGCTTTCTTTCAGAAATCCTTTAAGTCAGGGGTGTCAAACTCGCGGTCCGCGGGCCGGATGCATCATGTGCTGGCCACCCCTCCCCCCAGTTTAGCAAAGGGGAAGAAAGTCGCAATACATCACGTGACGACGTGACGACACGAGTTTGACACCCCTGCTGTAAGTTAAAAGTGACACTACAGGACTTAGGGTGTGTCAAATTTTTCAACTTTCAATTTCCAAACATTAGGGGTGCTCAAAAGTTGTGACATGCCTTGGGAATTGTAAAGATATTTTAGTTTAATATAATTTAGATGTGCTTGGTAAGTAACTACATAAATATCATAATTTTTAACACTTTGTTTCATATGGGTAGTCCTCAACTCATGGCCACAATTTGAGTCTAAAATTTTGGTTATGAGTTGTTGCAGTTGTGAAACCACTCACCACTGACCTGACTCGATTTTACAACCATTTATACAATGTTTGTTCAGCTAATTATTTGCTCATTAAGTGAAGCACATGGAAAGTTTAAAAAATGTTTTACTACCTAGGTTTAAAAAGCATGTAGAATGAATAAAATGTTTTAATATTTTTCCCACATATATGAGTTTTAACATGTGCGTGAGGCTTGTTCTGATTTTATGGAAGTAAAAATAATCCTTCCCCTCCCCCAACTAGGCTGACAGTAACATTGTATTGTAATATTTTATCTAAGAAATTTACAATAGAAGGAAGTTGTTGAAGCAATATTTTCTTTAAAAATCACTGGTTTAATAAATATTTCATTTCTAAATGAGAAAATATAAAAGTTTTTTTTTTTACTTTTCTCTCATAATTTGTCCAGTTTATCAATTCCAGGTTTGATAATGGTAGGGAAGCATTCCAAGTTTGTTTTTTCTACTGAAACCATAATTTCTCCAGCGCTAAATATTAAAGTCTTCTGTTAATGCAGTGAGCTTTTGCGTATTAAAAAAGCAATATCTTAACAACATGAAACTTTCATTGATAACATAATGCTAAACTTAATAGACTGAATTAAGGCAAAATTAAATGCTCTGTAGTTTAGTTTGACTGAAATCAAGTTTAAAAGAATTCACACATCATGTTAAGCATGATTTTGTTAACAATGACAGAATAAGCTACAATTGCCTAGGCTCAAATGTGACACAATCATAAATCATGTTGTGCAAACTACACCGTGTGTGAAATCATACATCATACTAAAAAATAAGAGCCTTGGTAGTACAGTGGTCTAAGGCACCCTGTTATTAAGCTGGTTATTAAGACCAGCTGCCTGCAATTACTGCAGGTTCGAATCTCGCCAAGGCTCAAGGTTGACTCAGCCTTCCATCCTTTCTAAGGTAGGTAAATTGAGGACCCAGTTGTGGGGGCAATAAGCTGACTTTGTATAAATATACAAAAGGATGAAGGCTATTGCTTAACGCATTGTAAGCCGCCCTGAGTCTCCAGAGAAGGGCGGCATATAAATCAAATTTTTTAAAAAAATGAGCCAACTTTTAGCTGATCAGGGTATGTGGGCCTAGTTATTAACTTGCTTAACTCATCTGAATAGATGAGTTAACAAAAAATAACAAGGCACAAAACTCAAAATCAGACCCTTTAACTGTGGGCCACATGAAGACTTTGACCAAGTTTTGTGCCATCAATGGGATTTCTCCCTACCCTAATTTTTCCCCTGTATTCTCCTTGGCTCATTTCCCTCCAGTATTGCCAGACTGATAGTGGGAACAATTGAGAGAACTTTTGGCAATTGATGGGACAGAGGAATTATGCAAGGGGGTTGTTACAGGCCCATCCCTCATTCTTTTTCCAAGCAGGCTAACTTTCCTCTGTGCTTGTGTGCATTGTGTATGTCCTTCATGTGTAAGAGGGAAGGAGAAGAATTGCTAGACCCAACTGTTATTTTTTCAGAATCAATTATTTGTCTTGGGTTGCCACTGCTAGCTCTGGTACAAGAGGAGGTCTTATTCAATTCTTTGTCTCTAGGTGATTCCTCTGTTGTCAAAACTTCCAGTGCCCCCACCTGTTACTTCTCCTGCTATTGCCAAAAAACCTGTGCAGTTAGAGGAGACTGAATATACTGAGAGGCCAACATATGTTCCTGCAAGTAAGTTCTTGTTTCCTAGTACTGGCAAAAAAAATTATCAAAAAGTGGGGAATAATAATAATATAATGGAGATTGACTATTCAACACAAAAAAGTGTTTTCTCAACTTGGTATTTCTTACTAATGTTACATTGAACATTAATGTAGTACAACTTCAATAACTTACCTATCTATAGATATTATCTATTTTTGGAATCTTTATGTAGTATTTATGTATTTATTTGTTTATTTTATTTAATCTTAAATTTAAAAAAGTGGGGAATGTTGTGACATAGTTGTGCAGATAGGAGTACAAAAGTAATCAGAACAGAGGCGGTATTCAGCAGGTTCTGACCTGGAGACCAGGTTCTGACTAGGTTATGGAGAACCGGTAGCGGAAATTTTGAATAGTTCAGAGAACCGGTAAATACCACCTCTGACTGGCCCCGCCCCCCATCTATTCTCTGCCTCCCGAGTCCCAGCTGATTGGGAGGAAATGGGGATTTTGCAATAACCTTCCCCTGGAGTGGAGAGGGAATGGAGATTTTACAATATCCTTCCCCTGGAGTGGGGCGGGAATGGAGATTTTACAGCATCCTTCCCCTGCCACACCCACCAAGCCACACCCACCAAGCCATACCACGCCCACCAAGCTACATCCACAGAACCGGTAGTAAAAAATTTTGAATCCCACCACTGTAGAGCTTGTATAGAGCAAGCCAAAATATAGGCAACAAAGTACAGTAAAGAATTCTGCATCTTTTATTGAGAAGGAAAGGTGTATAAATGAATGTGTCACTTGAGAGTTTAGTTTTACAGTTGAACCGGTTTATTGGTATGTAAGTACAAAGAAGTTAGGATTAAAAAAAAAAAAAAGTAGCTAACTGGTAGGCCTTTTGTATGTCACATTATAACTTTCAATGATGTTGTGATGTGTGGTAAGTATGTGTGTTAACAGTATTTCAGAAAGGGACCAGTAGTCTTTGTGATATAGTTTAAATTGATTGGGGTTTTTTAATCTGTCTGGGCCAAACTATTTAATTCGATTTTATTTCTGCTTTTTAAATTTTGTATGGATGTATTTTATTGTTGGCTGTTCACTGCCCTGAGTCCTTCGGGAGTAGGGCAGTATATAAATCAAATAAAAGTAAAAGTAAAGTAAAGTTTTTTTATGATATAGTTTTTTAAATTAATGCATTAATTTGATGAAAAGAATACTTTTTACATGCCATGCATGCCAATATGCACTAGTCCAGTGTTTCTCAACTTAAGCAATTTGTAAGATGTGTGGTCTTCAACTCCCAGAATTCCCCATCTAGCAGAATTCTGGGAGATGAAGGCCACACATCTTAAAATTGCTAGTTGAGAAAAACTGTGCTACAAAATCTCCCTGAAACAGAATTCACAATAATAATCTCTTATCTATTTAGCTCATTTTCAATTCTGTCTTAACTCTGAACACCAAGCATTCTGATTTCCAGGCTCCTGTATTGCACGAAGCAGATAATTCTGCACAATTCTGTTTTTAGGTGGAACCAAAGGTGAAAAAGGAGATCCTGGAGAGAAAGGGGACCGTGGCCCCAAAGGAGATCCTGGGACTGGGGTTTTGTCAACCAATGGTGATAAAGGAGAAAAGGTGAAGTAACAATAAACAGCTTGCTCTCCTTTCCTATTTTTTATTGAAAGGCAACCTTGTTGTGATCAAGCTCACTCAAAGAAGGAATATAGGACGGCCTCTCCCCATTTCCTTTCCTCCTTTATTAAAAGAATTCTGATTGCCCCCTTCATTCCTGCCCCTCTATCCTGAGCCTTGCCTCCATTAGATATTCCACCTGCACAAAGAAAATGGTGATTCCCAAAAGGCAGTGAAGTGACCTTCCACCAGTTAACAATTATTTCATGAATTTGGGAGTATCTTCTACAACAAACTTCAGGGGGCGTGGTGGAGAGGACAAAACTAGGCCAGCATGGGAAACAAAGGCATTTCAGATGGACAGTCTGGGAAAACTTGCTGCCCTGCAATTGCCTATAGTCCTTGGTGATAAGGAGTCAAAAACTAAAGAGAAAAGAAATAGCCACCTGCCTCTATTCTCTAAATAATGGTAGCATCTGACGAGGAAGGCATAAATCTGAAGTAGCAGAACTTTCTCACTTTTCCAACAAAGGATAGAAAGATTGTCCAAGACTAAAGTGCATTTAGGGGTAAATATAGGAATGTGTGAGATCAAGAGGAAAGGCAACTTCTTGTAAAGGTGATTTTTAAAAAAACTTTTTTTTCCTCTTAGGAAGGGTTGTTTCCTTCTAAAGTCTGGCCACCGATATTTTTATTGCTCTTGAACCAAAGTAAACTTTATGGGAAGCCTATTGGGTTTGTGTGTTCATAAGAGATACTTGCATTGGTTTAATGTTAAATGTTCCCTTTCCCAACACAAAGCATTCCCACTGTTGGAGTACAACTCCCACCTGCTCTAGCCAGCCAGTATTTTGCTAATGATAACTGATGGGAGATGGAGAACAACACATCTAGAAAGTTCTAAACTAGAAAAAAGCTGCATTAGCAGCTACGTAGCTCCTTTCTTTTCCCACAGATAGCAGCTCGGTGGATAATTAATTTTGCTGAATGTTGGATTGATTGTTGGATTTTGTTGTGTGTTGGATTACGCAATACTGAAAAGCTTTGCTTTGCTCTGCTTTGCGCTTTTGCAGGGAGAAAAGGGGGAGCTGGGTGTAAAGGTAAGCATCGCAACAATCTTTTTTGCCTCTAAAAAAGGTGTTAAAGGAATATTGGGGTGAGAACATAGGACTTGCTTATCTGACATACTAATAATTATTTCACTACATGCAGTTCTTAATTTATGCAATAAACATTACCATGGCTTAACACAGGAGTGGACAACTATGGCCCCTTTACGACCTGTGGACATGCTGGCTCAGGAATTCTGGGAGTTGAAGTCCACAGGTTGAAAAGCTGCCAAAGTTATCCACCCCTGTGTTAACACAATAGTTTAGTTCACAACATGCTAAAACAATAGCTGAATTCCCATAAAACACTGAACATAACCCAACACCAGTGTTCTCTCTAAACCAGAGGTTTCTAAACCAGGCGTTCCCAACCTATTTGCAACTAGGCTGCATGAGTGGCGGGCCGGCACACGCACATGTATGCACAGCCCAATTCAGGCAAATGGTGGGTGCCAGCGCTCACAGTCTCACTCGTAAGTGGCAAGCACACGCATATGCTGCTCCCACAAATGAAGCTATTCGTACAAATGCACACGTGTCTGCCCCTGGCACAAAACCATCCCCTCTTCACCCCTCCTGCGCCAGGCCACCAACCCAGAAAGGTTGGGGAATGCTTTTCTAAACCTTTTGCCATCACACCTCCATTTAACGTAATCTTAACGTACACACCTCCCCAAAAATTGCAAATGTCAGAATTAACAAAAATGAACAGTGAAAACAATGTAATGAAATTTTGGGAACGGTGAATTTATTGTAACAATATACAACTCAAAAGTTCTTCACCTTTGCTGGACTCTGTCTGTATCTCTCTAAGGGAGCTTTATCTTTCAGTTTTGGAAATTGTAGCAATGATTATAGCAATGATTGGCCTCTAAACCAGATCAGCAGATGTACAAGTCATCATGTTTTCTGAACAGAAGCAGGGATTTTTTGGGGGGAAAACATAATCTACTTTATGTTTCTTCTTTCATCTTTATTATTTTTATTAAAACATGGTGAACATACCTAATATTCCTTCATCCTCCTATTTTCCCCACCACAGCAATCCTGTGAGATGGATTGAGCTGAGAAGGAGTGACTGGCCCAAAGTCACTCAGCTGGCTTTCATGCCTAGGGCGGGATTAAAACTCATGGTATCCCGATAGTTGTTTTTTTTTTTAATTGAGGTTACATATTTTTATGCAACTGGAAAGATAACTATATATAAAATGATATATCAAAATGAAGTTTTTTAAAGTAAAATTAGATTATACAGGCATTAATTTATCCCTAGAATAATTTATTCCTAGGGTAACTCCATAGCCTCCAAATTCGGTTTTTTTATCTTCCAATCCCAAACCTTCAGCAAAAGGTAGAACGAAATGACGTTAATTTGAGGGAATCCTTTCTGATTCAAATGGGTTTCCATCTAAAACAGTTTCTTTATACAGTTATTTATGCGCAATTGCTATTCTTTGCACAAAAACAAAGATTTTTTTAAAACTAAGACACTCAGTTTGATGGCTTGCACTCAGAATCCCTAAATATAGAGATATCCCCTTCTTTCTATTAGCTGTTGCACTATCTTGCTCTAACATCCACTGGTACCAAATGAATCACTGCTTGGAACTTGCCTGGGGAGTGAAAGATGCTTATTGTGTTATCAGAATTTGGAATTAAGATATTTGTTGCAAAAAGCACCCACTTTCCATCATGAGATTGAATGGAATGCTTTTCTGTTTAACAGCTTGGTAAGAAGCCCTATTTTTAGACTAATCTTATTGAACTTTTTCTACAAGGCAAAACAGTTAAATCAACCTATACTTAGTCTCATATTGCAAGAAATAGAACAAGAGTTCCTTTCATTTTAAAAATAATTGCTTTCCTCTCCTTTTTCCTTTTAAAATATATGCTAAAATCTCTACATACTCTGTTCTGGAGCAATTGTGCAATGCAAAGCCTTCATAAGCACCTACCAAAGATGGGGAGATATTCTGGAATTCAGGGGGATCAAAACAGGATTAATTTCCCTAAAGGAAGAATCTCGATTAGCAATATAACACCCCCAAAACCTGGCAAATGGGCAAAACATAGGTCAAATATTTCTAGCTTTATCCCAATGAATTGTTAACTTGCATTATTTGAAAAGGGCCTGATGTGGAAAAAAGAATAAATAATCATTGCTAAATTCCAGATGGCTCAAAATGTGAGCAGCTGGAAACCTAAATTCTTCAGGAAAGAAAACAGTCAAATAAAAATAGGGACATTTCCTGGAACAATGCTAGCTATGACATTAAAGAGGACCTCTGTCTAGACCTTTGGCCTCCTGGATGTTTCCTCCTTTTAGGAAAGAAAATTAGTAGCCTCTCCCTTTTTCTTCTTCTTTTTACTTCTGTTCTGTGTTGTTTCTCTTTAGTGGACCGGAGGCCTGCCTCCATTTCTCCCCCTTCCCTCTGTATCTGCCAAAATCGTAATCTCAGCCATCATGGAACTTGTTTATATCCCTGCCCCACTGAAGGATGCACTTCTTCCACTGTCTCAAATGGGCAGGTGGAATGGACAAACAGCATCTATAGATCAGATTCATGTGGGGGTGAAGGCATGACATACAATAAGATTTAATGTCTATTTCCTTTGCTTTGGCAATAGCATACTGTATGTAGCCTTTGCTCTCAGGCCAGTGGATCTGTTTGCATTGTTGTTTTTGATGTGTAGGTAACAAGTTGCCAGCAGTAGATCTTATTCCTTCTTCCAAAATAGTATTGCGTAAAGCACTTGAACCTATATGGGTATAAACTCTGATTTAAGGCTAGAAAACAACATAAATACACAATAATTAATATATTATAGAGAGAAGCAGCCTGGTGTCCTCTAGAAATTTTGGATGATAGTTCCCATAATTCCTTACTGATGAGGGCTGGAACTTATGGGGGCTGAAGTCCAATGTGACTAGGGGCTATCAAGTTGCCTGTCTCAGTACGTCCGGTATGTGACAGAAGGAAATGGGAAGATAATAATTCCTACCCATGTCCATTTCCAATGTAGAAGAAATTATATTTGTCTTGTTTTCATTTTTCATATTTTCTTCCCCTTTAGGGAAGTGCAGGCTTTGGCTATCCAGGCTCTAAAGGACAGAAAGGTGAGCCTGGTACTACAGGGCTTCCAGGTCCAATTGGGCCCCCAGGACCTCCTGGAACCATCATGAGGCACTCCGATGGCTCTACTGTTGAGGGACCAGGAGCCATGGGCCCACCAGGACTTCCTGGAAAAGATGGTCAACCTGGAAAGGATGGAGAGCCTGTAAGTAATCTTTTTATATGATGGTTGATTTCAGCTGGAAATGTACGAAGGGGTTGGAACAGCTTACCTTTTAGAGTTCATTAATTTATTGCTACTATACATTGGCATTCATACAAGGTGTAGCCAAGGGTACCAGCCTTAGCTAGACTCATGTCACATACAGCATTCCCTATTAACAGGACAATTCTGTTTGGACAGATTTTTACCAATATGCAACAAGCAGAACCAGAGTCCAGTTTTATCCCACGTGTGCTCAGGAAAATTGAGATTTCTAACCTAAAGACAGCATTCTACTATTTTACAAGTTATATCATCATTTATTGATTTAGAATACATATACGATAAAGTGAATAGTCTAGATTCATGGAACGTTACATGTATTTGAAGATAAAAGTTAGTTGTTCTATATGATGGAAGTAAAACATGCATGAGTGTAAACTGTTTACAGAAGGGCAAGTGCATAAATTTATGTACCTCAGTACAATTTACTAATGAAATTATATAGAGACCTTTTAAAGCATGCAGATGCTGATTAAAAAAACAGGTGGTATGTAGTCTGTTGTGAAAGATGAATGTTTGTGTGTAAGAACATGCTTTTGCTCATTTGTTATATGGAAATGAGAATTGGGTGTATCAGGAGAAACGTAAAAGTAAGTTGAATGGCGTAGGACTGAAGCACTGAAGAAATGTGTATAGTAAAACAAGAATCAAGAGTACCTGGATACTATAAACGAATCTGGATTAAATGCAAAATTGAGTGCCCAGTATGAAAGAATTATGTTGTATAGCTTGGCACCTAGAGAGAGAATGAATGAAGATTGAATGGATAACAAAATAAATATATGAAGGCATGGGTTGAAAGAAAGACCAAAAAAAAAAAAAAACCCTGATTGGATGAAGTTGGTGACATCCTCAAGAAGAAAAAGTTGAGGAATTTATGAAGCAATGCATAAATTAGTGATTGGATGTTGTAGAAGGAAAGATGGTTTGAAAAGATAGAAAGCTATGGAGAGGAATGCTGAATGATATTGGCATAAACCAGATCAATCTATATTTTCTTTTTCTTATCTCATGGCTTACATTTCTTTAGCTTACTATTTCTTACTCCTTTTCTGCTCTCTGCATAACATCACTTATCCTGAAAGGGAATAGTCTCATAGGTATGTATACATGTATGCATTATACATTGAGCAAAATGTGGTTACATTCTTTGTATACAAATAAATCCATATTGATACAACCTTTCAGGTTCACCATAGAAGCCAACAGCCCTTCTTAAGATTTTAGTGATTTTTTTTCTGTCCATTTTCTTATTTTCTTCACATGAGTTTCCTATTCATTTGCTTCCCTCTCCGTTTTTATTTCATCCCCCAGATTTAAGAGTTATTTAAAAATGGAACCTTCGAAGTGCAAAAAAAAACCCCTTTCATTGATAGATTATTTTTGAAGGCTCTAATAAGCCATTTAATTAAGGGCATAAATAATGAAGGTATGATGATCTTTTATACAAAACCCACGATTGGTCCTTATCTGTTAGAAATATGTCACAAAATAGTGTGCAATCAGGTTTTGAATTCTAGAGATTGCTTCCATAGACAGGAATTTTTTATTTTCAATGAAAAATTTAACCTGAACTTTGATGGGTCTTTGGTTCTTTTAGGTAATTGTCCTCAAAGCAGATTCTCTCTTTCAAATATATTTTAGTTTTACTTCTGCTTTTCTGCCTGAATATTTTGTTCCTCCAGTCCCCAACCCCAGTGTCACATGAATTAGATTTGACATATCCTCCCTATCCTGCAACTCCCAATGTTTCTGAAATGTATTCCAGCAAATTCTGCAACCTCTGAAATAGATTTGAAGATGAATAGATGGTCACAGGGAAGAAGGGGAACAGTCCTTTGTCTTAGAGGAAAAAGAGTACCCTTCTATTCTTCTCCCTATTGGTGCTCCTTTTAAATATTTTTATCGTTTGCTTCTCTTCTCATTAGTAATTCTAATATTTTTCCCTGTTCTTCTCTTTTTTGCTTCCATTCTGAGCTGCTATATTGTTGCACTCTCTTTAATACAGTCAGAATTAAGCCAAGATATTCTTCCTATGTCTTGTGCAAGTCTCAGTGAGCTATCCCTGTAGCTGATTTAGCCAAATATCATATGAGTGTGAGAAGGTAGCAGAGGAAATTAGCCTGAGGTTTTGAAATTTAAATCACAACAGTGTAAAAGTCCCTAAGTTCTGTTTCCAATGTTTTGTTCTTTTTAGGGGGACCCTGGTGAAGATGGTAAACCAGTAAGTTTTGTTGTTTCTTCCTCACATTTCAGATACAAACTTTTTAGGTTTGAACTATATAGTTGTAAATAAATTTTGTACACCATGCAAAACTGTCCTGAGTGTTTCACAGAAAAATGATGGCAATCTTATACAAGTTTGCTCAGAAGTTACTCCCCTTATGTTTAATGAGTTAACTCTCAAGTAGATGTGAATAAGATTGTATCCTAAGCCACATTTTATACAGACATTTCCAGACCAGCCTTTTAATTAAAAAAAAGCAACAAGCTCGTTCTAAATTAATTCAAATGAAATGTGTAATGATTAGGCAGTCAAATCTGTAAACTATCCAATATCATAACTGAGTTAATGTAATCTCCCCAAATGCCCCCCCCCCACCGCCAAGACCTAAGAAATATGAAAAACAAAACTCGGGAAGTCAAAAGAGTAAACTATTGGCATGTAAATATTATATTTAGAATGTTCTTACAAAATGTATTTTTTTTAAAAAAAGAAATCTAAATTATTTCTAAATGCAGCTTGTCACTCAGATATGTTGTTGCATATTTGTTTATGAGTAATAAACTATGTTGAAATGTTGCTTGAAATATTTGAAAGAGTTGAAATATTGAAACAGAAACCAGCAGTCTTTAAAATGGGAAAAACACATCTCAGCAAAAAGTGCTTATCAGTTGCATCAGACAGAAGATGACTCACAGATTGGACTAAGCAAAGAGTTCGCAAACTGGGATCAGGGCCTATCATAGGGTTGTAAGTGACTTAGAGGGAGGTCACAATTTTTTGTACACAAAAGCAAAATTATGGATTTTGAAAAATCAGCTAACTAGGCTTGATCAAAACACACATTTATGTATTTATTGTATAGGGTGATGTTGGTCCCCAAGGATTCCCTGGCACTCCGGGTGAGCCTGGCCTGAAAGGCGAAAAGGTACAAATACTCTTAAGGCTATAAAAATATGGCTGTGCTGTTACTGGAGCATTTTCTGAGTAGTCTGTTTTGACTGAGGGATTCTGGGGGCATTTTTGGGGACGGGGTGACTGTAATCATTGTTCTCAGCTGTGTAACTTATTCTTTCCATCTAGGGAGAACCAAGTGTTGGTGCGAGAGGTCCTCCTGGCCCCCCAGGCCCACCTGGGAAACCTGGATTGAGTTCCAAAGTGGATAAGTTGGTGAGTTCCAAAAGCTCATAACAAAGACAGAGTGGAACTTTTTTTTGTGTGGTCTTATACCACCCAGGAAATGATGCTGCACTGCCAGGACAGCTCTCTGCTTTTCTCTTTAGGCAAATTATCTCCTGTCTATATCCCCAACTTGAGTTACAGGTTGACTTTCCACCAGCTGAATGAAAATACCAGATGGCAGGGATTGCATGTGCCCCTGCTGCCCCCATTCTCAAATCTGAAACAGATGTTGGGAGCTATGCAGGAGATAGGAGAACAAGGGAAAAATCACTCTGCACCACTGCAAACCCACTTCTGTATCTTTGGGTGGAGCTTTATTATGTACCTGCCAAGCCTTCCTTACTCTAGGTAGAATCCTTTAATTTTTTTCCAGCTTTTAACATTCTAAATTGCTTGAACGTATTTGTGGTTCTGCCTTGAATAGTGTTATATTTTTACTGTTGCAATGTTTTATTGTAAATATTTCTGGGAGAATTTACATAAATATTAATTACTCATTGGCTGTTCATTCAGTCTTTCTGGTGGAAGATTTAGTATATAAAGTATTAAATTGCAGAATAACAGTTCCACCCCCCAAAATTTATTAACATGCTCTCTTTGTCTGGATATACTCAATGTAAACCAAGAATATAGCAGATGAAATTAGGTTGACATATTACTTTGAACTACTTAGGTCTTTGTTTCAATAGCATTTAGCTTTGATACTGTATGCTTAGCTTAGCATATAATTTGTTTGCATCTGTGCTTTTTTTCTTCCAGACATTTATTGATATGGAGGGCTCTGGTTTTGGAAGTGAGTTGGAGTCTTTGCGAGTAAGTACCTAAGTTGTATAAATAGGGGAACCAAGGTTCCATTGATTAGACTGGATTTGGGAGGAAGAAAGAGAGATACAATAATATTCAATCTTCAATATTGAGTCATCCAGATGTTTCAATACACTAACTCCAAAAATAGCTCCATTGATTTTTAACCAGAAGCCCAAAGTCTCTGTACATCATGATCTTCAAACATGAATGATGTAGCATTTGCTCAGCAAGCAAATTAACTTGGCTGGAATATTCTATGTGCTTCTGAGGTTGGGCGCACCTCTGATTAGAACAGAAGTCTCCAAACTTGGCAACTTTGTGGAGTTTAATTCCTGAATTCTGGAAGTTGAAGTCCACAGATCTCAAAGTTGCCAAACTTGGAGACCCCTGGATTAGAATGTACATTATATTTATTATGTTTCAGGGTCCCAGAGGGCCACCTGGGCCTCCAGGCCCTCCTGGTGTACCTGGTTTACCAGGACAACCTGGAAGATTTGGGACAAATGGCACTGACTTTCCAGGCCTCCCAGGCCTCCCTGGAGTTCCAGGAAGAAATGGCAACTCAGGAATCCCAGGACCTCCGGTAAGTAAAGGGGAAAATATCGTGCAACTCTGTCTCCAAAAGCTACCCAATGTCTCATTCTGTCATGGTAATCAAGTTTTCTGTTGTGTAATGTGTGTGTAGTGGGAGGAGGCTTGTATGACCTTTGCTAGCTGTGCTTATCATGCTGAATGTTGTGTATTAATGAAGAACATGTTTCATTGGCATATTAGTAGAATTTGGGAAGAGTCTGGAAATGAGGGTTGGCTTTAGCTTCTATGGTCTAGTAGTTAAGGTGTTGAACTAGAATAAGGTCCATGTGCACCCTCAGCCATTGAAGCTCATTGGGTGATTTATGGCATCCATCAGTCATTCTCTCAATCCAACATGCCTTCTAGGCTTATTGTGGGGGGAAATTTCGAGGAAGGAAACGATGTATTCTGCTTTGAGCTCCTATAAAACTAATAAAAAGAAATAAATAAATACAGGCAGGTTAATAGTGGTAAAAAAAAATCAAGCTTTTATTCATCTGCTGTGGATGTAGATGTCCACATTTTCCAAAGTATAAATACCACACAAAAATCTTGCATAGGATAATCTCTCAACAGTTTGATTTAACTGAGGAAAAAAAAATTTCATACTGTTTTCCAGGGCCCACTTGGGCCTCCAGGAAAAGATGGCATCCCTGGTCAACCTGGAGAAAAAGGAGCACCGGTATGTATTTTTCCTTTTCAACGAGGCTCAGGATCACCAGAGTACACACTGAGGAGGACCAAGCCAGGGAAACTGGACTTCCTCTGCCATTACCTACTTAGTCAAGGTGTGTTTCAGCACTCCAGTGTAAATTCACTAGTCTTTCCCTTTCCTGTTTCCAGGGAGAACCAGGTGAAATGGGCTTTCCAGGAGCACCTGGACCAGAGGTACAATTACTTATTTTCTAAAGAAATAGTTACTAGTCCCTATGTTGATTCTAGTTTGGTAACATTACAACATTGTAAGGTTTTTTTTAATGTATATGCTAAGTTTTTTGAGTGCAAGTGTTTAAAAATTTTCAATTTTAAATTTCACTGAATCAGGTTCCAATGTTGGTGATTTCACAAATATGTCCATGAAGCTTTCTTGGCAACAGTATGAAACTAGTTTGTCAATCTCTTCTTCTTAGTGGTAGGATAGGTGGCTGTCTGGAGAGACAGAAATTCTTAGATTATTTTACAGTCTTTATAGTGCCTGTTGCATAGGATAGGATTCAACTACTAACTTGGTCATATCCTTCTTCTCTTTTCGAGATCAGTCAAGGCTGGGTGCTTTATTTTTCTGCCAAGCATTTGTGTTTGTACGTTTAGCTGATTTTATCAATTCCATTTGAGAGTCATCCCAGTGTTCTGTGGAAGGAAACATATTTACAGCTCATGCTCCCTTTCAAAGAGCCCAGGGCTTATAAAGCATTGTAAGTGTTCTAGTTGTAGGTGCTGAGAATACAATAATGTGTTAGAGATGTCTTTTGTACTTATGGAGAAATGCAATTTTCTTCCTTCTTAGGACATGGTAGCAAAACAGGTCTGTAGTGGAAGTGTGTCCCAGGATTGCCATCCAGGGGAACATAATCTTACTTTATAAAGTTGCATATTATGTGATACATTTTTAAGAAGATAGTTTCTCCCGCCCTGAAAACAGCTTGGTCTGGTTTCAAAATATACTAGATTGGAGGACTTAATTCCATGTGCCAGAACTTAATGGAACTTAAAGGGATTTAATTCTATGTGCCAGAGAATGGAATTATGCCAAAAAGCAGTATTATAATACATTATTAACCCAGAAAAATCTGTATAGCCCATTGTGACATGTGGACATAAGTATCAGCATTTGATATTTTGGCTGAAGTGTCTTCCATTACTGCCCTACCTGATTGTTAAAGGTGGAATTTCTTTTATATCAACATCTTCCTTTAGCAAATACAGGTGGGGTTCTTTGAGCTACTTTTAACCCTCTTCCAGATTCTAGTCTTCATGCCATTATATGTTATAAAGTAAACACATTTCATTTGATTAATAGCCTCTGTTCATAAAGCCATCTGCTTTTGTTAACATTTTCCACCTCTTGATTTCTTCCTCTTTGCCCTATATATGATTCTTTAAAATATTAATTTATAAGTTACTGCAGTTGCTAATGCAGAATCTATTGCAAGAGTATTGCCAACGAAACACCTTTAAGTATCTCAGAGGCTCAGTATCTGGCCTTCCCCAGTTTTCTTGCTGGATCTTTTACGCCTCCATATCTTCCATTGATAAAGCTGATAAATAGCATAGTTTCCATCTAACAAGCTGAAGAGGCAGCAGCCAACTTGGCGCCCAGTGAGAAAATGTTGGCCTAAATTCTCAACTCCTTCACAACAAAAATTTCTCATGAAGATTTAAAACTTAATGTAACATTCCATTGTTATCATTCTAAGAAGTGGGCATAATTTATAGATTCATGTACCAGCCACTTAATCATATGACTGCTTCAAGATGAGTTAAATTTCCACTGTCAAACACAACATGCAGAACATAATAAGAGTCCTGCTGGATGAGGCCAAAAACCTATCTAATCCACTTCCTAATGCCGGGACTAACTAGACACATTCAGAAAGGTCAAGCGAAGACAATAGCTATGATGCTCCCAAGCAGGTGTTGTTTAAATATGCTGACTGTGATTCAGAAGGTAATAAACAGCCACCAAACCTGAAAGCTACTGATCATTTGGTCCTCCATTAATTTGCTGAGTCCTATTTTAACTTGTTTTAAATTGGTGGGCTTCAAATTCTACCAGCCCCAAGTAAATTGGCCAATAGTTGGGCATAATAGGAGCTGCAGTCCAACACATGAAGATAATCTGCCTGGACCGGAGTTCATGAAACTGACACTGGCATTTCAGAGACGGGGTGTTTTTTAATTAGCAAATTGAAAAGCTAAGAGCAGAAGACTATTAAATATAAAAAGGGTTGTATTTGCTGATGTCGATTGTACTTGTTGCAACTACTTTTCCCTTTCAGCATGCTCGTTCTATCATGCAATACAAGGGTATGAACATAATTTCTTAGCCAGCATATGTTGTCAAATGTCTGAGTCATAGCAAATTTGCCTCTTACTTATGCGAGATGCTTATTTTTCTGAGGTTCCACAACAATCCATAAGCACAGTATCACAATCACGCAAGATGTGATGTCACACCTAAAATGTCAACTGTATTCTTCAGTTTTGAGCAAGTAGTCATAATGTGTATAATCTTGCACTTTTATTGAATCTCAAAGTAATGTGTGGTAATATGTGTAGCACAATTATAACCATCTATTTTGTTTATTTATTAATTTCTTATGCCACCCATCTCCCCTATAAACTGACTCTACCCATTCTGTATAATGTAGATGCAATTCTGGGATTTGGTTCCAACAAATATACTTAGTTTAATGCTTGCAGAGGAACATTTTGTTCTGTGAATACCTTGCTTGGTATGATGTAGTAAGAGATGAATGGTGTAATTAGGCATCTGTATACATCTGCAAGCAAACAACCAAGCTCAGAGAGCACTCAATGGATGTCTATACATACATATAAGTGCAGACATACATATGTAATCCATATCAGATTATATATAATCAGAAATCTGTGAATCATGGATACATGTATTCCTATCTTTCTATTTTGAAATTCTAATTTGCACGGCTCTGAATTCTTTACCCCTTGTTAGAAATAGACTTATCTTAATTTTTAATGTTCTTTCAGGGCAACCAAGGAGTGCCGGGATTTCCAGGAACACCAGGTGAACCTGGTCTCGCAGGCCTACCTGGGCCAATGGGACCCCGTGGATTGCCTGGGCCCCCTGGGCCGGGCATTGCAGCAGAATTTGTGAGTACCAAACATTTGAGTGTGGCTTAGAACAAGGCAGGGGTGAAATCTAGCAGGTTCTGAAAGGTTCTGGAGAACTGGTAGCGGAAATTTTGAGCAGTTCGGAGAACCGGTAGCAGAAATTTTGACAGTTCAGAGAACTGGCAAATACCACCTCTGGCTGGGCCAAGAGTGGGTGGGAATGGAGATTTTGCAGTATCCTTCCCCTGGAATGGGGTGGGATTGGAGATTTTGCAGTATCCTTCCCCTGCCACACCCACCAAGCCATGCCATGCCCACCAAGCCACGCCCACAGAACCGGTAGTAAAAAAATTTGGATTTCACCACTGGAAGAAGGTGCAAAAATGCAGCACAGCACTGCAATTTCTAGTTCGATTTATTTGTTACTCGTTATTGCTATTACTGAACCATCAATGCCCTTGATAGTTCACAGGGAAATAGTAGAAATTGACCAAATCTATAACAATTTGTGATCCAATACAGAGTGAGAAAACAGACAAAATTGAAAAAATACAGGGAGAATGTCCCTTCAGTTCATTTATTATACCCAGCAAGGCTCTATGTTAAGTTCTTGTTGGTCAATTTTAGAACTCATGTTGGGCAAGCAGTGATTCGTGGATGCAGTTCTTGGATAAATATGTTTATTGCAAGAACCAGGTTAACCAGCTGTTAAGAAGGAATTTCAATAACTGCTAAGTATGAAACACAAGCCTCGTTTATAGTAAAATCAGAGTTTGATTCTTCTGCTTCTTTCTCCCACCCACATGGTGCAACAATGGGGAGGCCTCCCTCCATCTTTTGTAATGGACAAGGTTGTTTGAGTCTATTTGCTTCTGAAACAGAAGGATGAAGACTAGAAAAGATTAAGGCAGTGGTTTACTGGGAGAGGAGGGCATTCTGTGGGAAGCTTTGTTGAAAAACTCTTTAAATGAGGGGATTACCACCCATGCTCAGAGGTCAGGAAAGACAAATCTGTTCCTTCATCTTTTTATTCCTTCAATATGAAAAACTTTGATCTGTTAAAGGGAATCAATGTAGGTTGGACGACCAAGGACAAAAGACAAATCTTTTTGGCAGCAAAGCCTGCTAAGAGAAAGGCTGCTAAGAGAAAGGCTACAGTGATGATGACAATCACAGAAAGGGAGACCATGTCATTGATGACATCATGTTTCATTGAGAGCGCAGAAAATGGGGTTGAATAGTATTTGTTATGTTATACATAGCATATATGTGTGTGTGCACATGCACGCACACAGACACATACATCATTGTACAATTGTATTTTTTTATTGTATTTATATCCTACCTTTATTTTTTTAATAATACCTCAAGGGGGCAATCATTCCTAATACTTCTTCCTCATCCTATTTTTCCCCATAGCAACAACCCTGTGAAGTGTGTTAGGCTGAGAGAGAGTTACTGGCCCAGAATCACCCAACCGGCTTTCCTGGTTTCTAGCCGGGTGCCTTAACCGCTAGACGAAACAAACCCAATAACCTAGGAAAAGCTAAAATATTGGGAGATGATAAGAAAAGAAGAGTTTAGCTATCAGAAATATGTACCACATTCAGATCTGTAAGTAGAAAAAAATATATAACTGAAATTAGAAACATTTAGAAGATGAGCTATTTTCAGTTCAACCAAGATATAAACCAATAGGAAGTAAGATGCAAGAAAGAAAAACACAATCTTCTATGTAGGGTTTAACAAACTAGGAAATAAGCATATGGATTCGGCTGTCATTAGGACTATGATCCTTCCTATCTTCATTCATTGGCTTGTTCCTTTCAAGTATTTATAATTTGTTGGGCAGGGAAAGAGACACAGCCTTAACAAAATGACATTCAAAGAAGACACATGATAACATACTATTTGACTAATAACATATATTGCTTTTTAGGTTGACATGGAGGGCTCAGGATTCCCATTAGTTTCTGGTGGTCCTGGAACTCGTGGGCCAGAAGGTCCTCCGGTAATCCACTTTATATTCCTTTTCATGGATAGGAATATGGATATGCAAGCATATGAAGACTGACTGAATTTAGCTGTAACTTCTTTCTATTTGCAGGGGCTTCCAGGACTCCCAGGACTTCCAGGTCCTCCAGGACCCAAGGTCTGGATTTTAAAATGTTGGATGCTTTTGTTTCATTACCTGAAATATAGTTTAGCAGGGTGGCTTTGTCTATTTTAATTTGAAATTGTCTCTGCAAATGATAAGGAGCATTTTATGAGTGTCCATGATCATGGCTACAGCCCATTCTGTCAGAGTGTCCATAAGCTGCTCTCCCAAGCCTTCTGATACCCACTGATTCTAAAAAGTTTCCAGTCCTTAGAATACACCTTAATGTAATTTTTTTCATTAGCTTATTCAAATTCACTTTGAAATAAATAAGGTCTACAGAGCTGATGCAGAATTGCTGATTGTGCTGCACCAATTCAGAAACTGCACCAATAAGAATGGTACATATTTGTATCTTGCACAAGTAATTGATAGAGGAGTTATGGGGAAGTTCCTTATTATTAGACTTAACTCTTTATGATACATGGTGTTCTGTGTTTTGACCATAAGTCAGGAATATCTGTTGGACCATTTGTTGTTCCCACAGTCCAAAAGCAAGATAGGTAGACATGCAAATGGCTTATCTTTCTGTGTTTTATTTAGATCCTGTGACACATTGCCACTTTGATTCATGTGTCCCCCACAAAAAATGATATTCATGTGCATATTAAGTAATATTTGTAAAAAAAACCCAGTCCATATATCAGTCTTTTTTTTTTTAACTCTAGGGAGATGAGGGCATCATTGGTCTCCCAGGCTTGCCAGGCGAAAAGGTAAGTTCATGTCAAGACATTTGATTTTTAAAATTACATTTATCTTCCTTCTGAACATAATATAAGAATAGAATAGAATATTGAATATTATAATATGGGTTATAATATGGATACAAAATTCCAAAGCCATTCTATTTTGCTAGAGTTCAGTTGAAGCCTGTTCCTTCACATCCAGACTTTCACATTTATTTATTTATTTTATTTATTTTATTTTATTAGATTTCTATACCGCCCTTCTCCCGAAGGACTCAGGGCGGTGAACAGCCAAAGGATAAAACACAAGAGTACAAAATTTAAAATAAATTAAAACAGATTAAACAATTTGGCTCAATTTTAAAAATATCCCATAATTAAACAAATTAAAATTAGTATTTAAAATTTAAATTTTAAAATTTTAAAAAGGAGAAGATTTAGGCCAGGCCAGCTTGATGGAATAAAAACGTTTTAAGCGCGCGGCGGAAGGTGCGCAAGTCCGGGATCCTCCATATCTCCGGGGGGAGCTCGTTCCAGACTGTAGGTGCCCCCACAGAGAAGGCTCTCCCCCTGGGGGCCGCCAGTCGACATTGTTTGGCCGACGGCACCCAGAGGAGCCCCTCTCTATGGGAGTGTACTGGTCGGTGGGAGGCTATTGGTGGTAGCAGGCGGTCCCGTAAATAACCAGGTCCTAAGCCATGGAGCGCTTTAAAGGTGGTAACCAGAACCTTGAAGCGCACTCGGAAGACCACCGGGAGCCAGTGCAGCTCGCGCAGGAGAGGTGTTACATCCTCCAGATATCGGGTCATCACATGAATGTCATTGCCAGCCTGGCCTGGGATAGGTTGCACAATTGGTTGTCATCATCATACTGATGATACTGCAATTAGTTCATGTAGATATTTAGGAGGAGCAGTGAGAGACATGAACCTTAAGATACACTACATTACAGGAGTCTGGGATAGACTCCCCCCGCCCCCCCTCCAAGACTCACCAGAACCAGCCACAAAAAAAGAACAACTTCAGAACAGCGGCCACCCTGAAGCCACTCTTGAAGGATACCATGGCTGATGATGCTGAATCTATTCATAACATTTTTTCATGCTCACATGGAAGCCTGAAATAAATCAGGCTGCTTTAAATTGATAGGAGTGAAGCCATGTTAGCTCTCCCAGGAAAACCTGACAGGAAACACAACTAAATAAACTAATTCTACTTTACTATAAAGCTCCATTAACTGAATTTTGGAAGTCTAGAAGTACAGACTTCCCGCTGCCATTTTTAACTGCTTGGTTCATTTGGTCCTTCTTAAGTTTCTTTCTCTGACTGTTAATTTATTGGGGGCTCCTCCTTCAAATGTCTGATGGTTTCGTAGGCAGCATCTTTTCCCCTCACCCTCCAATGTTATCCATACATTACAGGCCATATGCTTACATGAAGTCTGAAGCACTTAATCATTTTTGAAGCATGCATAGCCTTAAATATATTTTAATGGGAGTTGAATTGTTGAATTATATTTGTGATGACAACCAGGACCTTTTCCCCCTTCCCACAGGGATATCCTGGCTTGCCAGGATTAGATGGTCGCCCTGGATTAGAAGGTTTCCCAGGACCACAAGTGAGTAGGGCATTCAGTCCACGTACTACTCCTTCCAATTCCCTATGATTTTAGGAATTATTAGAATTACTGCTTTGAAAGCTTCTAGCCCTCGGACCCAGCAGATTATGATACAAATAACCTGTATACGAAGTTCTCCAGAAAGCATCAAGTAGCAGGACTGCTGCTGAAAATGGACTTTGATTCCTTATAATGAACATGTATGGTGTCTGTTTCTATTTGGTTAATTTAAAGAGACAGGGATATTTCTTCAATATCTGTAAGTGACCAAACATACTTCAAATATTTGTTGTAATGGTGATGATTGTTTACAGCTTTTAATTCATATAATTAGGCTCTATTCATTAATGGGAGAGATCATTTATAAAAGCAGAATAGACTGAGGAGTTGTTCCGTTTCTCAGTTGTGTCCGACTTTTTGTGACGCCATGGACCATAGCATGCCAGGCCCAACTGTCCTCCACTGTCTCCCAGAATTTTCCCAAATTCATGTTCATTGCATCAATGACACTATCTAAGTATCTCCTCCTCTGCCATCCCCTTCTTTTACCTTAAATCTTTCCCAGCATCAACAGCCCTCTCTTCTCATTTCAGATACTTTAATAGACCAAATGAAATGAAGGTAGTAAAGCAGAAGTCAAACAAATGAATCAAAAGTGATCTTTTCGTCATATCACATTTTCTGGATCTTAGTTCAGACCTCCATATGCTAGACCACAGTCACTATCATTTGCAGCAATCCCATAGTTGTCCATTGTATGAAATTGCCTTCTTCCCTGAAAATGTCTTTTTCTCCCTATTTCAGGGACAAAAGGGTGAAGAAGGAAGCCCAGGGTCTAAAGTGAGTACCATCTAGATTTGAGAAGAAATTATGTTTGTGTGTTATGTAATAACATTTGGATATTTTCCCTGAGGAATTTTGTTGGAGTCTGAAGAACATTATAATTTATTTTGTTTTAAACTACACTTTTCAAAACTTTTAGTTGATGATACCTATGACATCTAACAAATACCCCCAATTCACCTATTGCTGAAATATGTGTGGAATCAATATCTTCATTGATCTAGTTGCCATTATAAAGCATGAGGAGGATTATCTGTACATAGCTCTTAGATAAGACTGAGAGAACTGTTGGCTAGGGAGGAGAATGAATGACTAGCATTAAAATGGCTCCATTTTTGAATGCCCCAAATAATAGCAACTTCTGCAGAACTGAATTTGGCATTAAGAGATGTGGATGGAGAATTTTTATTTTAAATATGCAAAAAAAATTGTTCCTCCAAAATCCACATTAGAAATCTGAAATTTGCTAATATTTTTTCTAAATGATGCAGGAATACAATTTGAGCAGAACATATGTCAAGACTTTTTCTTTCTTTCTTTAAGGGTGAAAAAGGTCAAGATGGAATAGGACTTCCTGGCCCTCCTGGTCCTCCAGGACAAGCCGTGTACCTGTCTAGTGAAGATGTAAGAATATTTGTACCTTTTACTAACTATTTTTTGTTACTCTTCCGGAATAATGTTATCTGCGAGGGAATGGTGCTCCAGAAATTACAGTACTTTAATTCTAAATATTAAGTATTTTATGTTTAACCCAATGTTCCTCAACCTTAGAAACTAACATGTGTGAGCTTTAATTCCCAGAATTCTAGGAGTTGAAGTCCACACATCTTAAAGTTGTTATGGTTGAGAAAAAATGCTATAACCATAAAGATACTACTATACAATTATTGCTATTGTATAGCTGCACATCTAGAATGAAGATACTTTGGGTTGTGGTTTTTTAAAAATCTAAATCCTGAATTTCTGAGTTTTCAGGCATATGCCGAATAGAAGTATTTGAAAACACAATTATATGCAGATACAAAGCATACAATGCAGATGCAGATTTAAGTGTGTTCATTAGCATTTTATGGTGCTTAACTGCTCTCTTTAAATGTTTTGCTGAGCAATCTAAGAAAAAGCAGTCGTGATCTCATGTTTAACAAATGGTTTTATTATTTTTAGAAAACTGTGCCTGTTTTGCCAGGCCCAGAGGTAAGTAGAAGGGAAGGCTTTATAAATATTGCTTCCAGCTTTAGAAACATTTAGTTTTTGTTGCTAGGTGCCTAAAATAGGATTAGATTGCCTGCAGCAGTATAAACCTTAGCTTTTCCTAGGTAAATCTGGTCCTTATCTGAACTTTTATTATTAAGATTAAAGTTATGACAATCTTTTCTCAATATACTGTAATTCTCAAGAAGTAGGACTAAATTTCCTCAGTTTTTCCTTTGGGACATCATGGCATGAGTGGTCAGTGTCCTGGAGGTGGTTGAGGAGCAATATGCATGAAATCTGTGATCTGAAGTTGTTTTTCTTTGAAGGTCTTATCTACTTGCCCACTCTGAAAGGGTTCGCTCTACTTAGATTTCTCCTGAAGGCATTCTAGAGAGTTCTGTTGCATATTTTGCAGCAGTTCTATTCTGTTCTGGAAAGGGACCGTCTGAGGTCTCTTCAGAACAAACATGTGGATTATGAAGTGGTGCTACAGACAACTGGCATCCCACATAATGTAATTCCAAGCCTCTGAAACTGCTCTTACCCTTGAAGTGCTCTTATAATTAGGGAGGATCTTCCATTCTGATGAAAAATAGCAGTTCTTGAACCTTGGCAATGAGGGAAAGCTGTTATGTAGTGGTCAAGAATTAGACAGGTAAGAATTGGGCATGTAGTGAAATCAAACCAAACAAGGTAGTATGTGTTGTTGGGGGATTGTAAACCTGTCTTCTTTCTCTTTTCAGCATGTTAAAGGCAACTTTAATTTGCAGGACTATTAAAATTATCTGGGTGCTCCTCTGTGTGAGGAACTGAGAGTGTCATTATATTTTTCAGGCCACAGAAATATTTCTGAGCTTTCTTTTGACCCTAAAGCTTCTCTTCTTCTCTTCTCTTCTCTTCTCTTCTCTTCTCTTCTCTTCTCTTCTCTTCTCTTCTCTTCTCTCCTCTCCTCTCCTCTCCTCTCCTCTCCTCTCCTCTCCTCTCCTCCTCTCCCCTGCCCTCTCCTTGTATTAATTTTTCTTGTCCTTTATAAGGTATTAAAATTTGTACCTGGAAAACTTCATTATCTGTCTGTCTGTCTGTCAGTCAATCGATCACCTTCTACAGGAAGAGAATACAGGATAGCATTCTATGCTATGAGACATCCAAGCCAAACTGTTTACAAACTCCAAGAAAGAAACATTTTAACAATAAATCTTCAGGAAACTAGGATATTCAGGGCAATATTTCTTCAGCAGGTTCTATTTCCAAGTAGGTTAATGAAGGAAATAAGGGCCTATTGGCTTTAATGTACCATAGGAGAAGCATATGCAGTTAGTAAAAGTGCTCAAAAATAAAATTGCTCCATTAGCCCATGAAAGAATCGGACATGAGACTTGATGACATAAAATGTGTACCTTCCTCTTTAGGGACCAAAGGGACCAAAAGGTGACTCAGGAACTCCAGGTTTACAAGGCTATCCTGGACTGAAGGTAAGATTGTATAAAGTACTTTTAAAAAAGAAATCTTGGTTGCAAAATCATCATCATAGTGGAAAATTGTCTCTTTTCTCTTATTTAGTTTGCTTCTAATTTTACTATTGCTATATCACCAACTCTGTTTCAATCATCAGAAGTGCCATCACTGGCTCATTTTCACCCTCAAATTAAGCTTTTCCTAAAGTCTTCCTTAAGTTAGAATAATACCCTGTTTTCCCCAAAATAAGACATCCCAGGATAATAAGCCCAGTCAGGCTTTTTGAGTGCATGGCAATAAGGCCAAGCATTTAGTTCAGGATTCAAAAAAATATAAGACAGGGTCTTATTTTTGGGGAAACACCAGGGGTGAAATCCAGCAGGTTCTGGCAGGTTCTGGAGAACTGGTAGTGGAAATTTTGAGCAGTTCGGAGAACTGATAGCAAAAATTTTGTGTAGTTTGGAGAACTGGCAAATACCACCTCTGGCTGGCCCCAGAGTTGGGTGGGAATGGAGACTTTGCAATATCCTTCCCCCAGGAGTGGGGTGGGAATGGAGATTTTGCAGTATCCTTCCCACTGGAGTGGGGTGGGAATGGAGATTTTACAGTATCCTTCCCCTGCCACAGCTACCAACCCACGCCCACAGAACTGGTAGTAAAAAAAAATTGGATTTCATGACTGGGAAACACGGTATTAGCAAGCAGTTTCATTGGTTGGAATTTGTGGAAAAGCTAAATGGAAAATGAAACAGGAGAAATTGGATTTGATGATGTTCTGGTAAAATTACATTGAATTTCTGGAAAACAAGAAGAGTATCACTGAAAATAACTGATTAAATGGCTATTGCTACTAGTCAATTTCCCCTATTTAAAATGTCTTTTGTAGGGTATTTTATTTTTTCCTTTGTTAAATGAGCAATATCTCTTACTTATGTGATCAACGGTAGGAAAAAAAAACATTTTATTGCAATGTTACCTAACATTGCCATATTCATGTGTTATTTCCATTGTAGAAATATACAGGAAAGATATACATAATGTGCAAATACTTTAGGAAAGACCATATTTAAGATTGGTTTAGTTAGATATTATGTTCCCTTGTACAAATTGTACTGACCATGTCACAGCATGATGACCCTAACACAGTCAGAAGTAAAAACTATAGTAGTTTTTAGCCAAAATGCACTCCTGTATTACAGCTTTTACAGTATGTGCAACTTGCTTACTGAATAATTTATTTTAAAAATTGAGAGTTGGGATAATTATTTATTTAGGTTCAGGATAATAACTGCAGTCAGTACTTAATTTGTGTCAGGAATGGGAGTATATATGCCTTGGACCTAAGTGCAAAAGTATCATTTGGGTACTTTGGAATCCAGTTTAATTTCTCCTTGTTTTAATAAAATGATTGCATTGTACTAAAGAGATGTTTATATAAGGTGACCAATCGTCCTTCTTTTGTAAGTTCTGTCGTCTCTCGAAAAGTGTCCTCCTACATGTCCTCCTTTTCAATATTTGAAGATTAATCTGTAAATCTCCGTATTCGATCGATGCCGATCCGATCCGATCCGTTGCGTGTGATGTGACGAATTTGTATTTGACATGACAATTCGTCAAAGCTCGGTACAGTGCGGTGAGACTCAATTATGAGACGCATGCGGTCCGCACAGAATTGTTTTGAGAGAGTGCGCTGCGCGCAAGTGGCTTTGTTTACTTCTTACCGAAACACGACATGGCACACACGCATGCTTTGTTCATTGTTGCATTGAATAAAATGTTTCTTTTATTTACTATTTTTTTTCTTCAATTTACTTGTGTCCTCCTCCTCATCGTAAAAAAGTTGGTCATCTTAGTTTATAATATGAGCTGCATCTGCTCTGAAAATGATAAAAACCACTGTATCCTTCTTGTGTTTTGCCCCCTGGACAGGGTGAAAAAGGAGAGCCAGGAGTTGTAACTAGGCCTGATGGAACAATCCTTGCAGCTGAAGCAAAAGGAGAAAAGGTATAGCTTCTTTTTTTTTTTTTTTGCTTACATTTGAAAAATGTTTCCCAATTACTATTGCTTTTGTGCAGCAAGATACTATTTATTTGTTTGTTTGTTTGTTTGTCATATTTCTATGCCGCCCACTCTCCGAGGACTCTGGGCGGCTTACACCAAAGGCAGTATACTAAATAGCATATTGCCCCCAACAATCTGGGTCCTCATTTTACCCACCTCGGAAGGATGGAAGGCTAAGTCGATCTTGAGCCAGTGAGATTTGATCCACTGATCTGCTGAACTAGCAGTCAGCTGCAGTACTGCACTCTAACCACTGCGCCACCTCGGCTCAATGTTACTAAAGGATCCACTTCTCATATAGTAAGGAAAGAGGGTCCCTAACCCAGCTTCTGACATAAAACCTCCATTGGCTTTAGGATTCTTTAAATCTATCTTCCTATTCGAAGTTATTTACAGATTTTGCTAAACTTCAGTTCTTGTAATTCTGTGGTAATTAGGCAATGCTGAAAGAGGAAGTTCTATAGAGAGGTGTCTAGTTAAGGGGAACTGTTCCTAAAATAATGTGCCTTTCTGACCATATATCTTTTTTATTTACAGGGTGAACCAGGCCCAAGTGGACCTATGGGACCTGGAGTAAGTTATAAATGGTATCTTTGCTTTTATGCAAGGAATTAATTTCAAAATTAAGCACTCTTCACGATAGTTATTACTTCATTTTTTTGGACTAATGAAACTTTAAAGATTATTCTCATCATTGTATTTGTTGTCCCAGATTGTGGTTTAAATACTGCTTCACCAGGGGTGGGTTCCAGTTACCTTTCCTACTGGTTTGCAGTGGGAGCACGCGCGGGCTTCTGCGCATGCGCAGATCACCCATGATGACATCATGGCGGGTGGGCGGAGCCTCCACCAGTTTTACTACCAGTTCTATAGAACTGGACCGAACCGGGAGCAACCCACCACTCTGCTGCACCCTTTCTCTTTATTTTTGTAGGTGCAATTAAGAAATTTTACAGAGTAGAAAATCTGCAACAAAATATTGTAGTCCTCCTCACCTCAAAGTGACTGAAACCTGCCCAGGATAGCCATTTCTGTCCTATGTCCTGTGTTAATTTTTATATGGATGCTTAGTTTTTTTCATGATTGTGCAGCATGCTTTCATTGGGCTTTTTGTGAGGCAGAGGGCAATATTAGGGTTTTCTCTAATACAGGTTTTCCCTAACCTTGGCAACTTTAAGATGTATGGATTTCAACTCCCAGAATTCCTCAGCCATTTTGTTGAAGTCCACATATCTTATAGTCACCAAGGCAGAGAAACACTGCTCTAATATATCCAAATCTGGGCATTTCCTTGACCTCTATAATTTCCCCAGGAGCCTTAGTACTATTTTTTTGTCCAGTCGCTGCATTTTGACCTTGATTTTGCCAGCACTCGTGCAAAAATTTTCTGTTGGAATGAGCAGTGACACAGCCCTCCGGCTTCTTTCTGGGTTTATGAATCCTGTGGTATAAATATAGTATCATTGCAGTGATTCTGGGTCTTTCCATTTAACCATCTCTTTCTATCTTTTTAAATAGAGTTTTCCATTTTGCTTTCTTTTAGGGGCCACCTGGGCGATATGGACGGAAGGGAGAACTTGGCTTTCCTGGAAGACCTGTAAGAATTTTGATATTTATCTATCTAGTTATTTATTTAATTTATATGCAGCCCATCACTCCATTTTAGTCCCTTTCTGAGATATACAATATATATGCAATAAACTCTCAACTCATCGTCCCGTATTTGACTGGAATTAAAGAAGTGGCAGAAATTAAAATTATGTATATTTTCTTGAAAATGAACAATGAATCAGTAAAAAAAGGAATGCAGGCCCATAATGTTCTGCAGGCAACTGCTCCAGGAAATAAATACCCATGCCACACTCTGTAGTATCTGCAAACTAAAAGTAACTCCTTTTCCAACCACTTTTCTCATAGCCTCCTTAGCAAGATTTGTAAAGAGGAAAGGCTGGGAGTTTCAAGAATCTAGCAACTGAACTATTGTCCTTTTACAACCAATATATTCTAAAGTCATTAGGATAAAGTCTTCTTCATTGTATTTTTATTGCTTTTCTGTGAACTGGTAGACTGGTGAATCAATTCACTGACAATAATGAGTGAACCATCTCCTGAATCCTTATTAATATCAAAACTGACCATTAGAACTCATGAGTTTTCTTAGCTATTCCTATCGAAAGCAGAATTCTGGCTCCATACAGATACAGCTATGTCAACTTCATGGTATTTTTCTATCTTCCTTATGAGCACATGGCTATCTCACTACAGTGGCGCCCTTTCTTTTAGGATCCAGCTGCTCAACAAAATAATCCCACTAGCCCACAATTTGACTTACATGGCACTTCTGCAGCTGCTGTTGGAATGACTCTCCAGTGTGTATTTTGCACTTTAGCTAGATTCTCTGGCAGAGTCAAAACAACACTAAGGAAGGAGAGCAGCTGTCACACAAGGCACCAGCCAGAATCATCCATGAGCATCTCTCCAGGGCCAAGAGTGTCCTTCACGCTTTTTGGCTATCCTTCTTTAGCTTATCCACCCATTCAAGACAAACTGTAGCATAATGGCTCTCCCTCATGAGTTTTTTTTAGACACAAGAATGGTCTTCACAAATTATTCACAAATAACTGCACAGCCATAACTTCTTTCTTCTCTCCACTTTTTTTGCTCTGCACCCATTAGAAGCAGGAAAGATGATGGTGGCTGAGCTGTTGGTACATGACTTCCCTCCTCACATTATGTCATTTCTGTCATCCTTGAAACAGAATGTAATTAATTTATGTACTAGTTTGTACAGTTTAAATTCTGGGTGTTTTATTTTGATTGTTTTGTTTCACTATAAATGTAGTTGAAAGATTATGCAAACGTTTTAGTATAAAAAGACCATATTTCATTATATTTAGCCTTTTATAATCTTAAGAGTATATGTGGCTCGTTCATAAATTGTAAGTGACATAAGATCTTTAATCTACTGAATAAGTCATCCATACAGCTACTTTTCTGATATTGAAAGATTAGCTGCATATACACGTATAAACTCAGATGTAGATATATAAATGAAGTAGAGATAGATAGAGATAATGTTTTGTTATTTTTTCCCTCTTTTTTCTTTCCTTCTTTTTTCTTCTCTGTTCTGTTTTATTAAATAAATAAATCCAATTATTCTTTCTGTGGATATTTCATTGCATTTTATTCAGCTACTCCTCACCATCTTTTGAAGGCAATTCCATTGATTTGTTGATCCTTTCAGGGCCGGCCTGGTATGAACGGATTGAAAGGAGAAAAAGGTGACCCAGCAGATTTAAGTGGAGCGCTGGGCTTAAGGGTAAGTAAGCAATTTTTGAATGATAAGAAAAGAATAGATGTGCTGCATCAGACCAGGGGTCCCTCCAGTAGCTTTCTGTGTACCACAGTGGCTTACCAGGTTTATTCAGGAAACTCAGAAATGCAGGCTGTCCAATGAAAGCTGTTTGCCATTGTTCCTCTCTAGCAGTTGGCATTCAAATATGCAGCTTATATATTGCAATTTGTCTGTCCCATTTAAATCCATTTGAATACAATTCCAAGAAGTTGGAATTTGGTGTAGTGGCTAAGGCACCAGGCTAGAAATCAAGAGACCTTGAGTTCTAGTCCCAACTTAGACACTAGGCTAGCTAGGTGGCCTCAGTCCAGCCCCTCGTTTTTAGCTCTAGGAAGGAGCTCTAGGAAGGAGCTCTAGGAAGGAGCTCTAGGATCTATCCGGCTCGCGGAAACCAGTAGCGGAGGTGGCGGGAGGCTCCACCCATCCGCCGGGACATCATTACGTCCCATTTATGACCCTCTGTGCATGCGCAGAAGAGGCATCCGCACTCACACTCCTGAACTGGTAGCGAAGGTAAGTGCATTTCACCGGTGAGGCAATGGCAAATAATTTTCAAAAATCTTGCTAAAAAACCTGTAGAGACATAGCCAACCGGTTACCAGAGTCAAGCCTGACTTAAAGGGACATAATTATATTGCACCTTAGGCTGAAGGATGGTGGCCAGCGATGCTGTCTCTGTTCAGCCAGTATTTAGTGAAGCTTCTCAGGCTCTATTATTGAAAGAAAAGGAAAAAAAGGAGAAAAAGGTGAAGTTACAACATCATCAAATTTAACCTTCAGTTACTTTGATCCAGCATAGACAGTTGCTCAATGTTCGGCCAAGCTTTTTGACAGTTAAGTCCCTCTACTACAAAAGTACAAGTTCATTGAGAATATATTTTGCTCTGAACTTGGGTCTGCTCTCCCCTTTGGTTGCCTAAGATCTAAGCAATGGGAAGCAGCACATAATCGGGGAGAAAAGTAGCAATGACTCCACTTGTGGGTTATCCTGTTCTAATCCAGGGGAGTTTTCCTGGATTCCAAGAAAAGTGATATGAATCCCCACAGATTTCTCAAATACACTGAGTAAGCAGCCATCTGCTAGTGCAGACTAATGAAAGGGGATATATTGCTGTATTCTTTGCAAAGCTGCAGGCTGCAATTTTACATTATTTTTAAATCTATGACTGATGGAATGATACACAAACTTGTATGTTTTCATCGTTGCCTATGCTGCTAACGATAAAGCTGGAACAAGATTTCGCTGGCGATGATATTTCCCATTTCTTTCTATTGTGTTTAGGTAGAGTTGAGTGGCTGCTGATGTATTGCATTCCCTCGGTCCTCTGTTTAATATTTCACCCTGTTAAATGTAATGAATGTCATGTTTTATATTCTTTTTCCCCTAGGGTCCTCCTGGCCCCCCAGGGCCTCCAGGCCCCCCAGGCAGTCCTGTACCTGTTTACGAGAATAATGTGAGTAATAGCTAAAGTACATCTCCACTTTCCGGGGAACTAAGGGGATATATTATTTTAGGGCAGGAAATGGAATGCCTAATTCTCTTTATAGCCATATGCTTTGATAGAAATTATGATTAAGATGATGATGATGATGATGATGATGATGATGATGATGATGATGATGATGATGATTATTGTTTCAGGCATTTAGTGATTTGGGCCCTCCAGGACCTCCAGGATTGCCTGGTAAGAAAGTGGTAGATCTGGATAAAGGAAGTGGGAGGTGGATTCAAGGCCTACAACCATGGTGGTTCTCGCCCATGTTTTACCCTTGAACTGGGGGGTAGTTGCAATAGAGCAGTGTTTTTCAACTTTGGCCTCTTTAAGACGTGCAGACTTCAACTCCCAGAATTCCCCAGCCAGCAGTGCTGGCTGGGGAATTCTGGGAGTTGAAATCCGCACGTCTTAAAGTGGCCAAGCTTGAAAAACACTGCAATAGAACATCCTCTTTCCAGTTTGGATTTTGCCAGATGGGTTGGATTCATTTTTCCACTAACCCTGCATATGGGCCACGTTGGCTGAGACTGATGGAAGATGTGATTCAAAACATTTGGGAGGAACCCAAGTGGGAAATACTGTGATAGAAACATAATATTTTTTTTCCTTCTCCTTTGGAATGTCTTGAGTTGCCATTATAACAATTTAACTTTTCCCCCATCTATTAGTTTTTGTATCGGAATCTTTGCATTGTTCTTCTCCTAAAGGTTTTTAAATAATTTTGTTTTAAAGGAAGCCACAATTTAAGCTTATGTCTACAGGGCTGTTTAAATGAACAGTTTCTGAACATTTGGTTTTGTGTTAGATTTCACTTGGGTTTGGAATGCGATGCTTTCTCACTAGTTCTTGGGGTGCCAAGCTTTATGCCAGTTTCTATTTCAGGCTACCATGGTCAGAAGGGAGAAAAAGGTGAACAGGGTCTTCCAGGGCCACCAGGTAAGATTCCCTAAAATATGATGCCTATTTAATTTCTCATTTCCTTCAGCTCTTATCAAGACTTGTCATGAATCATACAAAAGCCGAAAAATACCTTGATTTCCACAATGGGTGCCTGATTGCAAAAGCTGATGGAGTTAGGAGAGATGGCTAAATTGACTGCTTTAATCAAAGGGCACGGCTAACTTTGTTTCCACTTAGAAATCATTTCTGGACTTTGTGCTTGTGGTGTCAAAAAATGAAACTTTGACTTTAGGTTTTGTTGATTAGATAGGTTTGTTGTTATAGTAATGGTTAATATATATGATTATGTAAAAGTTGGGACTATACTGTATGTTATTACCTTATTCTACCATGCTAAAAAGAGTTGGAAGTCAATGCTTTTCTTTCTTTTCCCCCTTTTCCCCTATACTTTTTCCTCCTCCCTTTTTCCTCCTGTACTTTCCCATTCTTTTCATTTTTGTTTGTATTTTATATTTTGATAAACTAATGAAACGTTTGAAATTCGGGAATAACAGAACCTTCCCACAAATCAGTTCATTAAAATAAAATTTGAATATGGTGGATGGAAAAAAAAAACTCGCCATTGCTCATGTCACTGAAGGTAGAAGAGATGCTCATTATGGTATCCTTCATTTGTTTGACCTATTTGGAGGAATCTTCTTCCTAAGGCCCCAATATTCCAAAACCTGTAGGGAACTTTGAAAATGTGGCATGCTTTGACCTCAGGGTGGGCTGGTTTGTGAGTGACTCAGATGAGTTCTTGCTTTGCAGCAGATTATTGTTGTATGAGTTCATTTTCCTTTGATTTGCTTCCTATGTCTTGCTGTCTTGATAACCTATTATATACTGCCCACTGTCTTACTGGAATTGGAGAACTTTAACAAATCCAATAAACAAACAAACAATTATACACAACATTCTGATGGTCCTTCTTATATGGTTATCTCTTCAGACCCTCAGAATAATAATGATAATAAAAAAAATGTAAGCCTGGAATACATCTTCTAGGCCTATTATTTGCATTGGAAGATTCTCCAGCTCTGTTGCCTCAGTTCCTTTAAACAGAGATGTCAAAAACCAATGCAAAACCAGGATTATGGCATGGCCTATCTCTTAAACAAGGAAGCCAACCTTCAACTGAATCCATCTTCATTCTCTTAGAGTGTATATGTGCTGACTTTTTTAATACAAATTTGAGGATGATGAACATTTGCAGATGATGCAGGTGTAACTATATTGCCTATCAAATGTTCCCTAGAATTCACGATGTGAAACTAGTGAAAAAAGCAAGCTTAAAATAGTCTGCAAAAATAGCAACACATTGATTCTGAGAAACCAGCTTTTACATGCTTTGCTTTAAGCATCAAATTCCCTTGTCTTCAGGCACATTCTCTTTGTTTTCTGGAAAAAAAAAAGCTGATAATTATTTGTCTTTCTCTCTGGGTGTCGGTCTTCTATATTTATTTCCTCCCACTATCATTAAAATGAACTAAAAGATTTTGGAATCTGCTTTTCTTCCATAAAACTCAGCTCTCCGCTCTATGTCAGAAACTGTTACATGCCTCTCACTTCAGCCCTCCTTGTATTTATTCAGAAAGAGCCATGGTTATTGGAAAGTGAGTTCCAAAATGTCCATTCAGTAAATATAAATATTTGTTTCATATAATCCTGAGTGGTTTGGCAGTGCCTTGAAAGTTTATTGTAAAAGAGAGGAGAAAGGAAGCAAGTTTCTCAGCATAGTTCATGCTTTGCCAGGAGGACAACTGAATTCTCAATTTCCTTTTCTTCTCCACCAGGCCAGTTCCCTTATGACCTCAGCAGATTCAGCTCCACCTTCAGGGTAAGTAGCCTTCACTTGGGATGAAGCAGTGGTGAAATCCAATTTTTTTTTACTACCGGTTCTGTGGGCGTGGCTTGGTGGGTGTGGCTTCATGGACGTGGCAGGGGAAGAATACTGCAAAATCCCCATTCCCACCCCACTCTGGGGCCAGCCAGAGGTGGTATTTGTCAGTTCTCCGAACTACTTAAAATTTCCGCTACCGGTTCTCCAGAACCTGCCAGAACCTGCTGGATTACACCCCTGGGATGAAGTGTGGATTTATAAAGAAGCCGGGTTTCTTTATCCCAGGAAGATTGCTGGGGTAATCGATACACTGGACTTCAGAGCAAAGATGGCAAATCCATTTTGCCCAGCATGTGTTTATTAGGGACTGGATAATAATATAAGCAGGCATGGGATTTTCACTGCAGGCATATTTTGGTGAGTTACCTTAAGTATCAACCTCCATTGGTGGTATAATGGTGAGCATAGCTGCCTTCCAAGCAGTTGACCTGGGTTCAATGCCCAGCCAACTTTGCTTTTTTTCAATATTGTACTTGCTTCTCCATTTCAACATCATTGAAGTTGTATTCAACTAAACATGGCTGAAAGCCCAACCCTAATGTTACTGATGATCCCTGTGGGTTTGCAAGCGCTAAAGTTCTGCTGCTGTACAGATGAGGATGGTGGGCTATTCAGTGAACCAATTTCACACAACTTTATTTGGATTGGGTTGATTTCCATATCCTCAGGATACAAATTGCTGAAAATAGATACATACTCTTCCTTACTAGTATCTATCTCTTCTCACTTATTACTATAACCATGTTGCTTGTATCTTTCAATTTATATTGTTTTTATTTGTTTCCTAGTACAATTTGATATCTTATTAGCAACCTTGACTTTTATTGTTGTATCTTTTTATTCTCGATGAATGTATTTTATTCTCCTTATGTACACTGAGAGCATATACACCAAAGACAAATTCCTTGTGTGTCCAACCACACATGGCCAATAAAGAATTCTAATCTAATCTAATCTAATCTAATCTAATCTAATCTAATCTAATCTAATCTAATCTAAAATGTAGCTTTTTAAACCAAGGAGCCTCAGATTATCTAGTTTTGCAAACAGCATGGCTAGTATGTTATTTCTGGTTACTTATAGTTTATCCGTGATCAAGGTATGCATAATCAAAATTGATGAACGTTAGTCTCCAAACAACTAAATAATCATTCATTCGCTCAGACTTCTCAGTGACAGATTCACAAATTGCACAAACATTTAATATGCTTGCCTTCATATAGTTTAACATTAACTAGGAGTTCCCAGCTCAAACTGTCATGGCAACTAGTTCATTAGCCTACAGGCTACAGAAGCTTTTTCGTACAATAATGTAGGTCTCTAGGGAACCAAAATTAAGTGTGTTGCAATATGCCATTAAACATACATTTATTAAATAAAAAACCTTTAGTGCAAAAAAGAGCTATTTTTGACATTTTACTTGGCTGCTACTCTGGCAATGATTATTATTAAGCAGAACTGTCTGATTCTATTGCTGAATAACAACATAAAAGCTTTGAACCTAACCATCTGAAATATGTCTAATTTAGTCATTCAGAAGAGGCAATGGTGTCTGACAGTTATCTCCAATGAGTTTTGTCTTCAATTGGGCATGTATTACCCTCTCTTAAGAGCCAGTTTGTATTAGTAATTAAGACAACAGGCTAGAAATGGGAAACTGGGACTTCTATTTCAGCCTTAGGTACAAAGCTAGCAGGATGACCTGTTTCAGCCTTAGGTACAAAGCTGGCTGGTTTATCTTAGCCCTAGGAAAAGGTAGGAGTTCCAAAATCTTGGTAAGCAAACTGCAGGGAGTTGTCCAGGCAGTCACCAAGAATCAGAAACTGACTCAAAGGAACAAATAAAATAAAATAAAATAAAATATCATCATCTAAATCAGCCTTGCATTTATAGAGCATAGTAGCCAAGGTGGTGTTTTAGTTCAGAATTAGAAATTTTGTCCTTATGTCTCATTTCTGCTTTTTCTTTGTGATTCCCATTTGGAGGTTTCACTTGTTCCTTTGCCGCCTCAAGCAAGAGAAAAAGGCGGACGCATTTCAGTTGATGATTGTAGCATGTTTGCTTACGAATTCTCTTTCCATAGGGAGAAAGAGGGGACAAAGGTGATCCTGGAATGAAAGGCGAAAAAGGTGAATCAGGTGGTGGATCAAATGCTGCTGGACTTCCTGGTCCCCAAGGGTATCCTGGTCTTCCGGTGAGAGTTGTCCTAACATACAATAACGTCTTTATAAAATGGCATGTTCTTCTGCCATATTCCTTGATAGTTTTCAAGAGGGTGAAAATGTTACCATGTATGAAGCAGCTTTAAGTGTCTATGTCAGGGGTGTCAAACTCATGTCATCACGGTGGCATCACATGACGTATCGGGACTTTTTTCCCCCTTCACTAAACCAGGTGTGGGTGTAGCCAGTGCATGATGCATCTGGCCCATGGGCCACGAGTTTGACAACCCTGGTCTAGGTAGTCTTGAAAAGGAAAAAGACTAAACTCTCAAAGAGCAGAAGCTTTTCAGTGTTGCTTCTTAGCAAAAACTAGTGTCCTGTAGTGTAAAGACATAGTAGTTTACATTAGTGTTGAGGCCCATTGGAAATTGGGGTGTAAGGTCCTGCCTCACCAGCCTTCTCAAGAAAGCAGAACTCTTGAACAAACAGCATTTCAAAAGGAACTTTTATTGGAAGACAATGAGAGTGTAGGCAGAATCTGATTTTTCCGAGCTGAAGTGTTAAGTTAAACCACTTCTTTGAGGCCCCTCCCAATGTCCAGTTCAATTTTGAGCCAATTGCAAGGTGCGAAGATGTGAGAGTTTCAGGCTGTGAAGGTGATAAGAGGTGGTTCCCAGGCACTATGATCTCGCTTCTCCGGAGTTGAGACAAAACAGATAGCCCAAGGCACAGTCTTTCCCCACTCCCAACTTCCCAAAGGTACATCAAAGCAGAGAAAGGAACAAAGGAAAATCCCATGCAAACGTAACCCCCAAACGTCCCCCCTCCCACCAGAATGGCAAGGTCCTGATAGAGATCTATGGGACCTGACACAGGCAGTCCTTGCTTAGCAATGGCCACATTTAGCAACCATTTGAAGTTGCAATGGTACTTAAAAAACAGCTTTGCAACTAGTCCTCACATTTATGACTGTCTCAATGTCCTGCAGTTATGTGATGGCCATTTGGGAGTTTCACAACCAGCACACATTTACAACCATTGCAGCATCTTGTGATCATGTATTTGCACTTGCAAACTTCCCAACCAGCTTGCAATAAACAGAGTTAGTGGAGACTGCAGGACTAGAAATCAGAAATTGCAATCGCATGATTTTTCACTTAACAACCAAATGGGAAGTTAGATCAAAAGCCCATTGTGGTCACATAATTTTTAGATCAGCTGATTCTAATTGCTAAACAAGGATTACCTGTAGTTTACAGCAGTAGCTGAAGAAAGCAAAAGTGAGATTTATCAACTTGTCACTCTGAAGTTAATTTCTTCTCAGTCTGTTTCAAGTGTAGGCCAGACATCATTACTGACACTGTTGATATTATAGCTACTAATATTTGGCTCCGTTCTTCAAAGATCTCCTTTAAAATTTCTATGATATTTTGTGTCATTTTGTAAGTCCTAGTTATTTTGACACCAAAAATTAGCTTGTAATTTTTTCTTCTTCTATTCAGAATCTTTAGTCCCCTCTAGTGTCCAATTTATTAAATCATAAAGTCACTTAACTTTAATATGAACCAAGATAGTTAAAACAATTCATCCTGAGCACATATTATCTCCTTATTTGGAAATGTTCCAAAGAATAGGTCTAATTATATAGGTTCTTAGGTCTTTGCCATGATTGTTGACTCCACAAGGAAAGTCTTTTCATTTGGATTTTCTGGGCAGCAGCCTGACCACCTTCTCAACAACCTTCCATTAAAAGAGAATGTTGGAGATTGGATGAACATTTTTTTAGATTTTTATTTTTAATCTCACCTTTATTATTTATACTTTAACTCAAGTATAAATATCTAATACTCCTTCCTCCTGTCTTTTCTACAAATGTTAAGTCCAGCAATGGCTTCTTAAGGTGGGGGCACACCACCACCTCTTTCAAAGCAGCAGAAAACATCCCTTCCCTCAACAAAGCAAATGTTTTTCCATGGACCTAATCATATCAGATCCTGGGGAGTCTTCACCAATGAAGAGGATCTAATGGATAGGTAGCCAAGTTAGCAGGCCTGACAATCCTATCCTCTTCCTTGGAAGTTAAAAGCTTGAATTCATCCCAGCTAAGTATGCAAAACCTTGCTTCTGATACCTTGACAGGAGCTTTCCCAATCTGAATGAATCTGACATATTTTATCTACCAAATCCCAAGAATATTCCTCATGTTAGCCTTGCGGTGGTTTGTCCTCCCCAGCTAAGAACAAGTCACTGTAAAAAGGGCTAGCAAATCACATCTGCAGATGTGGTAAGAGTGGGAAACAGCTGTGTAAACTGAATTTTCCTCTTCTCAGGCTTAGATTAATCAATAATGGTGATTATTAATTAACAACCACATTCCTTCCTTTGGGCAAGAAGTTAATATTGGATCACTCTCTGCTTTTATGATTGTAATGACATCTATATTATATTTGCTTTTTCAGGGCCCCAAAGGTGAGAGCATCAGAGGCCTGCCTGGCCCTCCAGGCCCCCAAGGACCTCCAGGGGCAGGTTTTGAAGGACATCCAGGGCCGCAAGGCCCTCCTGGCCCTCCTGGCCCTCCAGGACCACCTTCTTTCCCAGGTCCCCACAGGCAACGTGAGTAGGCACTTAATGGCTTTTCAATTAATTTGTTACAAATATAGGCGCCTTCCAAGTGATTATGGTTCAAATATGGTTTTGCTTTCTTTCCAGATATCAGTATTCCAGGACCCCCAGGTCCTCCAGGACCCCCAGGACCTCCAGGCACTAGTGACCCACCTTCTTTGGGGGTAAGACAAAAAACCTCATATTTTTAGAATATTATTCTCCACTTTATTACACTCCAGATTGTTCATCCTAAAATTAGGCCTAGATTTAATCTGGGTTTACACAACATACAGATTAGACAATAGTAGTGTCAGTCTCTGGTTCAACAGATTGTGAGAATCCAGCCACTTCCTTCACACAAGGGTGGACAACTTGTAGCTTTCAACTGCCTTCCCCCTCAACCTCCCAAGATTACAACTGCCTCCCCGTCAAACCTCCCAAGATTGCACTGCTGAAATTTGGCAACAGAACGGTCAACTGTGGGTGGGAGTATTTGGGTTAATTAAGATGAGAATGATAATATTGCACTTCTTGGAGGCCTTTCATTTCCATTTCACTGTTGCTCCCCTTTTATTGTTGACATTAATCAATAATAGCAAAAATACAAATTCTTTTACCTCACATTTTTAAAATGCTTTCTCTCCCAAAGGTACGGATTTTAGCAACCTACCAGAACCTGATGAGCAGAGCTCATGAGGTGCCTGAAGGGCAACTCCTTTTCATCCGAGAGAGAGAAGAGCTCTACATCCGTGTCCACAATGGCTTCAGAAAAATCCTTGTGAGTACCCTCTGCCTTGGCATTGCTCAACCTTAGCAATTTATGATGTATAGACATCAACTCCCCACAAGCTGGCAGGGGAATTCTGGGAGTTGAAGTCCACTTAACTTAAAAGTTGACGAGGTTGAGAAACGCTACTCTGCCTCGACCATGGCAGTGATCCTAAGGGATGAAACTTTAGATGCACAATTATTATGAGAGAATAAAAACTCTCTTCAGGGAAAAAGAACTAGGTTGTTCACATGTACAAAATGAGAATGGGATCTGAAAGGAACAATCTCCCATAAGGTTGGGTGAACTTCCCACTCTTGATTTAGAAAGGGCTTTCTTAAAATAAACTCATGTAAGCTTGATGTCTGTGGAGATTCTCAGCCATCTAGGTCATCGTTGTCTCAAAGGTGCTTTTTCCCCCAAAAAAGGCAACTGGACTGGTTTTTTTCCTCAAGGAAAAAACAATTCAGTTGCCTTTTGAAAAAAAGCATCTTTGAGAAAATGTAAGCTTAATTCACATTGGATTCGGTAATGTCAGTTCAAATGCAACCAGATTTTGACATCTGATCTTCTCAGGTCTTAAGCTATGTAAATAAATAGAACTTTTATGAACCCAACTTCACCATCACTAAGTCCTCAAAGTCTTGGGAAAACCATTTATATTTTGGAACTCGGAAGATTGAGGCGGCAGGAAACAGACTTGTCAAATGTTGTCCTCCGCCCCCACCCCCCAAACTCTTGGAAAGGAGAATGACATGTTGAAAATATTTGGGTTCCCCCCCCCCTATAATGTCTGTGTGCCAATAGTATTATTTCCAAAAAAATAGCTTTTTTTTTTCTTTTTTTAAAAAAAATATTATTTTATTAAATTTAGCTTTTTCCTTGGCTGGGAATTGCTGTAAACAAGTGCTATATAAATTCTTCAATCATTGTTTTGGTTCAATTTCAGATGGAGGAAAAAATATCCATTCCTGGCTCTGGACTGGTAGGTGGAACATTATTATCTAATACTAACCAGTAGCTGGAAAAACTACTATATATGAAACATCCTACACTTGCTGCTAAGACTTTTCTGCTTCAGGAATATTTATGGTTCTATAGGTTTTGTCTAATGCTTGGATTTCCATAGTAATTATCTTTTTTGTGCCCTTGTAACAAATCAAGACAGCTTATCTCTTATCCCGAAGGCAATATAACTAGAGTTATTAGGCAGTGTAAACTAGGTGGTGGTGAATTTTCCCCTTATGCAAACTAATAGTATTATTTCCTCATTCACATGAAACAGGTACTCCTTGCTTAATCACTGGTCTCTTTGCGACCATTCAAAATTACAAAAGCCGTCCTCAAAGCTACTTACAACCCATTTTTGAAGTTTGGATGTTGCATTTCCCTGTGGTCATATGATCGCATTTTGGATGATTTGGAACTGGCTCGTATTTATGGCCACTTGTAGCATTGCATTGTTATGTGACCATGATTTTTGATGTTTTTCGACCATCTCAAATAATCGGTTGTGGTCGTGCAGTGACTTTGTTAATGGCTCCATGACTTAACAACCATAATTCCTCGCTCAATTATGGTTGTAAATCAAGGACTACCTGTAAAGGGAGAAATTGCACTGCTTAAAAAAAAATAATAGAAGGTAAGGAAGCTCGTATTGCTCAAGGATCCTTAAAAAGTGAAATACTTGGCTCTGGGGCCTTTGCCTGCGACTCTGAGTGAGTAGAGAATCATTCACTCATTTGAATGGGGGAGAAACCATCCATTATCCTTGCAATACTAGATTGGCTGTGACTGTAGCCACATGCTTCATTGGCTTCAGCACAAAAATGTCCTAGAAGCCCATTTTTTGTGTCAAGTCCTCATATGGCCTTTGGCTCATACGCTTTTCATACCTGAGGCAATTTATTTGGTTCTAGCTGTTTCAGTTTTCAAGTAATGTTTTTCTTCTTCTCCCAACAGTTTTTGCCATTGATATTGTCTAGGACCATGATGGCGAACCTATGGCACATGTGCCACAGTTGTCACGCGGAGCCATATCTGTGGGCACGTGAGCATTGCCCTAGCTCAGCTCCAGTGCGCCTGTGTGTGCCGACCAGATGATTTTTGGGTCTTCTGGGCCCACTGGAAGTCGGGAAATGGGCTGTTTCCAGCCTCCGGAAATGGGCTGTTTCCAGCCTCTGGAGGCTGGAAACGGCCCGTTTCCCAACTTCCAGTGGGCCGGTAAGGCCCGTTTTTCACCCTCCCCAGGCTCCAGAGGTTTTCTAGGAGCCTAAAATGGGCCTTCCAGCCCCACTGAAAGTTAGGAAATGGTCTGTTTCCGGCCTCTGGAGGGCCTCCGGGAGGGTGGGGAAGGCCGTTTTCTCCCTCCCCAGGCTCCTAGAAAGCCTCTGGAAACCCCACCCCCCATGTTCCCCACACTTTTGGCACCCGATGGCAAAAAGGTTAGCCATCACTGGTCTAGGATGTTTCATTAACAATGTGGCAGTAGAGACCAGATACTTGACTTTAGCAAAGGCATCTGCCAGGGACTATCATTTTCCAAAATATATGTCAGCTCCTTACAAACAGATTTAGCACTTCTTCGAGTACATTATAGCTCTTTTCTTTTTTTTAATGGCTTTCACACTTTTTGAGACTAATTTTCTTCTGAGCAGAAGGTAGATTTAAATTGGGAGAGACAGCCAGTTTCTGTCGTGAATTGCTAGTTTTTAGTGAACCAATGAAGATTGAATACTGAAGCATCAATACTGAATGGTAGACCGATGCAAACCAGCATGCTGATTGGGTGGATGGCACCATGAATGACAGAAAATGTGGTAGCAGTGTGAAAGGTTCTGCTCTGTAGCAGTGATTACTCAGACAAGCACTCCAAAGGAATCTGATTCTTCATTCCATTCCAGGACAATGAAGTCTATGAAAGGTCTTCCAGTATCCACTATTCTCATGGAGGGACAGCCTCCTCTGGATCCCATCGTCCATTTCAGCCACACTTACCAGTGCATGCACGTCCGGAATATAGTGCTTATTCTACTGCCAAGCCTTGGAGAGGGGATGAGAGTATTATCGACCCACACCACCTTCCTGAGCAACCTGCCGTCCACCCACCTCGTCAGGGAGCACAGCAAGAATCCTTGGACCATTTCTTTCCCAACAACCGCCAGACTGAGACTGCTCCTTTGGCAGTTCACACACATCACGACTTCCAGCCTGCTGTGAGTGTCCTTGTGTCATCAACGTGTCCTTCATTCTAGTATCTGCTGCAGCTTGCTGTAGTGTCAACTCCGATATAAGTTGCTATTATGAAAACAGCTAGCAACAGCATCTGAATGTAAATGGAGGTTGAGATCAGGGTTGATGTCACATGTGGGTGGCTTTTGGAGAATGGATGAAAAATAAATAAAACTCTTGAAATGATTTCTTTAGGTTGTTATCCCAACAGTGAGCAGAACAAATGGAACTCAATACAAATGCAAATGAAAAACAAGGGGACTCGGTTTTAGAGGCAAACATACATTCTTCCCACTGGGTTATCTTGCCGTTTTCACCATGGCATTCTTGCTTCCATAATATATATAATCCATTCCTCCACTAAAAAGGTGCAGACAAGCTATTCTGATGCTTCTTTCAGGATACACTATCTATCTGTACAAAACATGATAATGATAAGAATTGCTGGGTTTGCTTTCTTTTTATGGATTAGCACATTATACTAATTTGTTTGGTTAATGTATGGTTCCGTGTATTATGTATTTCCAGACAATGTATTAATTGAAAAACCATGCTAAACAGCCTGCATGAATATGATCACTGGACTTTTCTTCCATTTTATCTTGAAATAGATTAGATTAGCAGATAATGATTTGCCCCAAAACAGTGAGAATCAATGAGCTTCAGAACTGAATCAGAGTTTGAAATCTCCAAATCACTGTATCATACTGGCTGCTTTTGAGGATGTAGATGATAAATAGCAAAAAAACTGTTAAGATCCATTTGAGCAGCAGTAAGTTAAAAAACTGATCTGGATAACTTAGATTTGATAAGAGCAGATATTTTCCATTGCTTAGAAAGTCACAGCAGGCATCAACCAAATGAAATATTTATCCTGGCTCTTCCTGGCATGTGATGGTCTGTTTGTTTTTCCAGCTGCATCTTATAGCCCTGAACAGTCCCCAGAGCGGCAGCATGCGAGGCATCCGAGGAGCTGATTTCCAGTGTTTCCAGCAAGCTCGGCAGGTTGGACTGCCTGGCACTTTCCGAGCATTCCTCTCCTCTCGGCTGCAAGACCTGTACAGCATAGTGCGCAGAGCAGACAGGAGCACGGTGCCAATTGTCAATCTCAGGGTATGTTGGGTCACAGACCTGAGCAAATTAAGCTTCATCAAAGTACCAAGAAGACAATCTGTTAGCCTTTAAAGGACAAAATACTGTCATGCCAGAAAGCAGGAACAAATCATAGCAGAGTAAACTTAGCTCCTTCCCCAAACAGTTGCAGAAAAAGATATTCTGTGCTATGGAACTAATTAATTGATCTTACTTTAAGCAAGACTTTGCACAAGATAACTCACAATGAAATTATGATATATGGTTTTGATGATTAGAAAGAAATAGATTACAGGAAAAAATATAAGCATTGTAACCATGGATCAAGAGGTTAATTTATATTTATAACTGCTGTAAAAGAAAATTGGAAGTCATTTCTTTATATTTTCTTTCTTTTCTGTACTTTTGTTTCTGTTTTTCTCCTTTCCTTTTTTATTCTAAATATTAATTCTTATTTTTCATCTTAAATTTTTAATAGTGAGAGCTATAGATGATTGATATAGTTAGATGAGATGGATGGATGGATGGATGGATGGATGGATGGAGGATGGATGGATGGATGGATGGATGGATGGAGGATGGATGGATGGATGGATGGATGGATGGATGGATGGATGGAGGATGGATGGATGGATGGATGGATGGAGGATGGATGGATGGATGGAGGATGGATGGATGGATGGATGGATGGATGGATGGATGGAGGATGGATGGATGGATGGATGGATGGATGGATGGACGGAGGATGGATGGATGGATGTGGATGGATGGATGGATGGAGGATGGATGGATGGATGGATGGATGGACGATAGATAGATAGACAGACAGACAGACAGACAGACAGATAGATAGATTGATAGATCGATCACAATATTCTTGTTGGTAATATGAAAACAGAAGTGCTTACCAGTGTCAGTTCAGCCATGCAGAAAGACAGCTAGGCATCACATGTTGTGTGATGGGTTTTGTTTAACATTTTTTAAAATGCTTTGAGCAAAAATATAAAGGAAAAGCTTGTAACATTTTCGGATGATATTACAGCACAGCAAGCAGGATTTTGATGGATGGAAAAGAAAAATAAAACCTGAGAAAATTGAGTGGATATATCCCAATAGGAAGGGTCATTTGCACATATATAGGTTCCATAATACTCACAATAGTAAAAATTGTGAAAATAATTTTTGACTACAAACTAAATATGAATCAGCAGGGCAGGACAGCAGCTGAAGCCCTAGAATAATTCTAGATTGCCTCTATGGACATTTTATGTCTAGTTATATCTATGGAAAAAAAAAATGTCCATAGAGGCAATCTAGAATTTAGGATTCATATTTAATAAAATCTCTCCTGGAATATAGTAGTTTGTTAAATACAGATGTTTTAAGGGTGTTGTTTATTTATTTATTTAAATTTATGGGTGTTATATAAAATTAGGGTATTGATGGAACATGGCCAATAAGATGGTAAACATAGCAAGAGATTAACTTTAAAGGTAATTTTTTAAAGCAAAGGTATCAAGGCTCCAACTAACCCAAGCAAATCAGAACTCTGAGACTTGGCTCCTTCTCAAAGGTCATCCTTAATGAGAACATCATATCGGCACAGTTTCAATGGGAAACTAAATCTAAATCTTTCCCGTAGTTTCAGTATAATTAAACTAGGAAATAACCCCATCCCCAAGTCACAGGTCATGTTGGGCAATTGGGTTAATTGGCAGGCTCTTCAGGCACTCCTTCCCCAACCTTATCTGTTGCCAGAAGAGATGACCTTGGTTCTCATGAGAAAGTTCTTTGTTGTGTCTAGTAATGCATTCCAACCTCCTTCCCCACCTTCCCCATGTGTGGCAACTGAGGAACAGAGAGATGGCTGCAGCCAGGTTCAGTTCGGCCTTGACAAAAGGTAAATTGCAAGTAGTCCTTGACTCACAATAGTTTGTGACCAAAGTTACAATGGCACTGAAAAATGTGACATGAGCATTTTTCACACTCATAACTGTTGCAGCATCTCTGTGGTCATGTGATCAAAATACAGATGCTTGGCAACTTACTCGTATTTATGACGGTTGCAGTGTCCCAGGGTCATGGGATCACCTTTTGCAGCCTTCTGACAAGCATAGTCAATGGGAAAGCCAGATTCATTTACAACCGTGTTACTAATTTAACAATTACAATGATTCACTTAAAAACTATGGCAAGAAAAGTTGTAAACTGGGGCAAAACTCACATAACAAATGTGAGCAACAGAAAGTTTGGGCTCAATTGTGGTCATAAGTTGAGGACTACCTGTAGTATGGCAAATAAAATTCAGCTATGCAATAGACCACATTAATGTCTTTTTTTGTCATTTTGGAGCAATCAAAATTGACCAGAGTAAATTAGCTAATACTTTCTCAGTTTACATAATCTCTTTCTTTGCAAGAACAATTTTCACTTATGATAGGCATTTGAGCCATAGCCTTTAAAAGCTATTTGACCCTGCTTTTTTTTTTAAAAAAAAATTTTTTTTAAATGCCTTTGTCCAGATCAAGTTCTACCTTGGACATTGAATGTTTACTTTCTAAAGAATAGTCAAAAATTAATTTAATACAGCTAATCCTCAATTTATGAGCACAATTGAGTCCCAAATTTCCATTGTTAAACGAAGCAATGAGTTGTGTCCCGTTTTATGGCCTTTTTTTTCCCAGTTAAGCAAATTACTATGGTGGTTAAGCGAATCGGCTTCCCCGACTTTGTCGGTAACTGGCTGGAAAAGTTGCAAATGGTGGTCACATGACCCCAGGGCACTGCAACTGTCATAAATACATATAACTTCCAGGTGCCTGAATCTTTATCAGGTGACCAAAGGGATACTGCAACAGCTATGTGAAAACTGGTCATAAGTCACTTTCTTCAGTGCTGTTGTATCTTTGAATGGTTGTAATTAGACAACTATTGTTGACGCTTAAACCGTTCCTGGCATCCCCCACAAGATTTAGAGTGCTTCAAACTAGCAAGTCTTCAGACTATCTTTAAAAATCTGTCTTTTCTCCCAAGCTCTTGACTAGATTGATGGTGAGCCCAATGAGGTAGTGTTGTGTTTCAATCTGTTCTTATGTTCTTTCTTTAAATATTATACTAGCTTTCATTTTATTTATTTATTTATTTATTTTATTTAATCATATTTATATGCCGCCCTTCTCCCGAAGTACTCGGGGTGGCTCACAAAGATAAAAACCACAGAACAAAAAGTTAATAAGTTAATTTAAGTGAATTAAAATAATCCAATTAAAACCCTTTTTTATGCTGCCCAGAGTGTGTGATAAGTGTGGCTTTATAAAATAAATGAACAAATGAATGAATAAACAAGTGACATATATATTCCTAAGGTTATAGACAAGAGTATTTTCTAGATATGTTATCCAGGTTCCTTCAACTGGAAAGATGCTGTCTTAGTGGTCTATAGATTCTTGAAATGGAAAGCTAAGACTAAAGAATATTTCTAGACAGAAAATGTCTTCTGAATACTGCTTAGGCAAACACATTGCTCTGTTTTGTTCCTTCCCAGGATGAAGTGTTGTTTAATAACTGGGAGAACCTCTTCTCAGGCTCTGAAGCTCCATTCAGAACTGGGGTTCGCATCCTCTCCTTTGATGGGAGGGATGTCCTGAGAGACTCTGCATGGTAAGTTGGGGCTGAGAGGAGTCATTTAGTTTCCAGTGAAGATTTTGGAATGTGCTTAGATTGTAAATTTGTGCTACTTCCTGCTGAGTGGCACAGTGTTTTCAAAAACATCCTTTCTGATTGACCTTTGTAAGCAATACAGTTTATGTCTCCACCCTACCCCCTTCCCCCATGTGATGCATTTTTTAAGACAACAGATGCAGCAAGGAGACAAAAAGCTTTGCTTTGTGTTATATAGGCCTTTAGCAACATTTATTTGTGTAATTTAGTCCAGAGCAGAGTAGATGTTTTGTGTGAAACCACTATATGGCCCCAGCCTATTTTTTTTCTTTTCCTGGGGATAGGTAATAAGATTTGCTCAGATTTTCTTTAATTTTATGGCACATGAGTAGTGATCACAACAGCTAAGACACCATTAGGCACTGCAAAGCCTACACAAAATCATGGTCCCCCAACCAAGGAGGCAGGGTTCATGCATCAGATTAAGCCATAGGATGGTTACACTGTTATGAACCTAGCCACTACTCTTAAACTATGATTTATCCCTTATTAAGTTGCACTATTAAGAACCATGGTGGCACAGTGGTTAGAATGCAAAATTGTAGCTAATTCTGCTGACTGCCAGCAATTTGATCCTAACCAACTCAAAGTTGGCTCAGCCTTCCATCCTTCCGAGGTCAGTAAAATGAGGACCCAGATTGTTGAGGGCAATATGCTGACTCTGTAAACTGCTTAGAGAGGGCTATAAAGCACTGTGAAGCAGTATATAAGCCTTAAGTGCTATTGCTACTGACCCAGCCAAGTGTAGTTGACTCAATTATAGCTAAACAGTAACATAGAAGGGTATATGAACACAGTCATAATGCTTCTGCGTGTGAAATGGCCTTGACATGAAGATATTTTTCAGGCCTCAGAAATATGTGTGGCACGGCTCCGATTCCAAGGGACGGCGGCTAACAGAGAGCTACTGCGAGACATGGAGGACGGATGACACCGTGGTGACTGGCCAGGCTTCCTCGCTGGCATCAAGCAAGCTGCTTGAACAGAAGAGCAACAGCTGCAGAAATGCCTTTATTGTCCTGTGCATCGAAAACAGCTTCATGACATCTTCCAAGAAATAGAACCCCTGAATGTGCTGATTGCGAGTGGAGGCGGGGAGTCCAAATGCCCCCCTTCTGCAATGGGGAGCAGGCAAGGGATTCCTCCCCCTCCACCATCAATCAGGATAATGTGTGTCCAGCCAGTTTCATAATATAGCAACCAAGCAGATAAATGAACAAGAAAGCCAAAGAGCGTCTTCTTATGATTTCCAGCCCAGATCTGATGCTGTTTTTTTGTTCTCGTCTCCTCTGAGCACCACTGCTGGAGGGGCTCAGGCAGAGCAGGATTTGTATGTAAGGCAGTCTCCAGACAAGGGCAGCTCCCAAAATGGTTCTGGTTCTCTCTATCTCTCCTGCCCGTATGTAAAATTTCCTCTTTCCCTGATCACCTCCCTTTCCCTCTTGCCTTTCCAAACTGTCCACAGGCTCTTTAAAAGAGAAAACCAAGGTCAAGTGGGATGTCAGAAGATCTATTTATTTGCATCGACTTAGTACAAGAAGGGTTCCCCAAACAGGGAAAGTGCTGATGATGTTGCCTTTGGAAGCCCTGTTAAATCCCAATAACTTGGCACGCAGGGTACCATCTGCTCTTCTATGAGGGGCATGGAGCTAAAGGAAACGTATGATCTTGCTGAAAAATTCAGGACCAAACTTAAGAGTTTTATAGGCCCCAGGCAGGCTTTCCTGCATCTGCCCCGCATTACCTCAAAAACTTCCTTTTCCCAAAAAGTTGCCCTGGCAACTCTGCTGGCCCTGCCAGCTTTCTCAGCTGCTTTTGCTTTTTAAATTTCAGACACAGAAGGAAGCAATACTGCTCCCTTCAAAGGCTATTTGCAATTCCTGCTACAGAGTTTACAACATCCTTTGCAAAAACAGGGTCAGAGGAAAGAGACGAAGTACAATAGTCCTTATTAGGCGCCATTCTTCCCATGTCCTTCAATTGCCCATTTCTTGTTCTTCAGAGAGACAGAAGTGTTAAAAGGAACCACCTTAAAGGTAATTTAGATGTAGGGTTTTCCTTAGAGGCCTGGAGGGAAGCACAATTGGAGCAAAGTTGCCACAAAAAAGAATCTGTATTTGTTCCTTTATTGAGGATTTTTGATGTTGTTGTTAAAAATATTTTTCTTCTCTGCCCTGCAGGGAAGTTGCCACTCTTTACCTCTGCCCAGCATTTGCCACACGAAGTGAGTTACAGCAAAATCTGGGAACCCCAGAGTTCTCATTAGTTATCAGAGCCCTGCCAATCTTGTTCCCTGGCCCTGTCGATAGCAGCCACCTCTTGGAGAGAGAGTTTGTTCCAGGGCAACCATCCCATTCACCTTCAAATCCTCAGCTACAAAATAACCAGGGAACACATAACGCGAGTAGTCTCTGGCTTTAAAAAGTGGTTGCCAGGTAACAGTGGATTAGACAAGAAAGCCAAATGCACCCACATGGAGCTGCCTTCAGCATGTCAGCTCAAATCCTGACAAACCCCTCCCCCCCCCCTGCTAGTAGAGGTTGGGGGTTCGAATCAGTTAAAGGCTGTTAGCCACCCCTCTCAAACCAAAGTTAAAAGAGACCCACCCCTCAGAGTCTTTAATTGTGTCTTCCCCTGCTCCTAACACTGGGACAAGAACCATGCCTACACATTCCAAAGCATTAAAAGCACATGGATATTTCAAGGGGTGGAGACCTCTGGAGCACAGACTGGGGTTGTGTCTTTAAGTGCTTCGTTCCCCTATAAAAGCATGGCTGGATTCCTGACCTTGACTGCAGCCATTTTTAAAAGCCATCGTAAGGGCAAGTCGCAGCAAAGCAGCTTGGCATCTCTCCTCTGCGTGTAGACTTAACTGCTATGGAATGTCTGATCCACATCACCGGTCTTGCATTTTGGTGCCCAAAACTCAAGCCAGGCTGATGCTTGCTCCATATCCATCCATTTGAGTTGGTTTTTAAAAACCAAGGTGCTAAATTCCTACCTAAGCTTTGTTTTTATTGTCCTAATAAAATGTTATTACTGCGGTGGAGAAAATCCGTGCAAGTCATACAGTCAGTTTTCTTACTGTCTACTGTATTTTGTGACATTTTAATGCAGTTTTAAAAGCCTGTGGACCTTTATATCTTTGTCAATTGCGTGTTGTGTATTATAAACTGTTTTCTAAAGGCACTGAATAAAGGAAAGTATCCTCCTGACTGCGTTATAGTGGGTCTTTACTGAAATCTTAAACCTGGACTGGAGCATAAGAACTGGAAACAGATGCTTCTGGGTATCTGTGAAGCACAGATACCAGCATTCAGGGAGGACCCAGAGCTGAAAGCTATGATTCCTAAGCCATAAGACTTGCTGCATCTTTTAAATAAAAAGTATGCATTGTAAACTAGAACTACAGACACATTCAACAAGCTTAGAAATACATACAAGCTGCTGCTTGAAATTTCCCTGCTTATGTTCTGACCTACTTTCCTTTCAAATCGTGCTTCTCCAGCGGGCTCCTGAAGGGATCATGTGAGTCAGCTCCATAAAAAAATGGCTTGAAAAGAAATGCGTGAGTTTTGTGAAAGAGGAACACAAGCATTAATCAAAATGCAAGCTCTTGGTTTCTAATGAAGAAGATTGGATTGTCTAGTTCACTTTGGTCCTATGTCAGTATTTTCATGAATTTAAGGGCATTTTTTAAGCGTGGTAATTTCATTCTTTGCAATATGTTGTCTGAGTGTGGCAGATTACAATCACCAGGGGTCAAATGGGAAAAATGTCTGTTTTCCTATAAGGGGAAAACAGAAATGTGTTTTCCGTTACTATGAGTCACATCACAGTATATTAACCAGTATCAACATTAAAAGTGCCTTAGTCTCGCTTGCTCCAGTGATTGGCAAATTTACATGACGGAACTAGGAACATAAATGTTTAAAAGCAAATTCATACAATCTCAAAATTAAGTGCCCAATTATAATATTGGTAAATATTTCAGTACAAGAAACGGAGAACTGTAGCTGCCAGAAAAGTCAACTGCACCAAAGTCGCATTTGAAACCAAGCAAGCTTTTTTCTGAGCTTCTGCAGAGATCCAATATTGTGAAAATAGGGATGCCTTGACTTTGATAAGTGCTGATTGTCATGAGAGCTGCACTGGTCTCATCTCACCTGAGACCTTGCAAGAAAATCCATCTCCATGTACGTACACAGACTGTAGTGTTTCTCAGGCTTTGGAACTAGCCAGTTCCAGGCTTCCCTCCTTGTCCGGGCTCTCCTCCTGAACTGGGCTGCAGAGTTCCTTGGCTGGTGTGGTCTCTTCTTGGGGTGTCTTGCAAGCACTGTGCCTTGCCATCATGTACACAAATGACAAAAGATACAGCGTGGCCAGAACAGTGAAGTAGCCAAAGTAAACGTAGAACTGGAAGAGGAGAAAATGCAGGAGTATTTTGAGAAAGAACAATACAGGGCTTCATTAAACTCTATGCACTAAAAAAAATATGAAACCATCAATCCACTTAAGGATTGGGAAAAAAAAATAGAAATGGACCTTTAAAAGAATACTACAGGTACTCCTCGATTTATGACCACAACTGAGCCCAAAATTTCTGTTAAGTGATACATTTATTAAGGGAGTTTTGCCCCTTAATACGACCTTTCTAGCCACAGTTGTTAAGTGAATCATTGCAGTTGCTATTAACATGATGGTTAAGTGAATCTGGTTTCCCTATTGACTTTTGCTTGTCAGAAGGTCGCAAAAGCTGTTCACATGATCCCAGGACACTTACAACTGTCCTAAATATGAACCAGCTGCCAAGCATTTGAATTTCGATCATGTGACCATGGGGATGCTGCAACTGTCTTAAGTGTGAGAAATGGTCGTAAGTCACTTTTTTCAGTGCCTTCGTAACTTTGAACAGTCACTAAACGAACCGTTGTTAAGTTGAGAATTATCTGTAAAAGGGCCTTGAAATTGGATCAACTCAATAGGGCCATTCAGTGTAGCATCCTACTGTCCACAGTGGCCATCCAGAGGCCTCTTGAAAATTCTACCTCCCCACCACCTGCGATAAGGCTTGTTATTTTTGAACCATAACCTACAGTGCCTGAACAGAAACACTGGCCTTACCTAACCATCAGCAGTCAGACCCAGCCTCCTTCCTGTGAACACTCAGAAGCAGAAGGAAGACGGACAGAGGAATGTTACCACCTCAATGGCAGTGATGTAGAGAATTGGAAGTGAGTGAAATAAGTTCATTTGCTCTTCCTCTTAGCTCAGAATTAGTTTAACTTTAAATAGCCCAACCAAATTAAATTTTTTATTTATTTATTTATTTATTTATTTTTCATATTTGTATACCGCCCTACTCCCGAAGGACTCAGATGGAAAATGTCCCACTGTGAAGAATTATCTATCTCCACCACAGTGGTGGGTTGCTCCCGGTTCTGTCCGGTTATTTAGAACCGGTAGTAAAAGCGGCGGGAGGCTCCGCCCACCTGCCCAGACGTCATAATTGATGATCTGTGCATGCACAGAAGCTTCCTGTTGCGAACTGGTAGTAAAGGGAAGTAGAACCCACCCCTGATCTCCACACAAGCTTGTTGGTTAGGGGCAACTTTCATATGGCCCCCCACCAACAGGCAAGGCAAAACCTTCCTGATAGGCAGCTTCCACTGAAGAAGGAGCAGCTAACATAACTGTAGAGTAACTTGTTCTTTTCCTTACCTGGGGATGGACTGAGAAAGCCAAACCTCTCTTATCGGTTATGATGATAGTGATGATGGTTTTGAGAACTGTGGCAAGGAAAGTATTGATACCAAACACCAGAGCGCAGAGTTCTTTGGACAGCGAAGATGCAATCTGGAAGCTTCAGTCAGAGAGAAAAAAACAAATTAGCTTTGCGCCACTACAAAATATCCTGAGCAGAAAGAAGAGACACTTCATGGGTAAGGACTCAACTTTTGGCTGGATTCTGCTGATTTGCTGAGTCACCCACAATTGCTACTGTCAGTTTTATTTAAAATCTCAAAGTGTAACAGCAGACTCCTTTCATCCACCTCCTGATATTTATAATATATACACCAACAAAATGTACAGGATTACAGCCAACCCATCTGAGGACAGCAAACTAGGGAAGAGTATGCTACAGCAAGACTACTGCTATAAATTTGAGGGAGGCGGGGTCCCTCTTAGAAAAAAAACCCTGGAAAATAAAATTTTTAGAAGACAGAATTATTTGTCATCATCATTAGCGAACTATTTTCATATTAAATGCATTAACCCATTGGTCTGATAGGATAGTTAGAACATCTGATCCAGTATTTTCCAGTTTTAACATCCTTACAAAAATCCTGCATTATCCTAGAATATTGCACTTTGTTTGGATCCCACTCCACACACTTTGCATGTGTTATGTGTGCAAGCATGTAACTTTACAGACACATGAATGATAGCTCTCACTCCAATGCTGAACTGGTTTCCTGGGTTAACGGAAGCTCTATGTATCCATTTTTACCAGTGCACCTAATGTAAATTTAGCTGTCAATTCTCACCACCATCACTCACATGGCTATAGGCACAAGAAACTGGTAGGAGCCCCTGAAGAGGACATAGGCCATATAGCACAGCCAAATATTGGCAGTTGTGTTCATCAACAACAGTAGGCCTGCCTGGACTGCTGTCACAACCCCAATCACCAGTTTTGACCAGAAGGCCCATCGGATCTTCACAAAGCCAGCAGAAAAAGCAGTGATAGCACCTAGGAAAACACAAATGATTGTCAAGAGGGGACAAGTCCTTTATAGCTAAACAGGGCTCTATGCAGTATTCTACCAAGGGATGATGAAGTATGTATGGTATATTCCAGCAATGTCATGGGGGAAAAAATGTTCTCAAACAAAATTTGGCAACTTTCTGATTTGCTGAAATGCGAGACTCTTAGCAATCTAATTGTTCTACATCCATTTATTATAGCTGACGCATGTATCGACTACATAAGGGCTATTCAAGGAGGCTGGCTCACTTTGAATAGCATATATGTAGTGGATTTGGTCCAAGGCCGGAGAGATGATGAGTCAAAGTGAATGCACCTAGACTCGCATGGATTTTAGGATGGTGTAAATTAATGGCGGGGAGGGGGGGGAAATAGGAATAAAGTTGCAAATTTAAGATGTTATGATTGCAGCAGAACTGTTGTGAAATAATATAAAAAGAAATATCATTATCTCAGAGAAATATCCGAGTTCTTTTTATAAGGTGTTGATCACTTCTTCCAATGGTGGGTTTTTCTTGCTGGAACTGATGCTTCCCTATCTTTTTGACTTAGATGACATCAACTGAGCCTGTGATCTCTGCCATTAGTGAACCAATAAGACATTCATTTTACACGCTTGGGGAAGTTGCAAACCTAGTAAGATTTGACCAAGCAAAAGCACATTCACCGCGGGCTCAGCACTTCGGTTATGTTTTCCTACCACTTTCTATGCAAGGTGACTAACACAGGTCATCTTATCATTCCCAAATGACTTTTACAACAACAGCTGTAGATTTCGTAGTTCTACAAGAATGGGAATCACAACCAAATAATTATAGAGTATCCATGATGACCTTCATATGAATAACAGAACCTGCCTTTGTATAAAGCTGCTTAGGGCAGTGGAATTGGATAGTCTACTTCATTATTACTGGAGCTCCTGGTTAGTTGTTGTTGGGGGCATAGCAGACTAAAAAGGTAAATACATAAAACACAATGCAGAGGAAAAGATATATCCATATATACCAAGCAGAGTAGATACAGCTTCCACTCCACCATTGTAGACCCTTTTGTTGTCCTTGGCGGGATATATTTCATTCCATAAAATATGCACATAATAGAGCATCAGATAGTAGCCAGCAGAATTGAATATCCACCAAAGGGACCAAAGTCTCAGCTGGGGCATTCGTGCAATAGTCCCCAATTCCTTTACCATCCGGAATAAGACCAGATTTTTCCAGGAAGAGGCCTTATACCACATGGGCTCTCCTGCCCCAGGGTTCATTTTGTCCAGTTCTGAGGGCGAGGTACCATTACACCAGCTCTTGTTCCTGTTGAAGAAGAGGCTGCGTTTTGGACGCTTCAGGAAGATGGTCAAGACCAGCCCAAAGCACATGAAGCCCAATGAGATATAATTCACTGTCATGAACGTGGTGCCTCCAACTGTGACACAGAGTTGTCCCACCACGGAACTGGTGAAGACACCCATCAGCACTGAAGACCGGGAATAACTGGCCATGCGCTGATAGCGCGACGGAGTGACCAGGGTGAAGATGTAGGAGGAGTAGGCTATCCGCGTAGCCATCGTGATACCGTAAAAGAACTCCATGAACTGCATGGCAATGATGCTGGTACCGAAGATCAGCAGCAGCCAGATAGCAATGTGGCTCAAACTCTGCAGCACCAACATTGGCTTGTACCGCAGATAGTCTGTGAGTAGGAAGATGGGCACCAATACTGCCATGTAAGAGTACGACAGGACAGGTGTAATTTCATTGGTCACCTGCAAGAGAAAACCAAACAAAGTGCAATTGATTTACTCTAGCGAGTAAACTAAAGGGATAAAGAACTCTACAAGAGGCCACATGAATTTTCACCTCACCTCACCTGTATTCTAATCATTTAGGTCCTCCTTTTACTAACAATTTGGGTGCTTCTTCCTCACATTCTTTTTTTCAGCAACAGGCACCAAGACTTATTTTAGGTACTAGCCATCCTGTCTTTGGGAAGCTGGTAACAAAACAACTATACAAGAAAGATCAGCTGATTCAGAGACACCAGAGCTGGGCCTGGGTGAAGAGAAAGAAACCTCTACCGCTATAAGAACTTGATGCCATGCTGGGTGAATGAAATACATTGATCACTGGGTGGGCAGGACTGAAAGGAAAGAAAAACAGATTCACAACTAACACAGAAAACTATCAAACGTTACCAGGTTATGTCCTGGTTCATCAGACAAACGATTTTTATCAAAATTCCTAGGGATGAAATGGAGTTGTCCATAATGGGAAATGAAATGACAGCATGTAGCTTATAAAAGAAGGCAAAGCACCTTCAAAAAGAAAGGAACATGGTAGCTGAAGGGGAGAGGAAAATAAATTGACTCGTATATTGAAGACTATTATTTGAAAGAACACACACACACCAGCTTATGGAAATATAATGCATAGGATAGGGATGGCTAACTTTTTTGCCATCGTGTGCTAGGAAGGGGAGGGTCGCACACCCACGTGCCCACACCCATAATTCTATGTGCCCCGCCCCCACTCATGCGCACATCACACACATACCCGCTCCTGGACGCAATGGCCGGGTAGGCCCATTTTTCTTTCTCACCTGGCTCCAGGGCCTCTCTAGAAGTCTGGGAAGGGCAAAAACGGCCTTCCTCACCCCCCTGGAGGTCCTCCGGAGGCTGAAAATGGGCAGTTTGACAACTTCCGGTCCCACCGAAGCTGAGCTCGCGTGCCCACTGATATGGCTACGCATGCCACCTATGGCACGCATGCCATAGGTTCACCATCACGGGCATAGGAAAACTGAAAGCTGCTTTATACCAAAGCAGATCACTGTTAGCTGGCTGGTAATATTTGATATTTCAGACTGGAATTTTTCACAATGTTTTGGTGACTTAGAACCACCACCCCTTTAGTTTTTCCAAGAGTCACTCTGAGATCTCCGCTCTGGTTGAAATCCACACATATTCTTGCCAAGGAGTTGGATTAAGCTTCTTACAGTTGCTTTAGACTGGAATTTGATGTGTTTTAGCCATGGCAGCAGAGCAGCAGGAGACGTTGAACTTTGGCCGGACTGAGCTACCTTGAGCGCTGATCAACCTTTCTCCTCTAAATCTCCCATAGAGAACAGAATGGAAATACAGAGAATATTAAATTTCAGTGACAAGAATGCCAAAGATTTTGATTCAAGAGATCTTTCTCCTGACCAGCCTGTCATTTTTTAAAAATAGCCCGTAGTACTCCCTAGCCTGATATCTCCCAGAGATTTCTCTTCAAGCATTCTTCCTTGAAATTTGGGGAGGTGAAATCCAACTTTCTGACATACTCCAGGGGGAAGAATGGTATGTAAGAATATACTTCAGGAAGGATGAATAATACCTTTTCTGTAACTCAAAGTATTATCAGCCCTGTTAGCATGAGATCACTACAACTTGGCATCTGGTAATTCATCATTCCTCTCTCTTTTACCCTCAAAGGACGTCTGTCAACTTGAGCCATTTGTTTTGGTCAAGGAGTATGGACTATTTTAGCAAAAGTAGCTGAGCACAGAGTTTACAAATGGAGTTGATGCGGAATATATGATGGCTCCTCTATCTCTGGATTTATATATCTATACTTCTAGATCAGGGATGGACAACCTGAGCTCCAGGGATCAATTGACATATGAATTGATTGATTTGCAGGACTGGAGCCCCTTTGAACCACAGCTGCTGAAAATCAGTGACATGATTTGCTGAGGTAAGGAACAGGCAAAAACTATAGCACAAACCCTAGAATTTAGGCTTAAATTTAGTGAGGAGTGCACCCTCCCCAACTGCCTCCCACAAAGCTAGACAAAATACAGAGAATATTTTGTCTAGCAAAATACAGAGCCCCATTAAGAGCTACAGTTCTGCCTACTGTGGTACCTAGTTTCCTCAGAAATAATGAAGTCCTTCACCTCACAAAACATTGCCCTTCATGAGATTCCTTCGAACCCCATTTCTAACCTTTAACATCTTATTCAGCTGTGAATCTTCTCTTATAACCACCTGAAAATGTTTTCTCCTATGGCCATGATGGCAAACCTATGGCAGGCGTGCCACAGGTGGCACGCGAAGCCATATCGGTGGGCACGCCAGCTGATTTTCGGGCCCACTGGAAATCGGGAATCGGGTAGTTTCCGGCCTCTGGAGGGCCTCCAGGAAGGTGGGGAAGGCCGTTTTCGCCCTCCCCACGATCCTAGAAAGCCTCTGGAACTTGGGGAGGGCAAAAAACGGACCTACCATGCCACTGCGTGCCAAAAGTGGGGGGAGCTCAGGGGAGGTTGCGTGCGCATGCATGGGGGGGGGGCAGGATGAATTATGGGTATGGGCACACGTGTGCGTGACCCCCCCCTCCGCACTCCCCCCGCTTTTGGCACGCAACGGCAAAAAGGTTAGCCATCACTGTCCTACGGTATATCTATTGAGACATTCACTCTGGTGTCTTTTTAATATCAGACCAGCCCATTTTTCTTACAGAAGAATTTTTGAAACTACACGTAGTCCTTGATTTACAATCACAATTGAGCCCAAAATTTCTGTTGTTAAATGAGTTTTGCCTCATTTTACAACTTTTCTTGTTTAAGTGAATCATTGCAGTTGGTAAGTTAATACCCTGGTTGTTATGTGAATCAGGTTTCCCCATTGACTTTGTCAGAAGGTCACAAAAGGGGATCACATGACCCTGGGACACTGCAACCATCCTAAATATGAACCAGTTGCCAAGCATCTGAATATTGGTGACATGATCATGCGGATGCTGCAAAGGTTGTAACTGTGGAAAAACGGTCATGTCACATTTCTCACTGCTGTTGTAACTTTGAACAGTCACTAAATGAACTGTTGTAAGTGGAGGACTAACTGTAGTTTATTCATTTAATTAGTACTTGCAATGCTGAGTGCCAGGGAACAGTTACTCTGGGTTTTCATATTTTTAAGTAACTTTTATTACCGGCTGTTTTTAATTGGTTGAGTTTTAATATGATTTTATACGTCTTGGTTTTTGACGGACAGCTGCCCAGAGTTGGTTGAAAGATGAGCAGCTATATAAATGTTTTAAATAAATAAAAATAAATAAAAACTTTGCCCCCAAAACTTCCGCTATTAGGCAGATTAAAGTAAAAATTCTACACCACAACTCTCCGCCCATTATAGCAATAGCACTTAAGACTTATATACCGCTTCACAGTGCTTTCCAGCCGTCTCTAAGCGGTTTACAGAGTCAGCATATTGCCCCCAACAATCTGGGTCCTCATTTTACCCACCTCAGAAGGATGGAAGGCTGAGTCAACCTTGAGCCTGGTGAGATTTGAACTGCCAAATTGCAGGCAGTCGGCAGCCAGCAGAAATAGCCTGCAGTACTGCACTCTAAGCACTGTGTCACCTCGGCTCTTTTATGATACACAGCACTACAAAAAAAGAGAGATTTCCATAAGTTAGGAGTGATTCTTCCCCCACCCCCACCCCCAACAGCTAAATCTGCTCTCAGCATGCGGAGAAGCTGCCATGCACTAATTGATAACCTAGGGTGCTAAGCGTTCACTCATCCAAAAAGCACAGCAGTCAGGCAGAACAAAGTGTTTGGGAACAGATTGCTTGTGTGTGATTGTGTGATTGTTTTTAGCCAAAATGACAAGAGCTGCCAATGTCCCAGTGAGACCTCGCAAGGGATCAGAGAAAAAATAGACCTTGCTCATTACTAAAAGAAGATCAAGTGTTCAAATAGAAACTTAATGAAACCAGAGCAGCAGGTCACAGCCACCTACTCACAGCCATTGCAAAAGTCCACCTTTGGGGAGGGCAGTTAATTCCTCATTCTAAGCTTTTGGTTCTTTAAAACTACTAAATAGAGAAATCCATAGAACATTAAGTGTTTAAAAAAATTTTTTTTAAAGAAACAAATCAGCAGTATATTAGCTAGTTGAGAGATTGGTCAATGGATTCTTAAGAAAATAGCCTGAAATAAATACAGTATTAATCTGTATTTAGAATGTTTGTTTTAAAAAAAAATACCTGGGAGGTATCCAACTCATAATCATTTTTAGATATGCTTATACTTCTGTAAAAATAGTTATACCCACGTTTCTACTTAAAAATAAGTGGAACAATGGAGTATGTTACTATATCAAAAATCGGGATCTCAAGCTCCCATGAGTCATCCACTATTTAGAAATAGCACTAGCACTTAGACTTATATACTGCTTCACAGTGCTTTACAGCCCTCTCTAACTGGTTTACAGAGTCAGCATATTGCCCCCAACAATCCGAGTTCTCATTTTACCTACCTCGGTAAATGTTAGATGCGGTCTTTGGTCTTTGGCTCAATTTTACTCAATCCATGGAATTAGTGGGAATAACCATTCATTTGATAAAGGGAACAGTGTGATACGCAAAATTTAGCCTACCATCAGCTCATCAACGGAGTCAATATCACAGTTTGGGGTGGGATGAACCAGCTCCAAGCAAGCTGGAGAAATTGTTAACCTGTTTCACTAAATTTGGGAGACCACCTGTAATTGGCACAAAGCATTAAATGAGGCAGAGTTGCTAAAGAATAATCATAGATTCCCTTCTACAAAAAAGAGAAACAGGCAAGAAAATGGTGAAGGAAAAGAAGGATAAAATAACCCCAAAAGAGGAGGAAAATTTTATAAGGGTTTATTTTTGGTATTTTTAAGGGTTCTAATATGTGCTGTATGATACCTTCACTACAACCAAGATCGTATCATGAAGCAGAACCTTCCCAAAGTGTGTCCTCCAGATGTACTGCACCACAACTCCAAACATAGCCATCTTGGCTAAGAATGATGAGAACTGTAGTCCAATTAATCTGGAGGGATCCAGAATGGAAAGAACTGTCATAGAATTTTGCTTGACTCAAGCAGTCGGATTAGGCATTTACTTTGCTAGCTTGCATTGTCAAACTACTTGCTGAATCAAAAGTTAAAAGATTATCAGGGCAACAGGCAGCAGGTCAGGCTGAGATTCCTTTCAGTTTTATTTTAACTGGGGGAAAAGGCAGGTCATCCCACTGCTTTATTATTCCAAAATAAGTTTTAATAACTACCATTACTGCATTAATATGTTGGAGCAGAATGCAAGCATACCCATACACTTTCTAATTTAACTCGGAAGCAAGCTAGCTCTTGGAATTCTCTTCCCATCTCAGCCCTCATGCTGGCCTTTAGTCACAGAAGGTCTATGTAGGTCTGTTTATTCCTAATCCAATCATCCCTCTTTGCTCCATGAGCCCATGAGCCAAGAGCCAAATAAAAAGGAAGAAAAAATGAGGATTTATCACTCTTTCCATGCACTGTTGCAACATACTCTTCCCTCCCTCCACTGTCCCATTAACAGAGTCATTCCTAGCATTTTGTCAAAACTATTGCTGCTCAGAAAGTTTTCTGCAAGACCACTCAACACCCCACATTTCAGTGCATTCTTCAGACCACTGCAACTAATCTGTCCCTTGTGTGGCTAACATGTCAGATGACCTCACCTCTTCCTTTGTGAAATTCTTCTCCGATCCCAACAGGTAGGGTGTGATGAAACTCTCCCCAGGTCTAATCTGGCCCATGAAGCCGTAGAAACAGAGGTAGCCAACAAGGAACTTCCAGCGTGGATCTGGTGGAGGGTCAGGAGGCTGTTTTTCTATTTTTTCAGCCATATTTCTTCAGACGTAACTCCCTGGTAGCTCCTTGGTCACTTTGAAAAGGAACAGGTTCTTTTCAGTGAAAGACACAATGCTGGATTTACTGTTAGTTCGGTTTCTCTTTTCACTGCTGTGACCAAACTCCAACATGCAGAGGTATGCCTCACTGGTATGTCTGTGGGGGGAAAAAAGGAGAGACGGTGGCACCGCAGAAAATTTCCTAGTGAGAAGATCACAAACTAATCCCTACCTTCATCTTGCCAGGAATGTGTTGGCTTTGCAATATTTCCTGAACAAAATCGTGCTCAGTTTCCACAAATGTCTTCTACGATCTAGCAAATATTTACTTGATACCAGTGACCAATACAGTGGAATGTTTCAGGTCAGCTAGATCAGAATATTTTTTTTTCTTTTTCTTTTCTTTTTCTTTCTTCTTCTTCTTTTTTTTTTTTTAAAAAGGGGGGGGTTTGAGGGAAATCAGGGAACCCAAATAAAGAAACATGGAACACTGTGGTGAAGCAAAGTTTATTCAGCTGGACTGCTAATAACTAAAACTAATATCATTCTTTCATCTACTACATTGAAGATTTGTCAGTGAAACACACTTTCACTTTACAACATCTCTAGGACAGACTAGGATGTAAGAGCATACAGGGTTCCTCACAGTGGAGGAACCAGAGGTGGGTTTCAGCAGGTTCTGACCAGTTCTGGAGAACCGGTAGCGGAAATTTTGAGTAGTTCAGAGAACCGGTAGTAACAATTCTGACTGGCCCCGCCCCCATCTATTCGCTGCCTCCCAAGTCCCAGCTGATCGAGATAAAATGGGGATTTTGCAGTAACCTTCCCCTGGATTGGGGAGGGAATAGCATTCTGTTATACTAAATTCTGATCATAGTAGTGTACTAATTACCAATTTAGAAAGTACAAAGACTCCTTCAAGTCAACTTTGATGTCTTGCGATTTCATGTTCATGTCCACACTTTTCTTGCCAATGCAGAAATATTTTTCTGTTGGCTTTTTTTGTGTGTTTGTTTGGATATTCCTGTCTAGCTTACATTGTTGGGCTATCCTGGCAGTTTCCCACCTGTATTCTGCCTAATCTTGAAACCCAAAGAAAGTCAGTTGGTGCTACATCTGTAAACATTGGTAATTAGCAAGAACTTAATTTCTCATTTCTTATTCACTCAGTTTTATCTCAGTTAAATCTTATTCTAAAATAGAATAGCATAACAGAGTTGGAAGGGACTTTGGAGGTCTTCTAGTCCAACCCCCTGCTTAGGCAGGAAACCCTACATCACTTCAGACAAATGGTTATCCAACATCTTCTTTAAAACTTCAAGTGTTGGAGCATTCACAACTTCTGGAGGCAAGTTGTTCCACTGATTAATTGTTCTAACTGTCAGGAAATTTCTCCTTAGTTCTAGGTTGCTTCTCTCCTTGATTAGTTCCCACCCATTGCTTCTTGTCCTACCTTCAGGTGCTTTAGAGAATATCTTGACTCCCTCTTCTTTGTGGCAGCCCCTGAGATATTGGAAGACTGCTATCATGTCTCCCCTACTCCTTCTTTTCCTTAAACTAGACATACCAAGTTCCTGCAACCATTCTTCATATGTTTTAGCCTCCAGTCACCCAATCATCTTTGTTGCTCTTCTCTGCACTCTTTCTAGAGTCTCCACAGCTTTTTTACATCGTGGTGACCAAAACTGGATGCAGTATTCCAAGTGTGGCCTTACCAAGACATTATAAAGTAGTATTAACACTTCACTGATCTGGATTCTATCCCTCTGTTTATGCAGCCTAGGACTGTGTTGGCTTTTTTGGCAGCTGCTGCACACTGCTGGCTAATATCTAAATGGTTGTCCACTAGGACTCCAAGATCCCTCTCACAGTTACTACTATTGAGCCAGGTACCACATATACTCTACCTGTGCATTTTGTTTTTCTTGCCTAAATGTAGAATCTTACTTTTTTCACCATTGAATTTCATTTTGTTAGATAGTGCCCAATGTTCAAGTCTGTCAAGATCCTTCTGTATCTTTAGCCTATCTTCTGGAGTGTTGGCTATTCCTGCCAGCTTGGTGTCATCTGCAAATTTGATGAGTTCTAGTTAGGGTGCTATAATGCACTGGGCATAAATCTGTCTTTCAAGGTTAACTGGAATTTTCAGCCACATTACATGGCTACAAAAAAAGCTCTCGCTAGCATCCAGGAGCAGCCTACCAAGAAAATTGTTGCTTAATGGTCAAGGAGAAAGTCCCAGTTTTTGTTAAAGACAAAAAAGGATTGGATAAACATTACTAAGTGATATGAACCAATGATTTAACTCAATAAAAGACAGCTTCCTATTTTCCTAAGAGTTGCACTGGCAACTGCAATATGTTGAACGGTCTATATTTCACTACAGGTAAGGCATTTTCCCACTAACAATTTATAGCATCATCTAAAAGAGTGTTTTTAAAATATTTTGTTCTTAGGATCCCTGCCCACTTTTAAAAATTATAGAGGATCCCAAAAGAACTTTTGTTTGTGTGGGTTACATTTATCACTATTTACCATATTAACAATTGACACAGTCATGGAATATTTATTGAACCATGTAAAAATAATATTAAACCTGTTCTATATTAACATAAATAAAATACTTTTCATGAAAAGCCTTATTTTTAACAAATTAAAATAATGAGGAGAGTGACATTAATTTAAAGTTTGTAAATATCTTTAATATCTTACAAATAATTTTGATTTCAAAGACCCCCAAGATGGTCTTGGAAGATCCTCAGGGCTCCTTGGATCACATTTTAAGAAATACTGTCCTAGAGTCATCAATTTATCATTGCCCAAAATAACAGCAAGGACATGCTTTCTATTATTTTAACAACGGCTGGTTGATACTTCGATGAGATTACAAGTGACTAGTAGGAAAATAACTTGAAACCTGGTACAAGAATGGCCTGAATAGTCAAGGTTACACACTCAGAGAAGTTTTTAATGATTACCACAGGAACCCCCAAAGCTTGCAATTATTACATTTCAGTTACTCTTAATAAAGTTTTAAGAATTTTAGACTTAAGCTATATGACTATAAAGAGGAAAAATCCCTACTGTTACAAGCAGAAAGTATTTGCATCTAAATTTTTTTTAAAAGACTGAAAAATAGAAAATAGAATATTTATCTGCTGCTTTCTCAGAGCTCTACACACACTTTCATTGAACAAATTGTCAAGGGTAGCTGTCCATCTTTTCCATGCCTATTTAGAAATAAGCCCTGTTTTTTGATCAAGAAGGCTTACCAACAGATTAATGGACATGGGACTACAATATGTCTTAATTTACCTTCCCTGTTTTTGACAATATAGTGACAGATTTAAAATGTAATGCAGTGTACTGCCTGGCAGAAGTGAGAGTTAACTAATGTACATCCACTCTTATTCTCTGCCTATTTTCGCAATCTATTTCAATGTTACGGAATGGGTTCCTCCAACAAGGAAAAACAACTCACCAAACTCTGTACAGTGTTTAAACCATCCTACAGCACTCAGTTATATACGAAAGTTGTATAGTATATGAAAAATGGACCCTTCATTGCAGAATTGATGCTACCAATTTGCTGCTGTTATGGTCCAACCATTAGAGAGAGAACTACTCTACACACATGGATAAAGAAAAGACAGGGCAGATGAATGCCACACAGATTTACTAACAAGCTGCTGCCCCGGCATATGAGTTAACGGGGAAATGATCAAATATATCTCTTAAGAGATCCATATTCTAATTGGATCCCACCTTCAACCTCGTCCAGATTGAATTACATTATTTCATACAGCAGTTACTCTATTTTGCCTTTTGTTTAGGTTTTACCCATTTACAGAAAAGCTATTCTCAGTTATTACCATCTCCTTCAGAGACATCTTAACATATCTCTTAAGGGAAAAAACATGGAGATCTCTAGGAAGCAATTACTAATACACTGGTTTTACCTCCCTCTGCTCCCAGACTTTAAAGCTTCATCTGCTGCCCCTTTCTGTTTCCTAAAATACCATTTTTGACTATGTTGGAAGGAGAGAGTTTATGATTTCACGAAGGTTTCAGTCATTCCAGGATCCATTCAACTAGTCTCCTTCAGCCTCTCCCCAAAGTCATGGAAAATCAATAGCTGAGTTCATTATATATCTCTGATAAGAACTTTATAATGTGCTCAAGATCTAAAGAATCAACAAAGTTTTACATATCCAAAAAAATACCCCACTCTTCAAGTATATTAGCAGCCCCCTCCTCCAATCCTAGAAAGTCAAACTTTAAAAGCCACAAGAACTCTCTTTATAAAAAGAAATCTTCGGATTTTAGGAAATCTCCTAAAATTCTGAAATCCAGAGAAGTTGGATTTTTCTCACTACTGCTACATATTAACTGTATTTAGCCAAAGAACTGTTTAAAAAGAAAAGTGGCAGACTAAGTTTAACAAGTCAATTATTGCTTTGTCAGTTTATTTCCTAAAAGGCCTCAAAACAACATATACGAACATTACAGGTGATCATCTCAGAACAAAGTTCAAACCTGCTTAATTGCACAAGATAGAAATAAAGTCATTCTCCAAGTCAATACACATACCTCATTTTATTGTGCTTCGCTTTATTGTGTTTTACAGATGTTTGAATTTTTTTACAAATTGCATTAACCTTTTTTTAGCAATAAAGATTTTTTTAAATGTTGGTTTTTTAGACAGCACACTTGGTAGACTGCAACATAGCGCAAACATAAATTTTATATGCACTGGAATCACAAATTTGTGTGAGACGAACCTGCAGTATCTGTGAGATATGCCTGTAGTCACCTTTACCTCGAAAACAAACTTTTACTCTGATTCACCTATGTTGTATTTATGGTCAGCAATTTGATGCTAATTAAGTCTTTGCTATCCATTACTTTTTTTCTCTTAAATGTACCCTGCCCTTAAACCATTTGTATCTTCTGTTTTGTAAGCAGACCACGGATTAGATAACATACTTCTGAAGGTATTTCTGGGGAAGAAGGCCTCGCAAAGGAATAGGCCAAGCACGGCTCCAGCAATGGGAACAAGAAGATGGCAATAGTCAGCTGGGGCAGTGGAGCACAAGGGAGCAGGAGTCGTGAAGGGCAGGGTGGCCAGGGCACCTGGGGCTGGGTTGGGGTGGCTATAGCCGTCCAAGGCAGCTGCAGTTCATGCTGGGTTGTGCCTTCTTGCAGGCCTAGAGAGCTCTGGGCGTGCCAAGTAGCCTCCGAGCTGTGAAACCTCAGGAGTGGTATCTGGCTAATGACTTACAGGATTTGATTCATATTGAAACAGAGAATGCTGGGATTGCCATCACAAAGTGATGTGCTCATGTGACATTGAGCTTTACAACAGCATCACTTAATGATGGAAATCCTGGTCTCAAATGTAACTCACAATATTGTAGTCCTTAGTTAACGACTGGTTGATCAGTGATTGTTTGAAATTATAACTCCCCCCAACCCCTGGCCAAAAAAGTGACAGTGTTACAGCATTCCAATGGCGGTACTTCACCTATAGTCACATGACCATATTTTTGGCACTTGGCAACCAGCTCACCTTTATGGCCAGGTGCAGCATTCTGTGTTCACATGATGTGATTTACAATGGGTTTTTTGCCAGAAAAAAAAACAAAATACCCATAAGAATGCATTATCTCACTTAATGACTGTAACAACTGCATTAGCTTTACAATCATGGCTTTCACTTTATGACTACCATAAAAAAGATCATAAAATCTGATCAATCATGTGATGTCTCATCTTACAACCATCATGACTTACTATGGAAATTCCAGGCTCCGTTATGGTTGTAAGTTGAGGACTACCTGTACCTGTATTCCAAATTAAGTATCTCACATGCAGGTTTTTATTTAATTTTAACTGTACTATAACTGTATCACGTACTCCAGAAAAACACATAGCTTGCAAAATGGGTACAGAATAGTAAAATTATATGTAAAAGGTGCTGTTTCAAATGGCAATTGAACTTTGTTTTTTCCTTGAAGAAGACCTTTTGCTTCTTCAGTGGCCTCAACAGCTCAGAGAGAGTACTAGCAATCAGACGACTACAAAGAAATATAGATCCTTCCATCTTCCCCTCCCCCCCCCTCAACCATCCAGTCAGAACTGAAGTAGCTTCTTGGATGAGAAGCAAAACATCTTCCTTAAGGAGAAAACAAAGTCCAGTTTCCTCTTGAAAAAGCATCTTTGATGCAGCCATGACCTGGATGACTAAGAATCTTCATAGAAATTTAGTTATATGTGAAAGAAGATACCAACACACCTATGCTATCTTATTAGTAAATTTTTGTAATAAACAGCCAACTAGATCTTGGCTTGCAGAGCTAACCAAAGTTAGGCTTACTTAATACATGGATGAGGAACCACCAGGAAATAGCAGGGCTATAAATTAGACTGGGAAATTTTCAAAACATCCCAGCAGGAATCACTGGTAAACCAACTTCCGTACTGTTTCCAATAAAGCTAAAGAGACGTCACGTATATGAAATCTCCAGAGGTTGACTTTGACCTGAAGGAGAGTTTACATTACATACTCAACATTAACTGATATAAATGAGGCTTGATGCCAAGGTAAACAAGTACAGGATTTTTGTCCTATTCTGAAATCCTATGCCAACCTTCATGGGTTAAATAAATAAAACACACTTATAAAAGCAGAGCAAATATGCTCCCAAATATACTGTTAATCTTTTCAAGACACTTTTCTTTAGAGGACATTGAATTGGTCTCCTTCAATAGCCATTAAAACAGGCTTTAAATAAAAATACTGAGTAGACCTGTACCATGTTTCCCTGAAAATAAGACCATGTTTTATATTTTCTGAACCCCGAAGTAAGCGCTTGGCCTTATTTTTGAGGTGGTCTTATTATTTTGGGGTGCGTGGAGCAAGATGGGGCTCCTCTTGCCATCTTACCTGATTTCCAGCTCTGTCTCCCTAACCCTAACCAGAGGAAATAGCGGGGACTGGCTGCGCATGCATTTAAATATTTTTTTGGGGAGGGCTTATTTTTGGGAAAGGCTTATTTTCAGGGGAGGTTATTTTAGTGCATGCGCTCAAAAGCCCAATTGGGCTTATTATCCGGGAAGGTCTTATTTTCGGGGAAACAGGGTACTTGATAGTGCCCTACTGGAATCAACAGGTCTGAATTTTTCATGACTAACAAGCTACATTGATTCTTATGAATTTATTCTTTAGTATGGATAAATCTGAATGTTGTCCAATGAATTTATTCTAAGTTAAATGAAAAATTCCATATTGCTGTAAAATTAAAACGATGAGTGTTTTATGTATTTGAATTGAAGGAACTTGATCTTTCTCCACCCAAACACACATGAAGGCTCATGGAGACTCAGAACAAACATGCATATATCAGGAAACTCTTTCTCAAAAGGATAAGAACCTAAATTGATAACTGGAGCATTAACTTCCAACTGAACTTTTAACCCTCAGGTTAACTGAGTCACTCACTTCCAATAATGCAGAGCACTCGGAAAATAGGTTCCTAAAAAACAGATTTAAACAAAATGTCTATCCTACTTCAATTTGTAATCCACACAAGTTACATTTTTCAAACAATCAAGCAAGGCAATTATATGGCCCTTCTATTCTGGCAGTCACTATAGCTTAGTTACCCCAGCTTGATGCACTTGATGTATGAAAATTGTTTTTCCAGAGCACACAAGACCCTTTCAATATTAGCTGTTCTGAATGCCAGTTATTGGTTCCATTCAAAGCAGAAACCATTCTTCTCAGAGGCCATCTTCTCCTACATCATCTTACCAACTGACTATGACTGCCCACTAGCATCCAAAGCACAGTTGGTAGGCACAAGGGAACAAGACTTCCCTCTGGCTCCAGCCATAACTGGATGACTGTGTAATCTCTGAAGAAGGATGGGGTATGAGCTATTTCCATGTGGTGCAATGGATCTTATGACTGTAATTGAGTTTGGTTTCTTTTTTCCCTGAAGTGTTTTTAGGGTTTTACTACTGTTTCTTTGGCTACCTGTTTGATTATTTGGATTTTCTTTTCAATTCTAATGTGTAAAACAATTAGAGCTGCTTCTGTGCCTGGGTCAGCATTTTGCTGAAGTGTATGTGTGTAAGAGGAAGTAAAAAAGTCATGATGGCACCCCTTTTTGATGTGTGTCACAGATATGACACAGGTAGTCTTCGACTTACAACCATTCGTTTAACGACCATTCAAAGTTACAATAGTAGTGCAAAAAGTGACATGACCAGTTCTCACACTTATAACCATTGTGGCATCCCACAGTCATGTGATCAAACTTCAGGTACTGGGCAACCAGGAAGCATTTACAATAGTTGCAACATCCCAGGCTCCTAGGATTGTCACTTGCCACCTTCCTAGGAAATGTTTGATAAACAAAGTCAATGAGGGAAACCAGATTTGCTTAACAACCGCATGATTCACTTAACTGTAGTGATTTGCTTAACAACCATGACAGAAAGGTCATAAAATGGGGCAAGGCTCCTTAATAACATGGCTTCGTTCCTTGCTTAGCAACGGAGAATTTGGATTCAATTGTGGTTGTAAATTGAGGATTACCTGGACACATAAAATATGATAAAGAATTAATTGCACAGTCACTGCTGCCATTTTGACTTTTCTGAGTCCCCACCCTTGCAAATGTCCCTAAAATTGGTTAAATAATAAAAAATGTTTTCCCATAACATACAAGATGTTCATTTTGTCTATTTAGTTCTCCATATTCCCTCTGGAAGTTCATCGCTTAGTGTTGTTAAGTTATTTTTAACTTTCAAATTGCTTTTTCTCTGTAATTACAATTCCATGTAATTCCATTTTTTAAAAGTTTCCTTTCTTCTATAAATAAACAGCTAAATAAACTCTGCATGGTGAACATGTACAGAAACCCAGCCAGGAACCAGACAGCTAGATAAGGTTTATGGGGCAGCTTCTGGAAAGTAATAAACAAAAGGGAACAATCAACTAGTCACCACCTGCCAGGTCATTAGAAGTAGCTTAACTCCAATTAATCCTAGTAAGTAGCATTTATGAGTGATTGCTTGCACCCCTTTGCTTCTTGCAACAAATATATGAATTTTGCTCAGTCAGAATTCAAGTCTAAGATATTTATTGTAATAAAAGAAAAAATATCACACACTGTTAAACATGGGTATCAATGTTTTACCTTGGCCTTGCTTTCTTATCCACAAACATTGTCTCAACCTATCTAAAATAGGACTCTCAGCCTTTGTCTCAGTCCAACAATTTTCTAGCACAAAGGTAAAAATGTGTGACCTTAGAAGTTGTTGACCTGTAGCTCCCATTTTCCTGACTTAGCAGGACCAATGGTGCAATACTAAGAAATCTGGAGTACATTGACATCTGGAGGTCTTCATACCGTCCATATGCATGCTAGCACAATCATGTGCCAATTCTACACCAGCAGGTCTTGTCGGACTTCTAAATGGGTCATATATGCAACTTTGTATGATTGTCCAAAATCATAAAGCAGATTAGGATTAGTCTCCCCCATTCTGTAGAAAAGACGGTGCACAGTTCTCATTCTGGCCTTTTTACAACAGAGCACACAGATCGGTAGACAAAATAGCCTGTTGCAAGCAATAATAGATCACGTGGCACTCCAAAGACTAAATATTTATTATAACTTTATTATGCATGTTTAGCATATACTGCAACTACAGTCCAACAATCTGAAACCACAATCATAAACTTAAGAAGGAATAAATCTTATCAAATGCAATGAAATCTACTTTGTGAAAACATGTTTCACACTGTTACAAGTAAGGACAATTTCAGGTTTTCTAGACCAGTGGTCCCCAACCCCCGGTCCGCGGACCGGTGCCGGGCCGTGGAGTACCTGGCACCGGGCCGCGCAGCGGCCGGGGGACATGAACGCTGCAGCGCAAAGGCTCCTGGGCCGTGCACAAAAGCTCCTGGGCCGTGCGCAATGGGCCGTGCGCAAAAGCTCCTGGGCCGTGCCCCCACCCCTGCGCGCACTCAGCAGGCCGCGGCGATAAAAAGGTTGGGGACCACTGTTCTAGACTGTCTAAAAAGCCTAAAGCTTCCTAATTTAGCTAGGTTTTTCAGCCATGAATGGCTCTTAAATGCATGTATTATTTTGTTATTAAGTGTCCTTAAAATATAACATCAGCTGCATTTGATGAAGTGAATTTGCTATATGGAATAACTGTTGAAAGATGCCTAATTATTTTTATCAATCCAATTTAGTTGCCTTTGATAGACTATTTTTTATCCAACTTATAAAAAATGTAAGAAGAGGCATAAATGGATAATTAAACAAAACGTTTTTAATTCATAAGCTCCCACCCCCAAATAAGATAAAGCTTTGACTACAATCACTTGCCCTTTCCTAGTCTTCGTTTCCCAATAAGATTACCGCTGTGCGCTCAGGACCAAATAGATGCTTCTGTTCCGTGTATCTTCTCTTTATCACAGAAGTAGTGAACAATCAGCGGGGAATGCAAACGCGACAAACTAAGTCCATTTGCACGTGTTGTGCACTATAGTCCCACTTAGTGCAAGTGCACCTTGTTTTATTTATTTATTTGTCAAGAACGTATTAGGTAATAAGTATAAACTTGGATTGGATACATAAAATGGATACAAATAAAGGAAACGTTAGGACAGGGACAGTAGGCACGCGGGTGCTCTTATGCACGCTCCTTACAGACCTCTTAGGAATGGGGTGAGGTCAACAGTAGACAGTCTTAGGTTAAAATTTTGGGGGTTTGGGGATGAAACCACAGAGTCAGGTAATGCATTCCATGCATTGACCACTCTGTTGCTGAAGTCATATTTTCTGCAATCGAGTTTGAAGCGGTCCACTTTAAGTTTGTATCTATTGCGTGCTCGTGTATTGTTGTGGTTGAAGCTGAAGTAGTCACTGACAGGTAGGATCACCATTCCCACGCACCCTCCCTCCCTCCTTAAGAAGATAAATAACCTGGATAAGACACTTCGCTGTCCTGCGGTTTCCAGGTGGCCCGACCCGAGGATATTCTCCGCCAACCTAAGCTGCCCCCTTCCCCAACGAGCCTCCACGGTGCTCTGCCTCTGCCTTACCTCGCTCTCTTAATCCACTGGCTCTGGTTTCTGAACAGGGCACGAGTCCGGTGCTTACTACGCGAGAGATTCCCTAGCTGCAGGCTCTTGGCGTACAGACCTATTGCCCAGACTAATCTGCAGTTATCGCACGTGGAAGGTGGTAGGGACTCAGAGCTCCTGGGAAGTGTAGTTCTTACTATGGGCAGGCCAGGGCAAGAGCGCGATTAAACTACTATTCCCACAATGCAAGCAGGGCGGAAAAGGAGCAATAGATAGATGCGCATAGCTAGATAGATAGCTAATAGAACCATTGGCAGACCCACGTTGGCTTTGTTTATACAATGTGCTAAATCAAAACAAAGAACTCTCTGCATCGTTATAGTCGTGATCCATCTTCTTAAAAGAGTTAAGTGATTTTTTAAAATGCAAAGCGGCTTCTGTTAAGATGACGCATTCGTTTACTTTCAATATGTTTTCGTTTCTTTTTCTCCTTTATAAGTTAACACTTAGCAGATTGTAAAGCACACAAATGGTAAGGGGCAGGGAAAGAAGGACAAATGACATGGTCTTTTACTTACAATTAAAGTAACACACATGGCCACAATCCATCCAATCCTCTCTTTAATCTCTAGGGTCTAACTATCTGAGCGCACTTCTAATGCTGGGGTGAAGATAATTTCATTTCCGGGCTCTTTTATCACCAAAGAGGATGCCTGCCTTGGATAGTGAGGTTGTTGAAGGTTTTATTGTTATTGTCGAGGCTTGCAAAGGAACAGCCCATCTGTACTTGGTGAGTTACTTCCCTGCCCTTGTAGCCGCTGGACTTCTCCACTAGAGTTCACAAGCGTCCCATCTTTAATCCTTTAGCTGATGAAACAGAATAGACAGAGTTGGTGCACACTTTCTCCAACCTTAGACAAGCTTGTTTGAGGGCAGTGGCAACTGACTCTTAAGTTTACATTGCAAAGGAATAAGAACAACCTCGAGACTACCTCGATTCTTTTTTATTGCTTTTCCATGCAGTTTTACCGAAGTGGCCTATTGTTGCTTTCTTTGCAGATTTTTTTCCTCAACTTCCAGCCCTGGAACTCCCAGGAGTCACCCATCCAAAAGCCTCTCTCTACAGTGCCTAAAAAGAGAGCGGAGGAAAGCAGAGCTCGACTTTTGACCAGGAGATGGGAGAATATTTTTGCATGATGCTTTAATAACACTCTGAGAAGTATCTTCAGCTTCAGATGCAGCAGCCTTATTTTTCCTCCTGGCAGAAAATAAGGATGTTGAAAAGAGGTTTGGCAGCTTACTGTCCAGTTACCCTGCATTGGTCAGTTTCAATAATTTCTCCTTGTTTCTCCTAAAGGAAGAGTCCATTTCAGGACTCTACATGTTGGAAGAAATGTCCATCTGGGTTCAGTTCCAAGTGGGGAAAAAGACACTGGAAACATGGCGACTGCTTGGAAAGATGGTTTAATGGTGGACAGGATCACATGGTTTGAGTTCTTAAGCAGAAAAGGAGAGAGATGCTGAGAGTCCCTGGGTTTTATACCCTCTCTGGCTTTGAACTTCCTGGGGCACAGGAAGAGTATCCTGACTGGTTGCTGTCAGAGATCATAGCTAGCCTTGCTGGCTGATGTAATCTTCCCAGGTGCCATGTGGGGAGTTTCTGTTGCTAGATTGGTCCTTTGTGTTGCAGATGGGATGCTGAGGCCTTAATGGCCCATTGACAAGGGGGGGGGAATGAGTTTCTGCCTCCCTTTTTAGGGGGAAATATTCTGCCTCTTAAAATATTTCATTTTTCTAGGAGAGGTGGGTTTTAACTTCCAACATACATGTAACTATTTTTTCCATAATTGTGACTTCAGGAAGGCCAGTAAATGTTCAGCTCCATCCAATCTCACCGACTACCCCAAATTAAGGGTTTGTGTGCGTGTGTGCATGCCCACACCTTTAAGTCAGTTTTTGACGCAGCTGCCTGGATGAGCCCCTGCAGTTTTCTTGGCAAAGTGATTTGTCAAGTGACTTGTTCAGAAGTGATTTTCCCTTGCCTGGTTCCTATGGCTGAGAGAGAGAGAAAATGAGTGACCCAAGAATACCCAAATGGCTTTGTGTCTAAGACGGAACTAGAACTCACTGCTGTCCTGGGTTCTAGCCTGGTGTCTACACCATTATACCAAATACTTCTTACAGTTATCTTTACTTCATATTATTTTATATTAGGAGATTCTGTGGAAGAAGGGCAGATAAACCACCTTAGAGAAATTCTGGAAAGCCCCTTTAATGATGCATGCACTTACACATATTCTTCCAGAGACATGCTGAGTGGTTGGCTACCTCAAGTGGGTATCCTAAGGTGTTGCCTCATAACTCCCTTCATGTGGAGCACCATCCCTCTGGAGATCCAGGTGGCTCTGACCTTACCAACTTTAGGCAAATCACTAACCAGCTGATTAACCCCTATCCCCCAGAAGTCAGCTCTGTTAGTTTATCGGCTTTAATGTAGTAGTAGTAATTGTTGTAAGTTGTGAATAATTTCCAACCTCTGACAATTGCTGTCTGAATTCTTTAATTTTATTGTTCGATTCTAAGTTTTCTACACTGCCCAGAGTCCTTGCTATGAGACAGATAGCTATGCAAATCATTTAAATAAATGCCTTTAAATTAGTAATCTCACACTCTTGCCATCCTCTAAATCTGTGGGGAGGGGGAGGTCACCCACACTTTCATTCAGAGACCAATTTTTCTACCAGTGCTTTACTTTGGAAAAAGAAAGAAGCACCTTTTCCCTTTCCTGTAGCTAGCAGAGAGGCCTGGATGTATAATTGGCAAAAATCCTGGTTAGAATGAGAGCACTGATTTCAGAAAAGGCCATAAATTGTTGGTTATCTAGATCAAGATTAAGGAGCTAATTGAGGATGGAAAACATAGGAAAAAATATTGGGTCTTGCAAAGTAGCAGCTCCTTCTCCACCTTTCAAAGCTAATTTTTCAGGCTGGAATTCATAGTGGCATGAACACAATACAGGTAAAACAAAACAGGACTAAATTACAAAGAAGCAGCCCTGATCAGTTCTTTTAATACATACAATACTTTTGTTTTGCCTTTGAATCAACCACCACACTAAACGAGCTCTCATAAACAATTGTAAATACTCTAAATCTCATCTAAGTCCACATTTCCCTTGATGGCTAAGGACGGCTTCCTCCTTGTTGCAATCAATATTGTTTTCTCTCCCTTCCAGACAGTTCCAAAGTCAGACTCTTTCCCTATTTGGGCAACATGACACTGGCTGATGGATCTTTTCTCCAGTGGCTGGTACAGTGCATTAAAGCTAAAGGGGGAAAAGGCATTGCTTGTAAGCAGGAGAATCCTATTCAGCAATGTCTCTGAAAAATCCTAGAGAGGTTTAGCAAGAGCTTGTAAACACCTTGTATACACACACACACACCTTTTCTCTTATCCACATAGCTTTTCAACACTGGTTCTGAGATGGCCAGTTTACTGTTTGCTGAGGACACATCTTCAACATATAAATTTTCTATTTATTCTCTAGACCTCTCTGTTCCAATCAAATTGAAGTGGAAGGGAACTTTCCTCTCAGAACCATTTTGCTGCTGAGGCAGCCTTGAGCTGACATCTCTAGCAAATGGGGAAGGGAGGGGAGTCTTGAGCTGGGTGAGCCAAACTTGTGTCTATGACAATTCGCCACAGCTAACTTGCCACAGCCAACTTGCTGCAGAACAACTCGCCATGGCCGTCTCGCCACAGGATAACTTGCTGCAGGACAAGAGTTACCCTAATATCAAAGAAATGGTGGAATAGAATCATTAAAGAAAAGATGCAAAAGGAGGAACAGAATAAAACGTGAATGACAAAAATTAAAATATTTTTTATTTATTTTAAATAATTAAATAGAACTATTACATTGTCCCGCAGCGAATTGTCCCTTGGCAAGTTGGCCATGGTGAGTTGTCCCGCAGCGAGTTGGCTGTAATGAGTTGGCTGTGACCAGTTGTCCCATGCCGAGTTGGCCATGGTGAGTTGGCCGTAGCAAGTTCCATTCCCGCCAAACTTTGGGTAAAGTAAGCTGAAACTCCAGGAATTTATGCTGCTTTGTGATCTTTAAAAATTCCTCCACCTAATGATTGATGACATTTTTTGTAGCAGTCATTAAATAAATCACCATGGTTGTTAAGCAAACGCCATGGTTGTTCTGCAAATCCTTTGCCTGCAATGCACATTTTTTGCCAGAAATAAACGCCAGTTTCCAGCAAAAAACATTGTAAATTGTGTTCATGTGACAAGAAGACACTGAAAAGGAGCATAAATGTAAGTTAGTTGCTGATCGGCACAAATGCGATCATGTGACCATGGGGGGGGGAATTCGAGCTGTAAGTAGTCCTGGGGAAGTCCATCGTAACTTCAAACAGTCACTAAGCAACTGGTCATAAGCCGAGGACTACCTGTAGCCACAAGGAGACACGAGGGCTCAGAAAGACTGTTAGCTGATCCCCATGCAGTTTTTCTGTAGGTGGAAAGCAAGCAAGCACAATTCTAAGTAGGCACAGATGGAATCAGTGCAACTAAAAAAAGCACCAGCTGCTGAAGCGTGGCTGAAAGCTGGATCCTCAAGGTTTGAATTCATTTCCTCTCTCCCCCTCCTCCTGGTTTTTTCCCTCCCTTCTTCCTGTTTGTTCAGTTATTGTTGTTCATATCCTGAATTGCATTCTTAGTTTCACCTAGTTTCACCTCAGGCTTTCAACAGAAAACAACCGCACTGAAGAAAATGACTTATGGCCATTTTTCAGAGTTACCGCCTTTGCAGCATCCCCATGATCATGTGATCAAAATTCAGATGATTGGCAACAGCTTCATACTTATGACCATTGCTGTGATCCCCTTTTGCGGCCTTCTGACAAGCAAAGTCAATGGAGAAGCCAGACTCACTTAACAACCGTGTTACTAACTTAACAACTGCAGTGATTCACTTAACAACCGAGGCAAGAAAGATTGTAAAACAGGGCAAATGTCCCACTTAACAATAAAAATCTTGGTCTCAATTGTGGCTGTAACTTGAGGACTGTCTGTAAAGCCTGATAGGTTTTGTAAAGACTATTAGGAGGATCAAGACTGTGAATAAAACATATGTGTAGAGTGTGTTGAATAAAGAGGAGGATCAGTTCATGGATTATACTGAGCCATAGTTTATTTATTCCTGGTTAATTGCATAAAGCACATTAGTTAGGTTCACACAACGCACTAAATGCTCAAACACGCATCCACATTGGTGTTACTTTAAATGTTCTATGGAAATTAATGGCAAAGTGCAACTCAATTATTTTGCAGGAGAATGGCATAGAAATACAACCAATCAATTGCAAAGTATATGAGCAGAAAGCCAATGCAAATTACTGGGCAGTGTTGCCAAGAAAACAACATGGATAAGTCCCTGTAGTCAGTAAGAGCTTGACTTAAGAGAAACTTAACCTTTAATTTCCTTCAAAGAACTGTAATTTGGCAAACATGCTGAAAATTTGGCTAGGGATGCCAAGTCTGTATCCTGCTCATACAATAAATCTTCCCAAGATTATTAAATACCAAATAAATAAATCTGAGTCTGTCTATAGCAGGGCTGTCAAACTCCCAGCCTGTGGGCCAGATGCGTCACTCGCTGGCCACACCCACGCCCGGGGGAAAAAAAAGTCCCGATACATCATGTGACGCTGCCGTGACAACGTGAATTTGACATCCCTGGTCTATTATGTAAACATACCGAGACGGTACAGATGTTTGTATATCAATGGGAAAATATTAAAAGAGTTTTTCAGAGTTTTATAGTGGAATGATCTCTCCACAGTTTTAATTGGCAGTAAGGTTTACATCTTTTTGTCATCAGGTTAAGACATGCTCACTGCCAAGGTATTTCATATTATCTAGTTTGTCTCAGCCGGTGCTAAAATTGTGCTTAAAATAACCTGGCAACAGCTAGTGGGTGCATGGAGTAGGAGGAGGTTAGATTCGTGAAATGGCAGGACTTTCTCCTGCCTGCCTCTGCAATCCCATCACCACCACTGCAATACTCCCTGCCCCCCTCCCCACAAATCTCTCAACAGTTACTCAGGCTACTTTTAAAAAGCAACTCAGCACTTTTCAGAAAGAAGGCTGAACCTGTGCTGAATCTAGTGCTCTTTCAGAAGATTATTAAATCCGTGTTTACATGTAGCCTCTAAAACATCTGACTATGTACGTTCCCAGCAACGGATATGAATTGAACTATGAGGCTTTGTTGACCAATAATGGAACAATGCGGTGTTGCCCAGGTGACCAGTTGCTAGGAGCTTGTGCAGAACCTGGAGTGAGTTTTCACAGGGTGTTAAATCTAAGAGTCTAGCCATTTCTCCAAATTCACTGGGTCTCATTCCAGTTAAGGAGAATGAATGGGACTTTGGTAGGATGGGAGGGGTAATGTTGGAATAATATTCTGCCACTTGAAAAACTGATGGATGGTGCTTTAATAGGGCCATGGGAAAGAATCCTTGTTAGCACTGGTTATTGTGAAATTATCTTAATGTTTCGTTTTTGAAAAGATTAAATGCAGATAATTCCTCATCTCTGCTGGAGACCTAGTCACGCATAGTTGAGATTCACAGACAAAGATATACCAAGTTAAGTCTCCCACACACCCCAATCCAAAGCCTAGTAATATTCAAACTCTATACCTTGCTAATGTTACAATACAATACAGTATTTTGTAAGCAAATGCAGAAGTTGACAGAAACAATGCCCATCTCCAATATGGTTTAAGCATCATCAGGTAGCCTAGAATTCCCTGAGTGAGAAAGACACAAGATTTTACAAGGATCATAATGACAAAAATCATGAAAAAAGCATGCTTTGATGGCCTACCCCTTCCCCCATCTTGCTTTCCTGCAGTGGAGGTTCTGTGTACATGAGCGGATGACTGGACAGAATGGCTCTCTCCCTGAAGAAGTAGTTGTATCATTCTGAGATGTTTCTAGAATTATACAGTAATTATCACCAAAGACCAAGTGGCTATGGGGACTAATAGCATTTTATAGCATTATTCAGCCATCACTAAGACAATATAAATCCTGTCTTCATAACATTAGATAGGCACAATGATCGTTGGATTATTCCAGAAACCAGTAGAAATCACTAATGAGGAAATAACCAAGAAACATCTTAGATTAATATGCCAGCTATAAACATTCCTAAACAAAGATTACTTTGACACTGATGCTTTCTGGCTCCAGGCCATGAGTGACAGAAAAGGCTCTTAGTTACCATAGTGGAATCTCTTATTCTGTTACCATGGAGCTACCCTTCTCAGTGGTCCAGAAGCTGCAACAAGCACAGAACATAACAGTAAGATTATTGACTGGTGCACCAAGGGCCTGATGTAAAATACAGCTACTGAGAAATTGTCCATGCTATTCTTGTCTTCATTGAAGTTGTAGGCCAGTCACTCTTGCTTCACCCTAGGAAGTAAGCAAAGGCAAACCACTTTTGAAAATGCTGTCACTTAAATAGCTGCGATTTATCCAGGAGTCTAGAATACTAAAAATATCTTCAATAGACTGAGCAGGCAGAATGATCACCTGGTGAATGTTCTCCTCACATATAGAGAGAGGTCTATTTTATTAGTACCATATTTTTTGGACTATAAGATGCACCAGAGTATAAGATGCACCTTAATTTTTGAGGAGGAAAATAAGAAAAAAGCTGATTGGTGGGTGGATCAGCCTCTGGGAATACCCCCAATCAGCTGTTCCCAGAGGTGAATTTTAGCAACAGGTTCGTTGGTTGTGAGCTCTGCGCCTTGCTTTTTCAACCTCTGAAACCTCTGTTTCAGAGGCTTTTTTTCTGAAGCTTCATTTCAGAGGCTTTTTTTCTGAAGCTCTGCTTCAGAAGCTTTTTTCAGCCTCTGAAATCTCCGTTTGAAAGGCTGGGCGGGGTTACATTCAGAGTATAAGATGCACCCAGATTTTCACCCTCTTTTTTGGGGGAAAAAGGTGAATCTTATACTCTGAAAAATACAGTACATATCTTTTATTCTATAAAAACATGTTTAGGCAGATAATTTTAAACTAATGATTTCATTCCCTGATCACAATTTGTTTCAGGAAAACAAATACTGGAGAACCATAGATTTCATTTCAATACAATCACTTCCATTCCACTGCAATAGCATTAAGCTCTGCCATGTGCCCATCACATGTCAAAACATTCTCCTATATTTCAGGCTAGCAGTTAGAAATCACACAAAATGCTCTGCTGAGTAAGGACTTATATGAAACAGATATAAAACAACTATAAAAATTCCTAGTTTATCAAGAAAATAACTAGCAAAAACTAAGCAAATATACCATCATACTAAGTATGATAAATAAACTAAAAGAAATAATTGGTTAATTGAAAATTTAAAATATGGTACCTTCTCTGTGCAGCACATCAAAGAAACTCACTTAAGTATTAAATGTGATGATAATCCCTCTTCATTCACATTAACTAAGTGAAACACCTATTTTTCAGTATTTTTAATATTTAATTGCAAAGAAAATTATGTAGGCCAACTTCATCCAAATTCCCTGGGACAGCAGCAAGAGAAGTGAGGGTGGAGAAGAAGTCCTCTTCTGGCTGAGAGCAGGAAAGGCTCCCACTACCTACTGATCATCTATATAGCTTCCATAACCGTAAATCTCAAAATATGCCCACTTAGTATGAGCAGTAAATGGCACAGGAGGAGTGGAATGGAGCTCACCCTAATATGTTTGTGTTGTATTCATGTGTGTCTGCAAGTTTATAGCGATGCATAACAAAAACCAACAACAACGACAAATGTCAGTGTTTGTTTCAGACCAAATTGTTCTCATTCCTTTTTGCTCTAAACCCTGTACTGTCCCTTTTATTCAAGGTTGACTCAGCCTTCCATCCTTCCAATGTCGGTAAAATGAGGGCCCAGATTGTTGGGAGCACTATGCTGACTCTGTAAAACCGCTTAGAGAGGGCTGTAAAGCACTGTGAAGCGGTATATAAATCTAAGTGCTATTGCTATTGCTATTCATAATCTCCCTTTCAGACCTTCCATAGTTGAGAAACATTGGTCTATACCGCATTGTCTTTTGATGAGACCTAGGAAATGGGATTTTTCTGCAGCAGGACCTGCCCCCTGGAACACCATCCCACCTGATATATAACTGACACCACCCACCCACCCCCACCCCCATCATGGCTGTATTTAATCTCACAGGCCTTGCTTTAAGATTGCTGTTTTTATTTCTTTACAATGCTATTTCTTCTTCTGGATGTTTGGGGGGTTCATTTGTGTTTTAGTATTGATTTTATTGTATGCTACCCAGAGATGATATAGAATTGGGCAGCCTCTTTATAAATTCCATAAAATAAACATATTGTTTAGAGATAATTTTGTCACACCTTTCATAATACAAGCAATGACATTGCTTGGCGGTGGTTTTTAGCACTGAAAACCAAACACTCTTCACACAGTTGCATTCTAGAATTCACTGCTAAGAAGTGTTAAGGATAATGCCTGTCAGTCAAAACCATGGTATCCATACCGAAAGGGTATATAATCTCAGCAGCTGAAATGAGAAAGAAGCAAACAGTGGCTACATACTCTGTAAGCTTCCTGGATGCCTCAGTCTGTCTGTTGTGGGGATCAGAAGATACTTTGGCCTGGGAGTTCTTGAACTTTGCTTAGCTTTAAGTGTGTAGAAATGTATCTGTATCTGAAATATAGAAGCTCTGAATGAAACCCCATCACTGGAAGCTTCTTTCCCTGGATCGCTGATCTTAGGTCTTTAACAGATTAACAGAGTTGGAAGGGATTTTGTAGGTCATCTAGTCCAACCCTCCGTCCAAGCAGGAGACAGGTCTGTCAAAGGACGTAAATATGCTCCCTCTCATCCATACAACCCTGAGGATGTGCTTTCCTTTCTTCCCCAAGATGAGAACAAAGGATGTCACTCTGCAAACCAATCTCCCCACATTCTGCTTCTTATACCCCTGAAACAATTATTGCCCCCTCAAAGTGGTGGTGGGGGAGGGGACATTTAGCTGCTCCAGCTGCTATTAAGTGGCAATATTCTTCTGAAGCAACGGGAAGCAGGAGGTAATAATAAAAGATCCTTCTATTATTTAGAATAA